CCCCCTCCCCAACCCCTCGCCCATCTCACCATATCTTGCCCGCACACACGCGCGACTCCACCCACTCCCCTATAACAACCTTATTTTCCGACGCTCTCCGCGCGAGAAACACCTCGTCGCCCGTTTTACATTTCTCACAACAACACTTCCGGCCTCCGTGTCCCCTTTGTCTTCTCATAGCCCCCGCCCACCCTTCTCAACTCTTTGATAGACTCCTTTGAAATCTCTTCTCAAGGTCAGAGTCTTCCTTCATCCATTAGCCCTCCCTTCGCATCTTGCCTTGTCAATTCTGCCCGAAGCCATGTCGGCTTCTGGAGACCATAGTGCCCTCTTGCCACCGGGTACTGGCACTCGTAGCCCTAATCTCGACTATAGCCAGGTATGTGTCCGACTTGCTCGGTAAGAAGAGCTCCCGCTAATGGTCGCAGCGATCCTCGAGACGCTATGGACCAGCAGCCTCAACCGACCCTGTCCCTTCAACCGCTTCCCTGCTCGGAGGCTCGGCAGGATCCCGCCTGTCGTCGGGCTCGCGTCTGTCCGCGCCGAGGTCGACATCCACGCATGGTACTCGTGCCGGAGCGACCTCGAGTGCTAGCGATGGCTGGGGTTGGAACGACCCCGAAGCCGACGACTATCTCCATAATCCGGATCCCAAGCGGGACCGCAAGGTGCGTTGGCCACTGAATGATCAAATTCCCGTCAACTGCTTGGCTAACTCACACAGAATGATAGGGGTGGCTCCATCTTCACTCTCCGCGGCATTGTGAACATCGGGTGTCTCGTCCTTTTGCTTCTGTGTCTCATCACTCTATTTGCAGGATATCCGATCATCACCACCTACACTGAACGCCGCCAAAGCAACAACGGCGCTTTCAATCTCGGAGGCACCAATGCGACTGGCCAAGTTCCGTTGATCGCTGGATTCCCCAGCCTCATTGACCCCGACACACCCATGGATGTTCGCAGTCGCGTGGGTTACGATGGTAAAGCCTACGAGCTCGTCTTCTCAGACGAATTCAACAAGGACGGCCGGACCTTTTGGCCCGGCGATGATCCGTTCTGGACTGCAGTGTAAGTTTCCTTCTCGACAGAACCTGCTCTTTGGCTGATACCAAGTGATATCCACTACTGGCCCACTGTGTGAGTGCTGTGTGACTAAACTACAGTATCCAAATTGGGACTGACTCCAAAGTGACTTGGAATGGTATCACCCTTCGGCTATCACCACCGAAAATGGGCACCTGAAGATCACCATGACACAGGAACCCATCAACGACCTCCAGTTCAAATCTGGCATGCTGCAATCGTGGAATCAGATGTGTTTCCAATGGAGCTACTACTTCGAGATCAGCGTCTCCCTCCCAGGCAATAACCGCATTGGTGGATTCTGGCCCGGAGTGTGGACTCTGGGCAATCTTGGCCGTGCTGGTTACGGCGGTACTACCGATGGCCTTTGGCCCTACACCTATACCGCATGCGACCTTGGCACTCTGGCCAACCAAACCTGGCCCGCCGGTTCCGGAGAGGTTACTCCTCCCGGTGCCATTACCACTTCAGACGGGGACCCGCTGTCATAGTAAGATTGTGATCGTATCCGTCGACTGACGATTCAAGTCTTCCCGGGCAGCGTCTCTCGTCGTGCACGTGTAAGGGCGAGGACCACCCAGGCCCCAATCCGAGTGTCGGGCGCGGGGCGCCAGAAGTAGATGTTATTGAGGTAGGCCGAGCCGTTATAGCTTTGCACGCTGACCATTCCAGGGTCAGATTGACACACGAATGAGAATGGGCGAAATGTCTCAGTCAGCTCAAGTCGCTCCTTTTGACGCCGATTACCAGTTCGACAACTCATCCGACGCCGTGACCATTTGGGCAACCGATATCACCAAGTGGAACACTTACCTTGGCGGTGTTTACCAGCAGGCGGTTTCTGGTTTGGTTTACGTGGACAATGGCGTCTACACCGGCACCAGTGGCTTGTTCAACATTTATGGTTGGTGTTCGGCGGAAGAACCACTGCTGACATTCTAGGTGTTGAGGTCTTTGCCGATAAAAATGACGAAAGCAAGGGATATGTGACCTGGGTATCAGGCAACGAAAAATCGTGGACCATGGAGGCCAAGGCCACAGGTCCCAACCCGCTCTCTGGTGTAAGCCAGCGGCCAATCACTCAGGAGCCCATGTACTTGGTAAGTGGACCTACGCGGCTTTGAGCGCCTGTGAGCGAGCTGATGCCCAGATTATGAACTTTGGCATGTCGAATGGTTTCCAGCAGGTCGACCTTCAGAACCTGCAATGGCCGGCGCACATGCTCATCGATTATGTCCGTGTCTATCAGATTCCAGACTACGGTTATCTCGGCTGTGATCCTGAAGACCACCCCACTGCGGAGTACATCAACTCTCATCCTGAGCCGTACAACAACGCAAACATCACCCTTTGGTCCCAAGCTGGTTACTCCTGGCCGGTGAGTTGTCCTTGTGATGAGAACTGACGTTGCAGAAAAACCGCCTTGTGAACACCTGTTAGAGCGACTACTCCGCGAAGTATATCCATCCATCAGCCGCCCTTCCTCTCTGTATGCAGAACATTGTTTTAGCCGATGGACAATTAAACCAGTCTTGCACTGATTGATTGCAACACTGCAGATGGAGTTGCGCGATCTCATCACCGCTCCGAAACAGACTACATGACGTATGATGGGCCGCGGGCGACCCTGTGCACCACCTCATCATCCGCTTTGAGTGTCCTTCCCCTCCACTGCGGGTTTGCTGGCTGGGGGGCCTTGCACCGCTGCTGGGGGCGCGGAAGGTGTGGGAGAGGAGGTCGCCAGACGAGCATCGAGAGCCCTCAACGCCAGTTCACTTAAGCGTGAGCAGGTCGCCAACAAAGATGCCACTAACCGTCGGCGCTCAGCTTCTGCCCTCGCCCCGCCTGGGCCGGGAAGGACAGTGTAGGGCGTGCCCATTGCGTCGTCCCAAGGTTGTACGAGTCGCACTTTCACTGCAAGACGGAAGACATGATTGGCGAGGACCACGATGTACGGCCTATGGTCGTGAGCTTCAGCTAACGGAGACGTATCGTCAGTCTCACCTAACGAAAGGGGGGAACCAATACTGGAAAGCGAACGTCTCACTCCTGTCACCACGGTATTCGCCGTTCTCCGACAGCTTGAAGAAGCGCAGATACACCCAGGCCACAAAGAATCCGAATTGTATCAGAATGAAGGGAGATGGCCCAAGGAGGATCACCAACACATTGGAAACGAGCAAGAAGATGCCAGGGATGGTCTGAGCTGTCAGCATGCGCAAGGTAAATGCGGACGAATGCACTGACCTTGACTCGCGCTTTCAGCACTCCAAACAGCTGGATCTGATGCTCTGGAATGATTTGAGTAAACGCTACCAAAATGCCGGATTGCACACCAGACAGGCCATGGAAAGGCAATCCTGAACTGAGCCGTTAGTACATATCCGAATCTGCAGCCAAAGACGTACAGGACTGCGTCCGACCCGAGGAGAATGTAGAGAATCCAGGCGAAGCCGAAGGCGATGATGTTTGAGGCGACGATCACGACACACGTGAATCGAGCGAGCTCACGAATTCCCCAGAGCCGTTCGAGGTATCGGCATGCAAGTGGAACCGTAATGAGGGAGAAGAGGAACTGCGAAACGTCAGCTAGCCAAGTCTCAGAGCCAAATTGGCGTTAGTTTACGGACCTCGAAGATGTTCAATTCGACGAAACCGGCGGTTAGGAGGGTCCATGGAAACTTCCAGCTTGTTGATGGAATAAGAACTAGCCAGGGAAGCTCGTGCCCGTACGCGGGGGAGACTGAAGAGCTCTGGCGGACAACCGAGGCGAGGAGGAACTGGGTGAGGGAGGCGACGATGACAAGTGCTGTTAAGACGCGAGTGCCCCAAGGGACGGTTTGTAGAAAGGGGAGGAAAGAGATTGGTGGCATGGCGAGGACGAGATGCCGGAACTGGAGATCGGATGAGAGACGAAGACGTTAATAACGCGCGGTGTTGGTGGCCAGCTTGCAGGTATGCACCGCGCACTGCACGGGTGCCCTGACAAGACGCGAGAGCATCGCACCGGAACGACGTGCCAGGCACGTGGCATGAATTGCGGGTTGACGCGGCGATAATATGGTGTGGCAACCCCAAGATACACAAGGGTCCTTCACAATCTAGACCGACAGAGTGCGACGGGACCGAATCTTGCCGCCCTCCACCACGGCATCTATTGACACCGCAATCAGCAACAACGTCTTGACGTCCCCATCTCCTCAGCCGATCAACCCCATCCATCACCTCTCCGATCTCCGAGTCCATCCCCATCCGCCCCCGTTCCCTTCTATCAGCCCGTTAACCACGACATCCCACCATCCAGTCATCCCTGTAGTCGGATCTCTCCACTGCAGCTCTGCTTCGCCATCCCCACCTTCCCCCCCCCCCCCCGCTCCCTTCTCGCTCCCTGTCACATCTTCCTACAGGTTCCGCTCTACCGCAATCCATCATCCTACTGTGCAGTACCGATATCTATGGCACCCGAGAGCGCTCCTGCCGTAGGGCAAGTGTCAGGCCCCGGCAATATACACCTCACCAGTGAGGAAATCAACATTCTCATCTATCTTGTGAGTGCAGACTGGCGTCCAGAAGGGAAGGGGGGGAACGGAGGAAAAGGCGAGGGATGCGGAAGAAGCAATAAGAGGATTATAATGTCGTTGAGGGAGCAGTGTTGGCGTATTTGCGGGTTGAGACCGCTGCATGACAGTGCTTAAGCACCACAGGACGAACAGCATGGGAGAAGGGCGTGCTCACTCTAGTACTTGCTCGAGTCCAACTTCAAGCACACAGCTTTCACCCTTCTCTCCGAGTCTGCACTTCCTTCGACATCGCTTTTCCAACAGTTCAACCCCGGATATCCTACCCCTCCCTCTCAGCGAGCCGCATCGAGTTTATCTGGTAACAACAGTCGTACAAACGGCGTCACTCGAGCATCGGGATCGGAGCTCTTCGGTGCCCCTCATGGAAAGGTTCCTCGAGGAGAACTGGTTCGCAAACTCTGGAAAGCGTTGCGATGGGAGGAGATTGAGCGTCATACCGCAACCGAGACGGTCAGTACCCAACAGAGCTTAGAGTGCTCATCTCCCCAGGAATCATCTGCGCCACCTTGCCACTCGCCCTTCCAGCTCCTAGTTCCTCACATCTGCTCTCCGGAAGGAGCGACACCCGCACCAGCTGTGTCGTCGCCGCCCCCACAACGCCCAGATACATTTCCTACTCAACAATGTCACGACGCCGCTCAGGGCGACCTCGGCGGCAACTCGCCCACTACAGCTCGTGACATGGATGTCATGTCACCCCTTGCAATTGGTAAAGGCAAAAGGAAAAGTGCAGGTGATGTCCTTACAACTGTCAAGGGTGCGGATATCTCTCGTACAGGACGCACTACCAGCCCTCGCCAGGGAGCCATAGAGACAAACACTCCCTCTGTCGAAGGGGGGGTTGCAACTCCAGCATCGAAGAGGATCCGGGATGATGATCGCAGGAAATCAAAAACAGATGACACCAAGGATATCAGACCCGTATCGAGAGTTGCAAAGCCCAGTGGAATCGCAGGACTGCCCGCAAGCGAAGGCAATTCCTGGACGGAGCACCGAGATGCTGTAGGTTGAGATCTGCGACATGTGTTCATGAATAGGTGACATGCCTCGCTTGGAACCCCAAGGACAAGGAGGTCTTAGTGACCGGCAGCAACGATGGAACGGCGCGACGGTGGCACTTCATGGAGGCATCGGACCCCTCCAGCCATGCCCTCCAGCTCCAGCAAAAACCCACATCCATTAGTCACAAGGCGATCGATAGCTCAAAGAAGGCGGTCACCGCATTGGCCTGGCATCCGGACGGGACCGTGTTTGTCACAGGTATGCGGCGGGTGTATATGCTGAGAAGCTGACAGCGAGCTTCGGATGGAGTCGGACGCCTCTTCACTCCCTCTGGGCAGCTCCAAGGTATTTTGAGCTACGGTCGCGGAACCATCAACTCTCTCAAGTTCAACCCATCAGGCAACTCCTTGCTGGCAGCCAAGGATGACTTCACAGTCTGTCTCTTCCTGCTCAACTTTGACTTGCAATCCCCCAAACAGCTGAGTTTTGAGTCCCACTCCAAAGAGGTCAACGACGTGGACTGGCTGGACGACGATGTTTTCGCGTCTGGCGGGAACGATCATACAATCTTCATCTATCGATCAAACGACCGCCGCCCTCGATTCACGCTCAAAGGCCATTCCGATGATGTGACGCGGGTTAAATGGTCACCTCCCCGTCGCGCTGAGGGCGACCAACAGCGCCTCCTCGCTTCCGTTTCCGACGATGGAACAATCATGATCTGGAAGCTTCCCCATTACCCTGCTGATCGCGGTACCGCCAGCAGATCTCTCTCGCCCAGCAAGCAACCCCGAGAGAAGGAATCATCAGTTGACGATTTCTTTCAGATGACAGTTTTGCAGGGCAACGAGTATTGCGTCAACCGGCTTCAAGTGGTCAGCAGTAACACCGAAAACAAGCGCATGAGTACAGTGGAGTGGGGTCCCTCTTGTAGAGACGGTCGGATGATCATCGCAGCGTGCGCTCCCACGTTTGCCGTCGCTGACAACAGTGGTGGTCAAGACTCCACAGTGAAGCTGTTCGACGCCAGTACCGGCGAGTGTCTCCACACCTTGCTCGGCCTGGAGCACGGTACTGGCTCCATCGCTTTCTCTCCGTCGACCAGCTTGGCCCGCCCTGGAGGTGTGCTTGCTGGTGGTGGATGGAACGGGAAAGCCATCCTCTGGGACGTGGAGGTGCGTCCCTAAAGAGATTCGCATCTCACTCATCCCAGACAGGCGAAGTTCTCAAGCAGTATGAAATTGAGGAGGATGTAGAGCGCCAGAGCACGCGCGACAGGCCAATGATGGTAAGGGCAACGTCTTGCGGACTGACCCCAGATGGCTATGGCATGGCGCCACGATGGCCAGCAACTGGCTGTAGGGTTACACAACAAATCACTCATGACTGCGTATGTAGGACCACTCCTGTAGAGACAATGATCATGACCTAATGGGTTACCGAGGCGCCAGAACCCAGATCCATGTCCCAGTGGCTGGTTGATGCACGACTCGTCCCTCCTTGGTGCTCGTCGTTGCCTGTAAGCGCGCTGGGATCTTCGTGACAACGTGCCAGCTTGCTTCAGGACAGTCTGTGAGGAAGTCGAACCTGGTGGCAGAGTAAGAGATGCTAATCCAGCGGCAATGACGTGATGCGACAGAGCGAAGGTTGGCGCATAACACTGAGAGAGCATCAATCTCGTCGGCGTTACAGGCGTGCTTGCTATACGATACTCCTGGAAGGGGTGGGGAACACGAAATCGCATCTGCCGTAGACTTGTCGATGAACACGTCCCATCCCTCGGTTGGGGCGATGGATAGCAACGACTTCAGGTCGAGAACGTCGATATCGTAAAGGGGAACTTGAAGCGAAGAGAAGGATTCAGACACGGTAGAATCAGCAAAGTCTCGAGCATGTAAGCTGGAGCTAGCATAGTCGGCGTCCGAGATGGCGAAGTGGTCGCCGAGATGGCGTTGGAGATCGACACCCAGTGTGGAAGAGCCGCAGCCGAAGTGGAGAATTGTCACGGGCGTGCTGGCGTAATTTACCTCCCCAACCACATCCGATATCGTAGACAGAATCTCCGCTGTCGGCAGAAGCCACTCGAAGCCGACATCCTTCTCCCGGGACAGTCGCTCACGCCAATAGCTCTTTTTTGAGTAGTCGACAGCCATTCTGGATGATTCAGTATCATAACGACTCCCAAAGTCAGCATCACTGATCTGCAAATATGCCACAAAACTAAAGCCGAACACTAATGCCGCAGTCTAATCATATGACACAACTCCCATAGGCTCAGACAACGGATTCTCCTAACGGCGTTTCTTCGGCGTACGTCCATTCTTCTGCTGTCGCTGAATCGATGAGCGCTGTGAGCGCTGTGGGAAGTTCCTATCCTACTCACCTTCTCCTTCTCACGACGCGTCTTGAGAATGGTCTCAGCGCTTGCGAGACCTGACGCCTTGAGGGACTGTGATCCAGCGCGTTGGCCTGAAAGGCGGTGTGCAGTCTTCTTCCATTCCGTGTAACGACCACTCCTGAACGTGGCTGGAAGTAGTGCTCCACTTTCGCCCCTGATCATCTTCTTGTTATCTTCACCGGGGGTGTCCTTGACAAAGCGCTTTCGTTTTTTGTCCCACTTAAGCTGGCTGGCCTTCTGAGCACGCTGTTGGTCGGCGTCATCGGCATTCAAATCCATCGTCGCAGAGCGAGCCTGCTCGGCAAACGATGTCCCCTCAGAGAGGGAGTATCTATCTCGTCAGGAGAGATTGCACAGAGTTTGCCGGACTCACCCCTTTGAACGATTTGTCTCAACATTCTCGTGGGGCAGAAAGAAGTTGGGGTCGCGATATGACCTGTTAGGCATGGAATTGTGAACCTGCACGTCAGGGGCAAGAAAAGAGGAGGTGAACGTTGACTAACCTTCCTGTCGTTCTCAGCTTGACCTTCTCCTGCTTCATCGGTTTCCTCTTCAGCTTTTCGCTTGCGAGCTTGACTCCGCGCCAATGCCAAGCGGCGCTGTTTCATGACCACAGCCGTCGTGTGTTGCCCACCCCTCGCTCCCACCTCAAAGACAGTCTCTTGAGGGTTATAGGCGTGAATAGCTGCGAGGAGCGTTGCCCTTTTCTCGCCAACCTCGCTGTCCTGCTCGCCGGATGAGAATGCAGGGTGGGTGCGCGTGGTACTCCTGGTGACCTTGTCGGTTTTCAGAGCTCGATAGCCTTCACGGCTTGCCTTGCTACGAGAGCGTTCGAACATTGCCTGGCCACGCTTCATGACACTCCGCAAGGAGGTGAGCTGGGGCTCAGACGTCTCCAAACTGTGATGGATGTACTCCGATGTGGCCTCAATGATATCTTGAGGAACAGCGCCGAAAGCCTCGGTGTCGGAGATGATCGAACGCTCAAGGAACACCTCGAGGTCGTGCAGGTAAGGGAGGTCGTCACGCGTGACAAGACTCCAAGCGTGGCCTTTCTGACCCGCACGTGCTGTACGACCCACTCGGTGAACAAAAACCCTCACTCCAGATGGGAAGTCGTAGTTGACGACGTGACCCATCGCCGGAATGTCCAAGCCTCGAGCTGCAACATCGGTGACAACAAGTACCTCTGATTGACCATCTCGGAAGTGGCGTAGCTGCTGCTGACGGGCGACTTGGTCGAGAGACCCGTAAATATAAGACGTGCGATAGCTTGCCGCTTTAAGCAAATTAGAGATGTACTCAACGTGGTGCTTCGTAGAAGCGAAGATGATTGCGCGAGGACCTTCATCGGACGCAGCGCTGGCGACGGGGATGTGAATGGCTTCACGTAGAAGAGCGAGAAGAGCTGCATCCTTCTCATCGGGCTTGACCGACAAGAATGCAAGCTCGAGATCGGGGCTGATACGGTGCTCAGTGTCTAGTCGAATGAAAGCCGGATTGTTCAAGCCGGCCTTAGCGAATTCCGCGAGTGAGGTGGGAAGGGTCGCTGAAAACAGCAAGTTGTGACGTGTTGACGGCAAGCGGTGGAGGATCTCCCGCAGTTGGATCTCGAAACCCATCTCAAACAGGCTAAAGTCAGTGTGGTACCTCGGATGTGCTCACCGGTCGGCTTCGTCGTACACAACCACTTGCACCTGTCGCAAGTCAAGGTCCATCTCAACAGCCAAATGGAGGAAGCGACCAGGAGTTGCGATCACACTGCGAGTCAGCCATGGGCTCTGAAGCCTTGATCCTACATGTCAGGATTCGCGGAGATCGACTCAAACTGAGCATCGAGGGACTCGCCGCCCATGATGATGCTCCATCGCAGAGCCTCCGAGTCTTTATTGCGTCCGGCAAGGCTTCGTGACAAGTCCTTCCCCACCTTGAGGACCTGGACGGCAAGTTCACGACTGGGACAAAGTATGAGGGCTCGAATGCCTGATGACTGTCTGCGAGTCCCTCCTAGTGCGTGAAGAAGTGGGAGCAGGTACGCCAAAGTTTTGCCAGAGCCAGTGCGTGCCATGCCAAGAACGTCTTTAGGAGGATTAGCCATTGCTGGCGGCAGAGCTGCGCGCTGTATAGGCGTGGGATTCTTGAAACCGCGAAGGTTGAGGGCGCGTACTATGGGGGGGAAAACTCCTGTCTGTGAGCATGACCAACGGGAGAATGAATCAGAACACAATGAGGTTCCTCACCGAGGTTGGCCCATGTTCCGACAGATGTCTTCCCCTTCTTTGAGGAGATGTTGGAAGAGGGAGCGTCATCATTGCCAGTGATCCAGTCTGCTTGGAAGTCGTGCGTTGACATGACGTGAAACGATGGCAAAGGAGGAATACAGGACGATGAAATGGAGAACTGAAAGTCAGCGAAGATTTCGAAAGTGGAGGTGGAGGTCCTCACAGCATCACGTGACCATTCCTGTCAGTCAGCAATTTCCGATGGCGATGGGTGATCAGACACGGCCCATCAACCTCATCACCCTTCATCTCCTTCTAGCATCGAACCACTGGCCCAACACCGAGCTCATTTTCACCATGTTCACCTGTATATCATGCCGGATCGCCTTCGAGACTGCAGAGGAGCAACGCTCTCACTTTGGCACAGACTGGCACCGATACAACATGAAGCGTCGAGTGGCAAATCTTCCCCCCGTCGCCGCGCAAGCTTTCAACGATAAAGTCATTGAGCGTCGTGAGCAAAATGCAGTACGCCCCGACCCAAGGGGCATGTTCTGCCCGTCATGCAAGTAAGCACTTGCATTATAGCGCCCGTACTGACGTGTAAAGCAAGGCTTTCTCGTCCGAGAACTCGTTCCGCTCCCATGTTGTGTCCAAGAAGCATCGAGACCGTGAGGCCAGTCTCGCTCAAGGTCGTTTGCATCAAGCGGACCAAGGGTCATCGGCGGCGCCCGTGACAGAGGTCGTTGGGCTTCAAGGAGAACACGCGAGCGACATTGACATGCCCTCGACTGACAACCGCCTAGAAACATGTCTCGTCGAAGATATTGACGACGACAGCGATACCGGCGTCGACAGCGATATTGAGGCTCGTATTGCCGCTTCTCGTCGCCGGATCAGTCCGAATGACTGTCTGTTCTGTAACTACCGCTCCACCGACCCTGCGACGAACTTTGAGCACATGTCGCGAGCACACAGCTTCTTCATTCCCGACCGCGACCTTCTTGTCGACGTCAGTGGGTTACTGGCCTATCTTGGCGAGAAGGTAGCCATCGGCAACCTGTGCCTGTTCTGCCCAAATGGGGGCAAGGAGTTTGGCAGCCTTGCCGCCGTCCGCAAACACATGATTGATAAGGGTCATTGCAAGATCGCTTACGATACGAACGAGGATCGCGCTGAGCTTGCGGACTTCTACGATTTTGAGGGCGAGTTCCTTTCCGATCAATCAGATTGGGAAGATGTGGACCAGGATGGATCTGAGGATCGATCGGACGACGAGGCATGTATCCTTGGAGGCATGAGGCCAACTGACCGCAGGTTCCGCGCATTGCTGGTGATGGTCTTTCGCTGGTGCTTCCTTCCGGTCGCGTCCTCGGCCATCGCTCCCTCAAAGTATACTACGCCCAGCGCTTGCGCCCGGCGCCGGCTGACGCTCACGATCCCGTCCGAGCAAAGGTCGCGGCTGTTCGCCAACGTCTGGCGGATCCAGGTGCCGCTTTGGTGCCGGTGGCAGGAGGCCATGGCGCCTTCGGTCGTGGTCTTGACATGGTCAAGGCGCGCAATGCCGGTGAGGCGAAGTGGGCGAAGAAGCAAGGCAAGGCGTTCAAGGATCAGAAGGCGCGGGAGCATTTCCGCACCAAGGTCGGTTTCCGTAACAACAACCAGCAACGTAAGTTCTGTGTATGCTCCCACGACAATGCTAATCAACAGACTTTAGGGACCCTCTCCGTGAGTTTCCTCTGTCAACCATAACATCGCTAATCGAGCAGTTCAGTAGCCACGGTCCGCAGGCAGGTGCAGATCCGCGGACAGCTTCCAGATCTCCTTATGTAATGTGCACACCCTAACTGGCATCCTTCGAACATCGTCTTCTTTGTTCCTGTGGCGTCACTGGGTGGCGGTTCCTGCTACCCCCGTTTCACCTCTTTGTTCGCACCTGCTCGCCATTACCTCTCCCACTCCCACTTGCACTCGCCTGTTCTCCACTCTCCACTACTGTCTTCTCTCCACTCTTCAGACTTCACTCTCCGCTCTCCACTCTCCCCTTTCCAGTCTCCGTTCTCCGTTCTCCAATTTCCCCGGTCGCTCGGCACACCATGCGTCATCCCGACTACCCGTTTTGGAGCTGTATTAGCCTTGTCGTTCTTCTTCTGCCTGCTCCTTGGCACTGGAAGGCCCGGAATGCTCCTCTCGTCTGCCTCATCGGCTGGCTGTGGCTGACTCACTTCGTCACCTTGGTCAACACCTTGGTGTGGGCTGACAACTTCGCCGATAGTGCTCCTATCTGGTGCGACATCAGTGAGTCCACCATTGAGTTGTCCTGACAGGAGGTGCCAGGATTGTCATGCTCCTTCTTTATACCGTTCCTTTGTGTTCACTCGCTCAGATGAGGCGTTTAGCGTCTGTTGCGTCACCACGACGCAAGCTTGTCTTAGATCAACCTCGGAAACGGTACCGGTATGCGGAGGAGCTCTTCCTCTGCGTCGTCTGCCCATTACTCATGCTTCCCGTCAACTATACTGTCCAAGGTCATCGATATGACATCGCCGAGACGTGGGGGCCAATGATTCCTTCTGTTATCTCATGGCCAACTATCGTGATTCGGTTCATTCTCCCAACGCTCATTGCTTGCGCTTCTTTGTTCTACGCTGGTGAGTGTGAGGCCGCAACCACGGTTAACCGTAGCTCTCGCCATGCGTTGGTTTTTTGTTCGCCGGGCACAGTTCCGCTCTATCCTCTCCGGCTCTGGCCTGACAACGGGGGTGTATCTTCGCCTTTTGGGTCTTGCCATTACCGACAGCATTTTGTTGATGTTCGGCACCGTGTTCAACCTGCTCATCCTATTTGTTGTACACGGAGCCGATATACAACCAACGTCAAGCTGGGACAGCATTCACAGCAATTTCGGCCTCGTCTCTCAATTCCCTGAGGAGATGTTCAACACCACCGTGACGGTGGACGTACCATTTTATCTGGCGGTCCTTTACGCTATCAGCGTCTTCGCTTTTTTCAGTTTCGGCGAGGACGCCGTGGGACAATACCTGAAGGTGTGGCGATTTATCAAACGCGCCCTCAACGTCCGGCAGAAGGAGTGAGTGATGGCCCTGACAAATTGACAGCCAGAGCCGTGGACATCCCGACCCTAGGGTCCACGATCGTCACTCTCACTGGTGCTGCGTGGGAGGAAGGGCCCCAGATTGACAGGCGGGTGAGCAAGGACGACAGACATTCCGAATTCAGCCATGTCGGATCCGGCATTGCTGTGACAGTTGAGCGTTCGGTCGTGTGAGAAGGTTCCTGTACTGAGGACGCCCGCTATAATGGATGAAATTGCATTCTTTTGTCGTCTACACGTGCCTATAACCTGGAACAGGGCCTCAGTAGCCAGTTGCGAGACGCTGCGATGGCTTGAGTGTTGCAGGCGCTGATTCATACTGACGATCTACAACGGAAGTGGCCCACTTGTCCATGAGCGGCGCGACTGCACACGGCGTGGACCTCGCGCCATTCAAAAAGCTGAATTACCTTCACGTCGAGTGAGCCAAGACGAATTGAGGTTCAGTAAATGTAAGGCATAGAGAGGCATGCCGAGCAGATGTCGCCCAACGCTGGGGGCCATCTAAGGTTTTGAGTCGACTGATAAAGCATCCGAAGGCTGATGGGGAGTGTCAGGCCGACAAAGCAGGAGCGCTGCACAGCTTAAATACTAAAAATATGCATCGTTGCAGCTAATGTATAGGGCACGATGGGACCGTCAGTGGGTGACTGTCAATGGGAGGTTGCAGGTGCATCGCCTATCGGTTAGCTCGAGGAGGGTGGAAAGGAGGATGCTTACTTAGGCGATGGTGCACCAGAAGGAGGACCACATCTGGTCGTCCCAGGACTCGTAGTTCTTGGGCTGCTCAAAAACGGTGGTGAAGGCCGACATTGTTGGTGGGTTGGTTGGGTTGGTGGGGTTGGTGGGTGAGGCTGGAGAGGCTGTTGTAGAGAGGAGGAGGCGTTGTTGGTGGGTCGAAAGAGCAGATGCCAGAGCTGCTTATATGTGTAATCGAGTCTCACCGTAGGGAGCAAACAGTGGACTTGGATCGAGATTGACACAAATCCATGTACGTGGAAGCTTGACAAAGGCCGCAAACGGAGCCCGCCCCGGACGGTGCGGCAAGTTTGGGGGCGGGGGGATGGCGGGAGAAGCGTGACTGCGGCGCCTGCCGCGTTGGAAGTTGTGTGCTCCGTGTCCATTGTTCCACGCGCTGAAATGTGTGCATTCGTGTCTGCTCGCGCGCCCATCGGCGCCTGTGGGTGCTCTTGATGGCCGTAGCGCCTGGGATGGGGTGCGTGATGCGCCCGCCCCACACGGAGGCGGGCGCGGTGGTGTGTGCACGCCACCGGCCACGGGGCCGTTCTGCGGCCTGTGGTGCAGGGAGTGCCTTTGTGGCGGCGTGATGGCGGCTGCCCCGCTGCGGCCGCTGCGGGTGCTGGGAGGTTTGGAGGCAGCAGCAGGCCAAAAGATGTGGAATGCAGTTCAACACATGTGCGATTGCAGACCACAGATTGTTGCTGGTGAGTCGCACAAGGATACAACAAGATTACGAGGGCCTTTGGGGCGATCGGCACGTGCACAAAGGGGGATTCCGCCACGCTGCCACTTTGTCCCCACCAGCGTGTGTGGAGTGCTGGAACCACTCCCTGCCTATGCACCCTTCGTTCTCCCGCGTGTGTGCCCATCTCATGCAAGAGTTCCACCTTCTGGGCCATGCACTCGCGCGCTCCCGTATACCTTCGCACCCCAGATCCTAAAGATGCGAGTGTACAATGCTTTCTGTACTTGGCCTTCGCAGACGATCCGTAGCTCTCAGGGTTGTTTCAGTTCCGCATTCCACATCTCGCTCATCAGCCACATTCCCTCATCCCTACTCCCACAAACAGGTGTGTGTGCTCATGACCCGGTGGCCGGTAGATCGAGGAAGAACCGAACAGTGGATGGAAAGGGACGAAGGGACGTGCACAAGGGTACACCGACGCCGCGGTGGTGGCTGACGCCGCCGAAGATGGGAAGCCGTCCGTCCACGCGCCTCGGCGAAGGTCCTCCGCCACCCACACACGCCACTCCTCCGATCGCCTGTGTGCTGCTGTGTGCGGGGCGCTGGGCTCCGAGCCCTCCACCCCTTCCTGCGCACGCACCGCAGTGTCACTCACTGCTCCGCAGGTCCCGCTCTTGCCGCTCTCGGACACGTGGGCGGGCGGGTACAAGGAATGCGCCGACACCCAGAAGTGCCGTTAAAGGCCTCGATCTGTGACTTGCCCGATGGCCTCGCCCCCGATCTCCAAGGACTCCTCGGGCCGGCCTTTCGGCCTTTCAAAGGAAGGATTACGAAGGACGGACAGAGATATGGTGGCTGATTCGTACCACGGTTGGAAGCCTGGAAGCCGGCGGAGACGGCTGAAAGTGCAAGTGCGCAAGCGATGCCAGCGCGGAAGGAAACGTGGCAGGACGCCGATGCGGAGCGAGCGCAATGCCCCTCAGATAGACGGTGCTCCAAGCTGCCGCACGAGAACCAGCGACGTGAAGTGTATGCATAGGTTGTTGAGTACAAGCGGGCGATGCGATATGCATGCGAGACCGCATCTTGCTTTTAGATGTCGATGGCGCTGAAGGTCAGATTGGTACTCAGTCTAGATCGCGACATACCGATACAGAAGAATGTAGGCAACCGAGTCCTCGCCGCCGCCGTCCATGGACGTGATCTTGTCTGCCGTCACGCCCGACACCTTATCGTCTGATGTCAGCTCTTGTGCGACGCGTATCCGCTGCAGCTATCCCACTCACCGTCAAACTTGTACCACTCCTCCTCTCCGGAAGGCGCGAATCCACCCTCCTTGCGCGCCCAACCAATGTAGTGTCCCGCGTCGGCTGACGCGCCCTTGTGCGTAACCATCGCACACAGCTCGTACATGCCGGACGGGTTGGTGCCGGCCGCGACTCCGCCAGCCGTCTCGACCAGCTCCGCGACCTTCTTGTGCTCCTCCTCGCGGTGCTGCTCCTCCGCCTTCTCTTCCGTAGGGGCGTTTTTGCCCTTCGCGCGCTTGGCGATCTTGGCCCGGTCATCCCGCGTCTTAAGAATCTGCTTTACTTCGGCGTTCACAGGGGCCAGCTTTTCACGCAGCTCGTCCGTTGCAATGTCCAGCGCATCAAGCTGGAGAGGGAACTTGACCTTGCGCATGATCTTTGCCTTCTTCCTTTCAGTTAGCACCGGCACGCCGCCTCTTAGCTTACTGAATGTCGCGACGCCAGTAGAAGCGCACGAGGTGCACCACAAGGTAATTGGGGAGTCTCGAGATGCGCGTCTTCTGGTTGTACGTGGCGGACCGGCCCAACGAGGGACTGTTCTTCTCAATCTGCTGGTCCAGGCTCTACCTGTCAGCTCCTCACCAATCTCCGGCGCTCACGTCCATGATCCCCGACATCAAGAAGTTTGTGTTGATTGAGATGTTACACTCGAGCTTAAGCGCCTTTTCTGTCGACGTCGAAGGGGCCTCTTCGGGCGCCTCGGGCGTCGAGAGCGTCTTGGTAAGCTCGATTGACATCAAGTCGTCGACACACGATCCCTGCCCGTTCTGGCCGGGGAGCGATGAGCGCAGCGCTGACACCACCTGCGTCCACGCCTCATCCGCGTCTGCCATTAGCTCTGTCGCGTCGCGAGCTCACCCTGCTGGGCAAATCCTCCGCGCTGATCTTGCTCGGCGAACTGCGGCGCGAGAATGCGCAGATTAGAGATCAGGGCGAAAGGAGTCACCGGCTCAGTCGTCTGCGTCATGCCGGAGTATAGATTCTTGACTGAAAGAGCGAGCCGGGCCTCCGGTCCACTGCCTGCGGAGAAACTGAGGTCAGCAATTACTCTCCGCCGCCTCCAACTCACCCTTCCAAGGCTGTTTGGAGTTGTGGCACGGCGCGCAGCGCCTGCAGCGTCGAGTTGAGATAACAGGTGTTGCCAATGTTCACAAGGCCTGGTGGGGTGCGCGTCTGAAGTCAGCCAAGTGGACGTGCAAATGAAACTCACGCTGAGGGCAAGCTCGGAGTCGTCCATGTCCTCAACTAGGTGTCAGCGACGCCCGTTGGGCATGTTCTTACGGAATACAACCGGCTTCTTCGGCGCCTCGGGTAGTGGACCAGCGGTGCCGATGACCTGTCGTTAGTCAAGGCCTCCTCATGCATCCGATCACGCACATTGATGACCTGGCCCTGTTCGTCAGTGAGCGTTCTCTATCAGCTGTGTAAACTCACAGGCTTGAGACCCAGCTTGGACATATCCGCGTCGTCCTTCAGGATGCCTTTGACCATCACTTTCATACGGTCTGGCGGCGTAAGAAATGCCTTCCTTCGCAGCGGCGGCTGAGCAGGAACGTACCAGTCGGCACCCCGGTAACCTCGTAGATTGACTGCTTGAAAGCAGTGGCGGGCGCTGCCACATCGACATCGATGGGGTACGACTTGCCCGCGTGCTTGATTGTGACTTTAGTCAGCTGCCGTGCAAGTCGCCCAGCTCACCATTCATTGCGTCTGGTGTTCTGGTGGGAGGCATGAGATGGGAAGCTGATCAAGATGACGGAGGGGTTGACTTTCTCAACACATTGCATGACGCGTCGCTTGAATCGCTTGTTTGCTTCCGTTCAAACCCACGTGCGAAATACCATTCAGTTTCTAGTGTCATTAGGATAGGGGTGTGGCAGATATCCTCAAAAGGTCGTCGCCGATAGCACTGGCCATGCATATCTGCGACCGATTTCAGTATTGCGATGAAAACTGTTTGATGATTCAGAGAGATAAACTTGACAGCAGGATGCAACATGAGTTGTTTTTGGGACGGGCTGGATTAATAGACAAAGATATTTTTCAACACCTTGCAACGCTGACCTGCCTGCAGCGAGATTAATGGCCTGGAGTCTCCCAAAGCGTCTCTGAGATGTTTTGCATATCCGAGTAGACACTAGATCCAGGTCTAAATGGCTTGTGAGACACGGATATGACTGCATGTTTTCGACGGATGGTAGACTTCTGCGAGATATAGAGGCTGTACTGCACCTTCGCGAGACCCTCGCTTGCAGAATGAAGCTGATTTTGGAAGAAGGCTTGAGATATCTACATTCTAGATATCACAAGAAGAATCGTGTCCATGCAGCGTCGAGTTGAGGACGTATGAGCACACTCGGGCGGCCCACAGTCGCCACATTAGAAAACCCCCAGGTTCAACCCATGTGCCAACTGCGTCACGTGGTCATGACGCGCATGATGAACCAGGACGCGTTTCACAACAATATGGATCCGACGCGCCGCACCATCACCATGCTTGCGGAGGTCCTCCTCGTCCTCGGCGGCTACCCCTCATCACTCATCACACCTGACGGGGTCGCGCCCGCTCTCGCGGAGCACCTGCATCCAGGTGAGGTCGCCGCGCTTACGACGCTGGGGCGCCTGGCTGGGGACTACCGTCGCGTCCGCGATTGGTCCAACGCAACGCAAGGCGCGGCGCGCGCCGCTGTGCTCAAGACACCGGAGGGAGGGAAGGAGCCAGGACAGTACGTTGCTGTCCTGGCCGGTGCGGTCCGCGGCGTCCTCGACGAGTACACCGACTTGCTTGTGGAAACGGAAGCGCGCATCCTCGCCAACGACAACAGCATTGTACAGCCCTTTGATTCAGGCGCATATGTCCCGCTTTCCCTCCTCCTCGCCACCTTCGATGAGTGGCACGCCCCACTTGTCTCTCTCGCCGCCCTCGTCCACTCCCTCCCACCAACACCGGGCGAACTCCTCACACACCTCACCACGCTTTCCTCCTCCGGCGACCCTTCTTTACGAAGGATATACACCACCCTCCTGAGCGCCGTGTGGCAACTCTTCCTATCTCACCTCTGCCTTTTCCTCCTCGATGGGCTTGCGCCTGACACATCATCTCCCTCCGTTCCAGCGCTCGGACTCGACGCCGGTGCCGACCCACCGCACCGCCTGTACAAACTCAATTTGGAGCTCCTTCCCATCTGCGTTGGGGCCAGCGCGCGCGAGAGCATGCTCTACGTTGGCAGGGTTGCCGCGACTTTGAAGCGCGAGGGACGCGCGCTGCCACGAGCTGTCACAGAACCCGCTCGTCAGCGAGTCATGACAGTTGAACCGGAAGGTCTGGACATGGCGCTGCAGCGTGTACGCGCCGACGTCGGCGAGTGGTTATGGACCCACATTCTCACGGGACAGCAGGTGGCTGACGCAATTGAGAGCTTGTGAGTGTAGCCGGTGTTGTCATTTCCATGACTGGCCGAGTGATCCTGCTCAATGCGCACTTCTAATACCAGCGCGAACTACTTCCTGACACGCGAAGCCGATTTTGCACTCAACGTTATCCGCGAGATTGGACGGTTGCGGCACGACCGCTTGGTCACGGCAAACCCTACGAGCTCTTCCTCTGTCATCCGACCACACGATCTGGATCTTGCGCTGCTCCGCGCCTCGGTCGGCACGGATGTCGAGCGAGACAAGGGTCTCGAGGCATTGCACTGGGCTATGCCTCTCGGTCCATTGAAACCGTCCTCGCTCCTTACGCCAGCCAAGTCTGACGATGTGCGCAGCCTTTTCGCACCCGCCCTCCTCGGTGCGCCGATTCATCTTACCGCCACTGTTTCCTGGCCACTCAACCTGTTCATGACCCCGCCAGCGCTGGCGGCGTACGGCGAAATACACGCGTACCTTCTCGCATTGCGGGACACGCACTTACGCGTGCTGGACGTGTGGACGGCGCTGGGTCATGCGCAACGGCGGAGAAGAGTATACACTGGTACTCACGAGGGAGGCGCCGACGCGCGGGAGCAAGCGCGGCGGAGCGCCCTCGCCCGCGCCGGATGGGGGTTAGTGCGAGGCATGCTGTTCGTTCTCGACCAGCTGCTGTCCCACTTTATGGTCGACATCGTAGGAGCGCAGCACCGCCGCCTCCTCGAATCGCTCGGGGACGGCGGGGCGCCCGGACGCGGTGCACAGTATCTCGATTTCCTCACGTTGCGGTAAGTCACGATGCCTCAGGAGCAACCGGCCGACTGTGCTAATGCCAGGCAAATGCACGCCCGCCACCTGGCATTCCTCCGCGAAGGCCTCCTCATTGCCGACCGCGAAAGCGCTGTACTTGTTCGCGACCTTCTCGACACGTGCAAGCGCTTCTGCGGGCTTGTGGAACGTTGGGGCGGCGACGTGCTCCCAGAGCTTCTCTCTGATGAAGAAGGGGACGTGGTCGGCGAGCGCGCCAAAGCAGTCGATGAGGTCAACGAGGTGAGCTCCATGAGATTGAACCAGCTGATAGCAGACACTCCTGGACTTGGTCACTGACCTCTTCCGCCTACTGCTTGAGTCGCAAGCGCCCCCCGTCGTCGACACAAGTATGAGTGGCAGCGCGAGCGGGACGGGCTCGGTGTCCACGCGTGCGAGTATTTCGAGGGCCAGTCTCAGCCGCCGCGTCGGACCCATGAGCAAGAGCCGAGTCGACGATGGCGAGGCGGCAGGGCGGCATGTTGAGCAGCTGCTCCTCCGCCTCGACTTCAACGGCGTGCTAACAGCGTGGCAGGAGGGGAGGGTGGGGAGCGTCTTGGCAGGGTTAGACTAGATAGCGAGGTCAGCTCTATTTGTATGCATATGTACAACTGTCAAGCTTGTCTATCGCCCAATCTCCGTCGCAGCCCTCGCTCGGCTCGGCCATCTATCGCTGAGGCTGCAGCGGCACGGGCTCCGGGTCCCCAAAGCTCTTGAGCAGCGTCGTGCCGTTCACCATCCCCGTTGTGGCCACCATGAACTGCCGCCCGCCCTGGCGGCTCATGAAGCGAAGCGCGCTGATCTCGGCGTACGTACAGCCGCCGAGGAAGAAAACGAGCGTTGTACCTGCCGCATGCCGGCTTGCGCCGCCAGTCCCCGAGTCCGAGCTAGCGCCGGGGAGGGCGGCGACAGCGTCCTCCAGCCCACGGAAGCCGGTGATGGGCCGCTTGCCCTCCATGCGCACGACGTCGCTCTTGTCGCCATTCATCGCGCTGCGCTGCGCTGCCGCCTGCACCAGCCGCACACTGGCGGGTGCGTAGCCCGAGTACACGTACGAGATGTCGTGTGGGTTCGCGTCGTCAACATCGTCGACGACTAGGCGCAGGTTCTTGCGCACACTCAGCGGCGGCTGAGCAGGCGATGGTGCCTTCACAAGCAGACCTAGCTCCTGCAAAGACACGAGGAGCGGCAAGTGGTGATACCCGTACGTCTGGAGGAAGTCACGTTTGAACGCCTCGAGCGGCTTCGGGCGGATGCCACCGGCCGTGAGAGACATGAGAACCGCGCTGCGCAGGACAGCGGGCATCGAGGCCTCCTGTGCCAACAGGTCCTCAATTATCGCGAGCTGGGCCGCCGGGTCATAGGCCGCCACGAGATTCTGCTGCGCCTCAAGCGTCTTGTTGAACTCTTCTGTCTGCGTGAGGGGCATGAGCTGCTCCGCAAGGGCCGTGTCTGAAATCAGCATGGAAAAGGAGCTCAACTTACGCAAGCGCAGACTTTCTTGCTCGCTCTTCAGGCCTCCGAGCTTGCCGACAAAGTCACGCATCTGGCTGACGCTCTTGAGAGTCTTCGCGCCGCCATAGTCAGTCTCGAGACGGCGCGCGAGCTTGCTCAGCCTGCTGCCCACAACAGCAAAGTTGAGGTCCCGAAGATCAGCAAACAGGCGATCGGCGGAGGAAAGGTGATGCTTGCGTTTCTTTGTTGTGGTGCTGTTCGGATCGAGTAGTTTGGGGTCGACCTCCATGTGGGCGTGGTGAATGCCGATGAACTCGTCGAGCATGCCCTCGTATGTGAGCTGCGTGCACATGGGCGTGACCCAGTCCACAGCGCGGTCAATGATGATGAGGCTGTCGATGTGCTCGGAGGGCGGCACCTCAGGCTTGTGGCGTTTGAGGAGGGCGGCGAGCTTCTGAGCTGCATCGCCCTTCGCCACTACTCGCGGGATGGAGCCGAAGGCACGCTGTAGCGTTCCCAGCGCTAGGGCCGAGTAGTAGATCGGTGTGTCATCGCCTCGGAGGAAGATGTCGCGCGCCACATCGTCAAGCTCCAGGCTTAGCACATCGTTCTCGATGGGAATGAGCTCGAGCTTAAACTCGGCCAACGTGACGTCGCCGATGACGCCCTCGTCTTCCAGCACTCTCCGGCACAGCTCAGTCACACGCGGCACCAGAAGCACAGTGTAGACCAGGCCTGGAGCGGCGCGGACTTGCTCGGCTATGACACGCATGTGCGCGCGTTTCGGCCGACAAAGCCAGACGACGTTACGTGTGTTGACATTGAGCGGGCCGGGCTCGAGCCAGAACATCTTGTCGACGCCATGGTGCTGGCGTTAGCGGTGTCACACACGGCAGAGCCAGGATGCTGCCGGGGTGTTCTCAGCCGTGGGTACAGGACCAGCACCTCAGTCGCCGAGAGGGTGATACGGTCCGCCCATAGATGCAAACGCATCGCGACTCACCTTCAGGCTGGCGACATCGGTCACGAGACCGAGCGGCCCGGCAAGGGCGGAGTCCAGCACAAGCGTCTTGGCGCCTTGCACCTGCCGTCAGTTCTAGCCTTGAAGGGGACAGCTGCACACCATCGCACCTCATTAAGCGCCTCAATGAGGGCCTGCTTCCCCAGTTCGCGCAGCACGGCCACATCGGGACCAGTGCGCGACGGAGGGACGATGCTCTCGGAGTCGCCCGACGTCGAAGGGGGCGGGACCTGAGCCGCAGGCCTCGATGGCCCGGCCGTTGCAGACATTGTGGACGATGTGGACTTGGGAGAGACGGGGGGTGGACAATGGCGTAATGGAACACTGGATCGCTGGGTGCCAGGTGGAATTTCAGGCACGTCGGGTCAGACGAAGGCGTAGACAATCAGCAATCCCTTCAGTCCATTCTCGGGTTGCTCCAATTCCTTATGTCCATCCGGGTTCGCCATTCAACGACGATGGACGACCTCTCTACGGGCACCGACAGCGACTACGCCAACTCGTGAGTACTGGATATGCGGCGCTAACGGCAGTTGGATCAGCTGGTTCCTCTCGACAAAGGGGAATGTGCGTTCTCTTTGGACCAAACAGGCGATATCGGGCTGATGACAGGAATACTTTGCGGAGGTTGACGATGACTACATCCTCGACCGTTTCAACCTCACAGGTCTGAACGGCGAGGTCGTGAGCGAGTACCAGCGCGCCCTAGACTTGATCACCGACACGCTGGGTTAGTCGCGCGCCTTCGCCGCCTTCCTTCACCCCTGTGCTTCATGGCTCTTCTCACCCCGCCTGGGGACGATGGAGACAGAGTGGGCTGGTTGGAAGGAGGATGTCTCGGTGTTTGCACACGCGCTAACCTTAGACGACGAGGACCTGGATGAGGAAACGCGCGAGACTATCGAGTCGTCCGCGAGATTCTTGTATGGTCTCATTCATGCGCGCTACGTGATCACCAGCCGAGGATTGCAGAAGATGGTGGGTACATTGAGAAACATGGAGGGAAAGCCCCAGGGCGAGAGTGCTGCCCGCGCGCCGAGGAGGCAATGCGGACGATACTCTTGGTGGGCCGCTTCCGGCACACTGCCAACGTAGGAACCCGCCTGCTGCTTCCTTGGATCGCCGATGCTCCTCGCTGCACCTTCCCGCGGTTTCTCAAAGTCCCCATTCTCTCGCCCGCCGGACGCTAACTTCAGCTCGACAAGTACCGCAAAGCCGACTTTGGTCGCTGCCCGCGCGTCTACTGCTACTCGCAGCCTCTTTTGCCTGTCGGCTTGACCGACATCCCGTTCCAGAAGCCTGTTAAGCTCTATTGCCCCCGCTGCGAGGACATCTACTCGCCCAAGAGCAACCGCCACGGCAGCATCGATGGCGCCTACTTCGGCACGACATTCCCGCACATGCTCTTCATGGCCTACCCGCAAATGATTCCAAGCAAGGGCCAGCCAAGCGTATCGGACCGCTCGGACTTGCGTCGCGAGCCGGCCGGCGTCGGTGCCATCAGCACTGCCAGGGCGGCCCTCAAGGCTGAACGGTACGACCCGAAGATCTTCGGATTCCGGCCGCACGAGGATGCGCAGCTCGCGCGCTGGCGCACCGCGCGGCGTGATGCCCAAATTGCTCGTCTTGAAGCGCTAGAGAATAACCCCAACTTGTGATTATAGATACATGCAGCGGATTCTGATCGTTATATTTATGGGTCCGACGCACTTCCGTCCTGCGTTGGGTCTGAGGTCGAGTCGGGCAATGCCGCGCTCACCTCACCGGAGTCGAGGAAGACATCATCATTTAGATCGAGGCCATTTGCGGTCGCCGCCGCATCCGCCCGCCACTCTGGCCCTCCTAGATCCACCTCGTCGTCCGATAGACTCGAGTCGGAGCCACCACCTAACCACGCTGAGATGCTGCGCCGCGATCGCGTGCGGTTCTTAAAGCCGAACGCCGCAAGCGGCGAGCTGCGCATCTGGCGGAATGTATCGCCAAACGAAGGTGCCGTATTTGAACGCGGCAGCTCGTTCGGCGAGGTGACGGCCTGCACGTCCGTGATGTTCTGCGTGCGCGGGATCTGAAGCCGGTCAGGCCGTCTGCGACGGCTACTGCCACTCCCTTGCCCATCCGCACGGCGGGCGCGCAGCGCAATAGCCGAGTCAGCGTCAGACTCGAGCGGCATCGTGCCCGTCGGCGCGGCGCTGGGCCGCTCACGCGCCAGCGCCATGCGCACCTCCGCGCGGCCGCGGTGGATCGCGTCCTCGATCTTGGCGCGGTTGTGCACCATGTGGATCGTGGGCCATGTCACGCGCTGACCGACCAGGATCATGCGCGCGAGACCCTTGCGGTCTGGGTCATCGAGGATGTGCAACCAGTCGAGGGGCCGGCTCTTAGGAATGAGAGTGAGATCACCGAAGAACCGCTGCAGGAATACGCCGCTCCAGTCGCTCTGCAGCAGTTGCGGCAAAAGGTCTAGGTCACGGATGACCTTGAAATGCTTGGACAGATCGAGCTTGATGTACGATTCAAGGGCGCTGAGAATGAAGCCACCGCGCCATCCGCGGCCTTTGCGGTGCGCAACGGGACGCCCGACGGCGCCGCGCGGGGCGAAGAAGAATAAGTGAATGTGGGGGTTGGTCTGGGATACGATGGAAAAGTTGCAGTTGAACTGGGTGTGCAGCGAACTGAGGGGGATGTCCTCGCGCAAGCTGCCGTCCTTGAACCGCGAGCCGCCGAGATTGTGAGGCCGCACCGATCCGTCGCGGTCCTTGGCCATGAGCACCACAGGGTTGAGAATGCCAGGGACGGCGGCGGAGGCGATGATCGCCGACCAGATGACACAGTTGGGCGCGGTAAGGTGATTGAGCAGGATCGTGGGTGAGTGGCGGTCTGCAGGAACCACGGAGACGTTGAGGGCGCGTCCCGTCCGCTCGTACGCTTCCTTGAACGTAAGTGATCCGCGGGTGAAGTACATGGCCTGGCGTCAGACACAAACGGGCACGTGTAGGATTACCTTCCGAGCCCACTCGAGGGCGGAGAAGCGAGCGCCGGTTTGCATCCACCGGCGAATCCAAACGGAAAAGGGGTCCTCGAGGGCGGTAATCTTGTCCGCTAGTTCGGGCCGGATAAGCTGCTTGAGTTCCGAGTCGGTGTACGTGCAAACGAGTGCAGCGATCAAACCGCCAGCTGACGTGCCAGTGATGACGCGAGGTAGGAGACCGTGGTCGAGAAGGGCGCGAGCAACGCCAAAGTGGTAATACCCAAACGAGGCGCCGCCCGATAGACACAGCGCCGATGTGCCATAGTTCTTGTTGAGGCGACGGAAGAATGCGCGCTTCTCCTCGAGCGTGACATTGGACGCGGTACGAACGTAGTCGAGGCTGGCAGCGACCTCCTTAATATGTGCCTCGACCAGTGTCTTGGTGCCGTAGAATGTCTCCGAGTACATCCGTGAGCTCTCGGTTCCAGCAAAGTTCGGGCGGACGCAGATGCTCAGCGCATCCATGAGGGCGCGCGTGTCCTTAGCCAGGCGGAGTTTGTAAAGTGTAGCGCGCACGCGACGCACCAGGTTTGCGTCAAAGTACCCATCAGAGTCCGTCTCCTTCCAGTCATCGAAGCAGAGTTCGTCATCGAGCTCCTTGGCCGTTGCTCGCCATTCCTCGTATGACTTGGCGTTCCGCAACTTGCGCTTGAGGACGCGCTGCACGCCGCGCCATGCAAATAGCCACTCGAAGACGTTGACGACCTGACGCGTGAGGACGTAGGCGCTGAACTCAATCCAGATGATGAGAAAGAAAAAGGCCTAGTGTCAGAACGGCCATCGGGGAACGCACGAGAAGTGGCCATCGGATCAGATGATAGGTTAACCCGAGGCTCTGCTGACCTGCCGATCGGCGTCTGTCGTTAGCGACTTGTGGATCGCGGACGGCCGAGCGGAAACGTACTTTCGCACGCGCGAATGAATGGGCTGTGGCGTCAGTTGTCTCCTGTAGAACAGCAGAAAGGTCTGAAACGCACAGCAAAGTCAGATGTCGCTGTCAACTTCTCCACCCCCTTCGACCACTCGGGCGCGTCGTGCGGCGTCAATTGTGGCGACTTGAGCATGGCGGGCGACATGTCACCTTCGATTGGAGCCACATCTTGTAAAGACAGGGCATGCTCAAAGGCAGCGAGATGTCTATGTGTAAGTAAGAGTCTACGAGTCTCCTATATCTTACTCTTCGTTGATGTGGTTGTAGGTCCAGAGGGTGGGGTCGACGCCCTCGGGAATGTCGTCGATGGCGGTCATGGTGTCGTCTACTACTCAGACATCGATGAGCGTAGCAGAATGCGAGCCAGATGTGAACAGATGAGAATGAATGAACGAGATGTGGTATGCTGAGCGTCACTGGACAGCGTCGGGAGATGGAAGAGCTGGGGATATGGACGTTGTGGTAATCTCCTGGGGGGGAGGAGTGCCTGGAATGGCGCGCGCCGGGCACCATCCTCATTCGCCACCGTATGGAGCGCGGAGGATTCCATGTCGTCACTCGCTCATCCCATCATCACCCACTCTTTGTCCACGCACCCCTCGTTCAATTGTTGGCATTCATCAACAACCTCTCCGCCGTGACTGCTCGTCGCTCTCCACGCGCTGCACGTTTGATCACACACAACGTCTGGGCGCCCGGCCATGTCAACTCCGCTTCTTGCCCAGTTTCCATCCTTGGCGGCTTACCCGTCCTCGTTCCTCAAGGACCTTCTCTCCTCTCCAGAACTCACTGAAGCGTTCCTCTTCTCTCTCCCGGAGGTTCAGGAGCTCGTTGGCGAAGTTGAGCAGCTCGGCCGCGAGAACGTCGAGCTTGCACGTACGCCGTTCCGCGTGACCATTCTGACAGCAGAACAAAATCTCGCATTGCGCGACGAGTTGATAGCGCTCCGCGACGCAACCGCGCAGTCGTACAGCCACGCCGAGGCTCTCAAGGCGCACTGGGCCCAACTGGAGAAGACACAGGCGAGCCTCTACCAAGTACATGCGATATTGAGCTCCTGGCTGACGAGCAGCGCCAGCGTCCTTCCTTCCTCCACATGCGGCTGAAGCATAGCTTGACAGCTCAGGATAACGAGAGTGAGAAGATAGCAACGACGTTCATCGAGGGCCGCACCGACTCGCCGGCGGCAGGTGAGAGCGGGCGTGATGCTGCGCTTGACGCGTTCATTGCCGAATTCAAGGCTGCGCGCAAGACGTATCATAAGCGTAACATTTGGGCGGAGCGGTGGAGCCGCGGGGAGGTGGCGTGGCGCGACGACTAGTGTTGTTGTACTATATACGCGCATGTGCATTGCATAGCATTTCTTGGCGCCGGGACTGATTCGCCTTGAACGTCAAGCAACCTGCCAAGATTGCAAGACCTCGCTTGCAGACCGCATGGACCGGTGATCGACCGAGACTGAAAGAACGCTGGGTGAGCGTTACGAGGGTCACGTGACAGCCGAGACTCTTGGAACCTCGGCGCCGGCGTAAGCCGGGTACATGGGCCGGGGTTGGCCAGTATCATCACGACTGCGGGATCCTGGTCGCCAAGCTGCTCTCTTTCCCCCCCCCCCTGGCCCCAACCCAACCATACTAGACTGCCCCGCCCACCAAGCTCATCTCATCTTGCTTTCTACCTCTGTCCGTCACACTTACTCCAACACTTACTCTACAGAGCCCTCCATACATCTTATCATGGCCTCGAATCCCGACTCTCGGCCCCTCCCCGACGGCTGGGTCACCCAGTGAGTGCCCACCGCCCTCTGGGTCAATCCTCGCTGACCGTAGGCTCAACACTGAGTACAACACCTGGTTCTACGTGAACACGAAGGCGCCCGGCGGTCCCCAGTCGCAGTGGACTCACCCGGCAGACGACAAGCCGCCTGCTCATGAGTTCTCCTCCCCGTCCGGCCCACCTCCGGGCCAGAATGAGAAGGCGGGATACAACGCCGAGAAGAGCGAGTATGCTCAGGCCGGACAGCAGCCGCCCTATGACCAGCAGCAGTTTGCGCAGCAGCAGCAGTTCCAGCAGCCGTACCAGCAGTCGCCACCGCCACAGCAGCAGCAGCAGAGCGGCAAGCGAGGCTTCCTCTCCAAGCTGACCGGCAAGGCGTCCGGTAGCCAGCAGCAGGGCTTCGGTGGCGGATACCCCGGCGGCTACGGCGCCCCACCGCCCCCGGGCTACGCTCAGCCCATGGGCTACGGCCAGCAGCCGATGTACGGCGGCTACCCCCAGCAGCAGGGGATGTACGGCCACCAGCAGCCGATGATGATGCAGGGCGGACGCCGCCCGGGCGGCGGCGGAATGGGTGAGTTACGCGCGATTGAGCGATTAGGCTGACTCTCAGGCGCTGGCGCTGGCCTCGCAATGGGCGCAGGTGCCGGTCTTCTTGGTGGCATGATGATCGGCAATGCCATGGCAGACGTGAGTAACAGTGCCCTCATTCTCCTGTCGCTCCGAGTCGTTTCCAGAAGCGCACAAACGTGCGCGGGGTCTGTCGCATGTAGCGCGACCCAGAACTCTCAGGACTCTTGACGAATTCCCTTCGCGGGAGCTAAAGAATATGCTGACGCCAGAACGAGCACGATGCCTACGCTGAGGGTTACGAAGATGGCGCCGGCGGTGACGGTGAGTCTGCCAGAAGAATAGGTAGTGAGACGGTAATGCTGACGGCACAAGACTTCGGGGGAGACTTCTAATTGCTAGGTGCTTCGGGTTGGGACTGAGTTCGCGCAAGCGGATGACCCAGGCCACCGTCTGCGCGCTGCTCCTCGTCATCGGCAGCGATGCCCTCCCTTGACTTCTGTTCTAGACTTTGCCTAAATCAGCTCTCGACTTGACTCAGTAGTATCCTAGACTCTCGTTTCGTTTCCATTTCAGTACTATGTGACGCCGCTCGTATACGATGCCGTGCTGCTGGTTCTGACTCATATGACGGGAGGACGCGCATGTGTCGGTGGATTGGTGCTATGACATGATAAATGACGTCATTACGAACGAGGCGGTGCAAACAAGCATGAGAGTGATGTGTGCGATCCGTGCGCCACACGATGGTTCCGACAACTTCTAGTTTGAGATCTCAGATCCCGGGGATCACTTGTTCGCCGATTGCCGATCGCCGACACTCGTCCTCAACGCTGACAGCCATGCGCTTACCATCAGCACTCAAGTAGCGCGATGGCGCCGACACAGTTCACAGACTTGAACGCCGACGTGCTCTTGCACGTCGCCGCGCTTTTGGCGCCCGCGCCTTCGACGCTCGGCGAGCACTGGCTGAACGGGGCCAGACCCACGCCAAGTAGCGCCGACCTGCGTGCGCTGCGGGTAACGTGTAGGCATACCCGCGAGGCATTACCCGCGTGCGGCCTTGACGTGCGCCTCAAGGATGGACCCATGGTGCAGAATGAAATGGCGCGCTGGGCCGAGGCGCCTGCGGAGGTGTTGGGCCGGGTCCGGTGAGTGGGCCTCACCGCATCCACTGCCTCGTCTTGAGAATTCGCTCCCCCATAGGAGCGACAGCTGCTCGCGTAGCTCTTGGTCGGTTTCTGCATCTTCTCCCTGACGCCAGACGCATTACCCTCCCGCCTTCGAGCCGCGGACAGGACATCATTACGCCAGCGACTGCGACTTCGCGCCTTGAGGTGTTATGCACCCTGCTCTCCCGCTGCCCAAACCTCTCCACACTAGAAATCGCCCACAACCCCTTCTGTGTGCACGACGAGTATGGACTAGGCCGCGAGCGTCTCTTCCCACTCATCCCCTCCCACCCTCCGACATTACACACAATCTCGAGTCTGAGTGTGGCGCTCAAATGTAGGATATGCGCGATCGAGCTCACGCGGCTCTTCGCTGCGTGGAGCAACCTTGCGTTCTTGCGTGCCAGCGTCATGATGCCGGCACATGTCTCGCCTCGGCTTGCACTCGCGCCTCTGGTCAATGAGATGCACTCCCTGCGCACGCTGCGTCTCAAGGTCACAGACGACTGGTGGCTGCCAGACGTCCTCACCGCGCTCTCGCCATGTCGGGCACTGAAGGATCTGCACATCGCTCCATACGACGCCAGCCGCAAAGTTGCCGTTATCGACTCGCTTGCTCGCCCAGGGCACGACGCCGGCCTCGGCGCAGCGGGAACCTTCATGGATGTCCAGAATATGAGCGAGAGCCCCGGTCGCGCCAAGCCCGCGACACCACTGGCGTCGTTCTTCGCCGCACTCAGCGCCTTTCAGATCGAGGAGCTCGACCTCTGCCTCTCTCCCGCTGCCGTCGACCCGTCCTTGGCAGACATGGACGTCGATACGGATTGGCGCGACAAAGCTGCTGAGGCCGCCGAGAAACTGGTCGAGACTTGCCCCACGCTCAGGCGCGGCTGGTGGTGGATCCAGCTTGTCGATCTCGACTACCACCAGCTGCAAGGGTACGAGCGCTGGGCGTGGGTGGTCGATGATGCGGGGGTCAGGCTCGCGGATGACCCGCATCGCCTGGCGCCGCTGGTAGTGCGGAACCAGGACGGGCAAGGGACGACGACTGAAATCCCGTCTGAAGAGTGGAACTAGATCACTGTATGCCTCGGGTTGTGCTTGTAGACCATATGTCCGCCTTTGTGTACTGAATATGACGACGTAATGCCACCTGGTAATGCTGTTAATATTGAACGCGTCCTGGATGGACCAGCCATTTGTTGAGCTAGGGAGGCACCAGACCTCGATACCCTGAGTCCGCCATGGAGAGCCACCAGACGCGTCTGACCTTGGTTCTCTTACCCTTCCCTCATCCTGCCATCCTCATTCATTCTTCCATTCTTCATCTCCATCTCCACATCACTCCCTCGTCCTCTCTTTCTCCCTCTCTCCCTCTCTATCTCGCTCTATCTTGCTCCTCTTCTCGTCGTCCTCTGATACACTCCGCGTAACCCCCATTCACCATCACATCGCTACTCGAAATCTTGACATTGGGCGACGCGGCCTGCGCAGCGCGCGCTCGACTCTTCCACCCTCTTCCCCCGTCATGCCCGCCATCCCCTCGTCACGGCCATCCACGGCGCCCCTCGTGAGCTCGAAGACCTCGCCTTCCGTAACAAGGACCCCGGTGGCATCGAAGTACCCCGCGTCGTCATTCACAACGCCATCCTCCTCGAGTTCGACGCGTCCGTTACTTGCGACGAAGGTCGTCCGTAAGTCACGAGTCATGCTCGCGTATAGCCGCACATCATATCCGCATTTTCGTGCTGACACTTACAGACGCTATTGACACAGCTCGACGAAGAAGCGTCGCCTTCGCTACAGACAAGAACCAGACCAAAGAGTTTGCCAAAGACTCTCCCATCATGGTCCCTGAAACGGCCCCTCCGCCGTCAATTCGCGCGTACTCCCCAGTCACTAGCTCGCCCATCCCCTCCAGCGACCGCGCATCGTCGCCCTCCCGTCCCCGTCGGCCCATCCTTAAGGCCAGCGACCCGTCTATGATCCGCGTCGCTCGAACCGTGCGCGAAGGCTCGTGGGCCAACCGTGAGCCAGCGAGGAGGCTTGTTGTTGGCAGCCGCCCAAGAGATGTGGCGCGCAGCGGCTCTCTCGCCCAGTTGTGCGACACAGCTGAGGATGGCGTTGCAGGCAGGCTACCTAGTGAGGACGACATGCCTGGCTCGGATGACAGCGCGGGCGCGGCGGATGCACCTGCCAGCGACGGCTCTGACGAGGAGCCAGAGGAGGTTGAGTGTCTGCATCCAACGTCTCTCGTCAATGTAATCCTCGAGGGTGCGGAGGATCTCTTGACCCTAGAGGAGGCCTACACTACGCTTACGAATAAGGTGCGCGAGCTTCCCCTTATCTTCGGCCCTGTTACCGAGGCCGCACAGTTCCAGCTCGATGCCGTCGCCGAGCCCATCTCGGACGAGGCGCCAGCACTCGTCCGGGCTGTGACGCGCGACCTGAGCCGCTTGATGGGGAAGGTTCCGCAATCAGAGCACTCGCAGTCATCAACGCCGTTTCGTGGTCTTATGTTTGAAAGGGCTTCGACCATACGCTTACCACCATCACCGTCAAACTCCCCTATGAAGAAGGGGTACTCGGAGGCCGAGATCCGGTATCGCCGGGAGGCCTCGAGTGTTGGCGCTGCTGCCCTCCGCTTCCTCGCTGCGCTGTACAGCTCGCCGCGTCTCTTCAGCTCTTTCACCGAGGGGGACCTCGTTGCCTTGCTCGAGCAGGTCATCATGATCCCAAAGACACCAGTCCTCCCGACGCCCATTCCGAAGCGCACGTACTCGTTGGCGCTCTTGGTTTTAGCCCACCTCAGAATCCCGTCAAGCTGGGTTGCCAGGCTCGACGGCAAGATATTCGACGCCCTCGACAGCGCTTGGAACGTGCTGGGCACCGGCGGGCCACCGTTTGCCTTTAAGGATTCAGCGGTGGTCAAACGCGAGGCCTTCACTGCGCTCTCTGCTCTCCTCCGCTTTTACCCCCAGATCATGGTCCCAGGGTATAAGCGCTACTTGGCCACCTCACTCCGAGCCCTATCAGCAATAGACACTGAGATGCGCCGCCTGGCCTCGGCTGCCATTTCCGCCTTCGTCAAGGCACGATACCAGCTCCTCGCTGACGCCGAGCTGGCTGTTCAGTTCGACAGGGAGCGAAACGCCAAGGTCGAGTGGGAGGACTTACGGGATCTCGTGCACAGGAGTGAGCTGTACGCTGCCCAGTTCTTTAAAACTTCAGTGAAGCCCTCACCTAGGCGTTACAACGATACCAGGCCCGACAATGGTCAACAGGTCCGGACGGAGTGGAGTTGCCTAGAGGCCGCATTCAAGTCACTGATCGGGAAGCAGGAAGACGTTGCCTGGGCTTGCTCGACCTGGGCTGTCGTTGTGACCTTGATGGGCTCGTCGTACAACTCGTTCCCTCTCGGCATTCTCCTGGATCACATTATGGACGTGAGTCATTAGGCAGGATACAAGCTAACCTTAGCGCTCGCTGCAACCATCATCAAACACGGTCCGCCCCGCTCTGGCATGCACTGCTTGGCAGCATGCCATCCACGCATACCTGCTTGCTGGGTCCTCTTGTTCCATTTCAAATGGTCGCATGGTGCGCTCCTTCAATCCTTTCACGGCATCATCTGGCCTCAGCGCTACAGCTCGTGTCAACCGGATCATGTTCCCCTTCAAGAATGCCATGCAGGAGGCCCTCGATGTGCGGAACTTTGCTCGCGCACTGGTAGAGTTCCCCGAGTTCCGCAACGACAAGCGCTGGACCTGGAAGCGAAGCGAGAAGCCGCGCAGGACAGCGTATATGATCTCCACCGGCTCCATTGCGCCCGCCATCGTCTTCGCCTATACTACTCTTGCACTCGACCATGAGGACCAGGTCGCCAGGGAGGTCTCGCGGCTCTCAGGATTGCCATCGTCGGATGGTATCGTGTCCGACCTCACACCCGAGGAGCAGCGCCTTCCGCGTTTGGACCAGACATTTGAGCTCATCCTGCTGCCTATCCTAAAGCAATCATTCCCCATTTGCGGCGTTGACATCCTCAAAACTCAAGCGTGGTCGATCTTTGAGGCCATCACCGCGGAACCTGCACCTAACGCTCCTCGGCGGTCCATCGACCGGCTCCTTTCCTGGCGGTTCCTCAAAGGTGATGTAATCAGCTTGGAGGCGACCGACCAGGCTCTTGCCCAGGAGCTGGCCACTGCTTTCGAAGGGGACCGCATTAAGCCCTCCGAGATCCCAGCGTGGGGCAAGCTCTGGATTGCCAAGAGACTGGGCAAGCTACTCGCGCTGTTTGTGGACGCGTTCGACGGAATTAGTGGAATCAACACTCTCAGCTCAGTTGACTGGGTGCGTAACGCAGATGGCATCGTCCTTCTTCCCAAGACGCTCGCACGGGTATGGACCAACCTTCTCGGCGCCATGTCGATCACGCACGTGCCCGACGGACCCGCCACTCCCCTCTTCAAGGTCGGTCTGCATGCTGTCATGAGGACGCTGCTGGACATCTTCGACCGCGACCCGGCGGCATACCTGCCTATCTGCCTTCTCAACGAAGAGGGCCAGTCGACGCTGAGTCCTGCAGCGATCCGCCTGGGCGTAGTTATGCACCTCTTCCGCCTTGCAGAAGAAGTCCTCGGCGAGCGGGTCCTGGGTACCGTGCAGGGCGAGTCTTCCGCCCAGCAACGAGCTCAGGACGAGGACGAGGCATTCGGTAGCCCAACTGTGGCGGGCCACCTGTTGAAGCACATCCTGCGTTCCGATCTCATGGCTCAGATGGACGACAAGACGCGCGAGCGCTTCATGGAGTTTATAGGATCCCTGCTCCGCATCGGTTCAGCACAGAATACGCGGATGCTGGGACACGTCGCCAACGCGATGCCGTGGATCTTTGAGCATAACGAGCGCTTGCAGCTGGACGTTTGGCGCACACTTGGTGAGCTTTTGTACGATATCCAGTGACATTTCCTAACCTTAGCTCTTGCCTGGATCGACGCCGTCGATTTGCAGCCCTCGGACACGGCGGCCAGGACCAACTACACGGGTGACTTGCTTGTAAGCCTTCTCTCGTGCCCATTCCGCAATGAAAACTCCGACTCGGTTTGGTACAGCAACCCGGCCGACAAGGACCTCACAGCATGGGATTCGCTGCTAGAGACGACAGTCTTGCGCTTCCGCGCAAAGCGTGTCGGCTCCAACTTTGGTGTTCTTGAGACGCTCGCCGCCCACTTGCAGGACTTTGCAGTGGTCTCCGATGATCGGATGGCCAACGAGGCTCGCATGACTGCGCCCACTACGTTACACTGCCTCGCCGTCGCAGCATCCAAGGTCTCATTCGTGCCTACCGAACATTATCACGCCTCGCACTTCAGTATCAACGAGAATTACGTCCCCGTCGACTTCCTCGGCTACGTCTCTTCGGCGCTCAACGCGTCATACCCCTCCGCCCAGCCGAGCGCCATTGCCCTGCTGATCAGCTCCATTGCAGGCGTTTTCCGAGCGCTTCCCGCCGACTCGGTACCCGATATTTTGGAGCCACTGCGAACCTCGTTGGTCAAGTGGATGACAGACGAGGCGAAGGTGTCCACGGGCGACCTTGTGCGCCAGCTCGATGACCTGTACATCGCCGTTCTGGGCGCCATTACTCTCGCCATCGAGAACGGCAGCATGCCAGCCTCGAGCGCCACAATGAACAACCTCATTGACATCTATGCGCCTCGCCTCTCGTGTGCACAGAGCGCTGCCGTCCCAACCGCATTCCAGGACTTTTGGCGCCGGTCGTTCCAGCCCGTTTCCGGACTTGAGTATTCCGACGACGTCGCCGGCTTCCTCCAGGATGTGCTCGCTGCTGTTCCAGGACTCATTATTGTTGAGGGCCTGTACTCCGACGAGTCACAGTCGGCAGCTAGTGAACGCTTCCCTCACGCCGAATCAGTGCCAACGCAGATCGTAGACACCCCACTCGAGATGTCTGCCGACCTCGTGACTGAGACACAATCCCATCCGTATGAGGAGGAGGCGGACGACGTAATCGACCTGTCCCTCGACGATGCTGCCAGCCCACATCCGACTGAGGTTGAAGTGCCCAACGTTCCCATCGACTACGACGCCGACGTGTCGCAGACGCAGCAGACTCAATTGGAAACGCGCAAGCGCAAGAGTGAGGTCCTGATCGACACGTCACCATCCTCGGCGGACTCGCCAGACGTCTTTGGGCCTAGGAAACAAGCCAAGCAGAGCAAGAGCAGTCGGAGACACAAGCGGTCGAAGATGGCGCGCAGGTCACGCGAGTCGACTTCACATGTCGGCGACGAAACCGTGATCCCTGGTACCGACATCGAGGACGAGGAGCCAACGCCCTCGCGCCCATCGGCGAAACAGGCGCACTCCAACGAATCCATGTTGGGACGTTTCCTCAGGCGCGTGCCGACCATAGGCGCGTTCTTCACAGAGCGCGTACCCGCGTCCTACGAGCCCGCGTCCTACGAGATCGAGGATACGGATGTTGACGAGGACGAGGGGACCAGTCGGTCCGAGCCGATCAGTGAGATTGGGAACAATACATACGACGAGTTGGTGAGCCACCAGGACATCGAGATGGAGCAATCACAGGCGACCCCATCTGCTGCTGAGGGCGACGCCGCGCCGGAAGTCGAACTTGAGGAAGGTGAGGGCGAGGCGAGGCCTTCCTCATCCACGCCTCCAGTCCCCGCCACCCGTAAGGCTCGAGCCAAGCAGTCGACGCCCTCTCTCGAGCCGACGCAGACCGACTCGGTTCCAAGCTCGCAGCATGGCTCGCGGCGGCGCCGTTCTCGGCGCGTCGCAGTCGAGTCGCCGGCAGAGGTACGCACCACTCGCTCCCGTAAGGGCGTAAGTGTTGGACCATCTGCCGCGGGAGTCGCTGCTGCCCCAAAGCACTTGGCCGCCGACTCAACTCCTGAGGTGGAGGAAGCCCAGCCCGGTTCTCCCAAGAACGACCACCAGACCGAAGACTCACAGCGTGCCACTCGATCCTCGTCCCGCCGTAAACGCGCGTCGGACAGTGTGGATGCGATGCCGGCCAAACGTCTCCGCTCGACCGCACCTGCCCCCACCGCCCCCTCCCCGCCCGAGAGGAGCAAGGACGCCCGCGTCCTCCGCCGTGAGCGCCGGCAGCGGGCCGCCAAGGCTGCCAGCGCTGAGCACCGGGAAAATGATGTGGAGGTGCCAACTGTCGCACGCGAGCCGGAGGTCGAGGTGCTAGCGGAGGCAATCGAGACCGAGCCCGTCGCGGAGCCGGAAGAGGTCGCTGAGCCCGCGGACCTTGAGGGTGACGCTGAGCCCACGGAGGCTGAGCTCGACGCCGAGGACATGGAGCGCGAGCCTGTCCTCGTCGAAGAGATGCAGGTCGAGGCTCCAGCGGTGCCCGAGCCTGGGATGGAGAGTGAGATCGGCCAGTCGCCCGATCTTGAGGAGGGCGATATCGAGATTGAGGGGATGCCTGCTGAGGCTCCAGTTTCCGCCGTGGTCGAGCTCCCCCAAGAAGAGCCCGCGGACCACACGGCCGAGGTTCCCTGCGCTTTCCTAGACGCACCTTCCGTGATCGAGGGCGCCCCGGTCTTGCCCAATGCGTCCGTCGACGACACGCCCGACCGCTCCGAGGCGATCCCCTCGGCCTTCATGGACGCTCCCACGCCCGTGCCGGCGCCCAAGGCCGCCCCTGCTCCCGTCGATAACCAAGACGACATCCTCGACGAAGACGAGGAGGAGGTCGAGCGCCTCGTTGCCCAGAATCGCCTGCTGGGCGCCCTGGAAGAGGTCGTGGCCGACGAGGCGCTCGCGCACCTCGACCTGACCGGCATCAACGCCGTGCTCGCGTACGCGCGCCGCCTGCAGGATGCCGCGATGGCGACGCTTGCTGCATTCGCACGCGACGGCGAGGCGGGCCGCCGACGCGCCCGCATTTCATAGTTTTACTATTCATTTAGCATTAGCATGGGTCCGTAGTTTTGCGCAACGTTTGGTTGCAATGTATTGTATTCTATGCAGACGCCTTGTCACAGTATACATGCTTACAGCTACATTCTCGTTATCATTATGCAGGGTCACTTCCGACTCGCTCTCCTTCTAATCGCCTCATGCTTGTTGCTATAACTTCCGCCACGCCGTGACGATCCACAGCGTCCACACGCACCCGATAAACCCGAGCCCACAGAAGAAGAACTTGCGGCCGCGCTTCCGCTCAGCTTCGCTCCGCGCGAGGCCTGACTGCGGTCCGTCCTCCTTGATCTTGGCCGCGATGGCGCGCGCCCGGGGATCCTCGACGAGCGGCTCGTCCTCGTCGCTCGTCAGCCCATCATCGTCCTCCATCGGCAGCTCCTCGTACTCGGCATACTCCTCCCATGCGGCATGCTTGGCGGCGAGGCGCCGGCGGCGCTCGAAGCGCCACAGCGCAATGGACGAGATGAGCTGCACGGCGTTGATGGCCGCGTAGATGAGGAGCAGGCCCTCGGCGGCGCCGCTCTCCCCGCGCCGCTCCTTCGCGTAGTCGAGCCACAAGCCTGCGAGAGTTTGCGAGGCGCTCGACGCCGCCGTCTCGAGCGCCTTATGTAGGCCCAGGCCTAGAGGGACGAGGGCGACGGGCATGATGCGCGGGATCATAACGACGAGGAGGAGCGTCGAGGCACCATGGCCAAGCGCCCATGAGATGAGGCCGGGCCACGGCGTGCCTGTCAGTGACACGGGCAGCGCGAGGAAGATGTAGCAGAAGAGAGTGAGGACGGAGGTTGCGAAGAAGAGGTAGAATGTCGTGCGCGGCGAGCCGGGGTCGCGGTCCGTTATCCAGCCCACGATCGGGTAAAGTACGATGGCGCCGGCCATGAGCACTGAGGCGTTCATGCTCGCCTGGGATTCGGAGAGGTTGAAGCGGACCTGGACAATCTGAGGGTCAGTTACCAGAGGAAGGTCGGCTCACGTTGGCGCTGAGGTGGAGGAAGGGTTGCCAGATGGCACCGCAGAACAGGTTGACGAGGATGTACATCCAGAAGACGTCGCCGAGGCGGGAGACGCCATCGAAGCGTACGATGCGCTTTGGGCTGACCTCTGCAGCATCGCGCGTCTGATCAGCTCCGCAGCCAAGGCCCAGGCGTAGGACGTTGGCGGAGAAGGAAATGATGCAGAGTGCCAGGCCGACAGCAAATGGCGCCGTGTCACCACCCGCCTCGGCGAGCGGGAGGGAGGTGAAGCTCGCAATAAAGCTCGATGTCTTGCCGCTCACCAAACCCAGGGCGAGGGAAAGGCCCAGATGGCCGCCAGGGGACAGGCGCGCAAGCAGCGTCTCCTGCACGACCATTAGAGGTGTGCTGCCAAGCCCGAAGAGGAAGTAACCGAGAGCCATGATGGCGATCGCTCCGGATGCAACGCCAGCGTAGAGGATCACAGCGCCGAGAAGGATGAAGCCGGTGGTGATAAGGGACGAGGCGGCTGTGCCGTAGCGTGCTACCAGGATGCCAGCAACGAGCGGCGTCCATGTCGAGTTGAGGCAGTCGTCAGATGCCGATCTGGGCCAAGGAACTCACTTGAGCGCCGAAATCATGAGCGAAAACTGGCTATTTGTCGAGCCGAGCTCGCGATGGAGCTTGCTCTTGATCGGCCCAGACACATACATCAGACTGGTGTTAGTTTGAGATCTGTTTGGCATCGGGGATCGGCAGCTACGTTTCGGGCATCGTGCGCCATGGGACAGCGCTGACTCACAAGTGGCTCCCGATACTTAGCGTACACACTGCGATGAGAGCTAGCGCGCGCGACCGGTCGACCTTCCCCGAGCCCTCGCGAAGGTCGGCGACGGAGCGGGAACGGATGAGGCTCGCATTACTGAGTCTCCGGTGCAGGGGCGCCGCGGCGGCCGGTGAGAGGGCCCGTGGGTCCATCGTCGTGCGTGGAGAGTTGAGTCTAGAGACAGGAGTGCGCGGCAGTGGTGTATACGACGGCGTGGACTGGAGGTAAGACGAGCGCTCGTGCGGAGGAGTGCAGGGCGGGGTGCGGATTGGGGTGCTGCACTCGTTTGAGAGGAGGTCGGATGTCTCGGAAGGGATGATGAGGCGGTTGACGCGGGGGCCGAGAATGTCGCGGAGGGGCGAGGGCATTGTGGAGGGCCGGCCGCAAGGGAAGGAGAGAGAGGGTGGGGGATGGGGAGGGAGGAGAGGGACGTGCGGAGTGCACGGATGGTGTCGAATTAACGAAAAGAGGATATGCCTTACGGCTCAAGAACGGCGGCGAGGCGGTGAGATGAGATGAGACGATGGGAGAAGCAAGAGAGGTGGAAGAGAAGTGTGTGAGAGAGAGAGATGGAGAGATGGAGAGAAGAGAAGTCACGAGAGACGACGAGCGACGAGGAAGAGCAAGCAACCCGACTGGCCGACTTGTCAAGGAGTGCTCCAATGTGGTGAGCTGTGCCTGGTGTCTGGCCCATTAGCCATCAGATATACAGAGTATGCTCCTCCGCGATCCGCGAGCCGCCGTCTCCCCTGCTGTCTGCAAACGATCCCGAGGTAGTCACGCCGTTCCTGTCTGCATACCTGGTCTACGCTCTGCATAGCGCCCGCAATTATGCAAGGTTTGATCAGCAAGTTGAGCAAAATAGCGGCTCATTCGCCACTGCTACTGGCGAACTCTGAGGGCGGGGAGGCGCGGTGTCAATTCGGCGTATCTGATAAAGCCCTGCGCGCGCAGTCTCCTCTTCTCGGTGACACTCGTCAACCACGTGCGATGGAGATGCACTGTACACCTCAACGAATTGGGGTGGCCGGCCGCTCTTGTGGCTGCTTACTTCAACATAGACCATCGACAAGTCGGTGTTGACGCTGCAATAGTTTATTGCGTGACGCTCGCGACGGCAGGGGTTATCTAGCTCGAATCACGTCGCGGGTATTGCACCCATCGACCGGCCAGCCAGAAGCACGCCGATTGTCACTGGCATCACTGGCATCACTGGCATCGCTTATTGAGTTCTACCTCTTGATACACGGTACATGCGGCTGGCCTGGAGCCACTCCAAAGCTCATTCAAACACACCCTCCCTGCCTCCAGCATGCACGCAGAGTGAATCAACATGGCGCCAAAGCCGCCATCCCTCGTCACGCTGGCGCACTATAACAAAACATCATCCCGTCGTGTCGCGTGACATCCAACCCTCCTTACGTACATGTATGCTGAGCTGCTGAGCTGCTGAGACACAGTGATATGTAACTCCAAACAGCTAGTGAACAGCCGCGGCAGCAGAGTTCGAAGGTGACGACGCCGCGATCTACCAGCGAGCTTCTGACCTCGACGGATCAGAGACGCTCGAGCACCCAACCGGCGGCCGACCGGCGCGCGTCGCGCGTCGCGCCGCCTCCTGTGGTGCATGTGGTGGGCAAATCTCGCCGCTCGCCTGTGCGTGCGGCCGTGCGCTTTCGCGGATCGCCGATCTCCGCTCAGGCTGACAATCGTCACTAAAATGCCCGATTCTTGTCCAACCTTCTCCGTACTCCCTTCTCCGTCCCGCCGACACCGTACACTCGTGGACCACACACGACAGCTTGCGAGCCTACGAGCCTGGAAGCTGGAAGAAGCAGGAGGCGGCATTCCCGACCCACTCCGAACACCTACACCGGCATACCCGGGATTTCGAGACCGAAACGTGTGCCGGCCTTCCCCTACAGTACACCTACACCCCTACGCACACGCCGATCGCCGATCCGCGGATCCGCCGGAGCTGGCCGTTCGCTTCCTTGCTTCCGCTGCGCATCCAGGAACGGCCCGCACAGCTGAGGAGCAGGAAAAGAGCTGAGCAAACAGGGAGGGAAGACAGGTGCAAGCTCCAACGACGTCAGATGGCGGCTGACGCCCTGAGGGATTGGCGCGGCGCGAGGGCGGCGGGCGGCGGGCGGCGCTGATGATGGATTGATGGATGGTGGTACACTACTGGGTTGTGAGGCACTCTGAAAGCAATTCCAGCTTGCATGCTTGCAAGCTGCTAGCTTGGACGTGTCGTGTCTCATTTCCATCAAAGAGCCGCTGCGCGCTGACGCGTTGGCGCGCTGGCGCGCTGGTCCGCGGTCCCGCCAAGTTCATGCGATCTGCACATGCCCATGCATGTGCGCGATGCTGTGTTGAGACGTTCGGTTGAACGGAGCGATGACTGAGCATGGTGGCTGTGCGGCGTTTGACGTGGAAAGGATGTACGAGACAGGCAATCGGTGTATTCGCATGTCTCGAGCAGCAGAAGAACAGCTGTACGCGGATGCGCGGAAGCGCGTCGGATGCGAGAGATCTCGTGTCCGTCGTCGTCGTCGTCGACTCGTGACCACCCTCGGCTACAACTCTTTCACCCTCGGCCATCACTCGGCAGCTCGGCAGTCGGCCTCCCCCTCGGTCACCAACAAAACCGCCGGCCGCTGGACAATCCCCGCTAGAAATGAAAGATAGACATTGTATGGCACAAAATTGACTCGAAAAAGGTATTCTGGGACCACGCCTCATCTCGGCGCCCGTGAGGTGAACATGTGAGCATTTCGTGTGAGCATGTGAGAGGCATGAATAGTCGAGCTGCCAGTTTCAGTCCTCGCAATCCCCCATGCCCCAGCCCAAGCCTCCTCGCTTGCAGAAATCTGATCGGACGAGCGGACGCCGCTTATCGCATCGCAAAGGAGAATTATTACACAATTAGACAACCTTGGAACAATTGGAATGTAAACAACTCATGGTTAGGAGTGATTAATCTTAGAGTAAGACCCTGAGTGTAGCGCGCTCAGGGTTTAACAGAGCTTGTTTGAAGATCCAGCAAAGGCTCACCGCCCGGCGGCCATCGTCCCACAAATCATAATGCAAATAATGTCCTAATGAGCTAATGAAGGACTCTGTGTAACTCTGTAATACTCTATTTCATCCACACGCCCCCCGCAGACCCCGCAGCTCGCAGTCAGCGCCAAGGCTCGCCGCCTCCTGCCATCCACCCTTCCGAGCCCGAGCCTCGGCCCTCCTCCTTCCCTCCGCCGCCTCTCGGCCCGCCCCCACCCTCTGCTCCGCAGCTGTCCGCTCGAACGGCCACCAGAAACACACACACACAGCGTCATACTTTGCCTGATGGCCCACCCCTCCGTGATCCGTGACAAAACCTTGCCGTCACCATTATCGCGCCCTCGGCTCCAACACTCATTACTCGAGATCAACATCATCATCATCATCCTCCTCCTCCTCCTCCTCATCTTCATCCTCATTCTCTTCGCATCTGTTGACATTCAATATCAGCATCATCTTAACCAAGGTACGTGTCGTATCATGTCTTGCGCATGCCCGCTTCCGGTGGAGGCGAGCAAGACATCAAGCACAGCCGCATTTTGCTTGCCGCGCCATTGCGCGTCCACGCGGGAGGGGTGACTGTCGCGTCACGCCCCGCGCACGCTCTCGCCGCCCAAATGTCTTTTTCGCTGGGTGGGATGGGTGCTTTCTCGCTTGCCGTCGGCCGTCGGCCGTCGACTGCATAGCTGTATGCATCTGCCCCGCACTCCCCCTCTCTCCCTCGCTCTTCGCATGCACACTCTTCCTCTCTACTTGTCTCCTCATCACCTAGCTGACATACTCCAGAGAGCAAACGCCGACGCGCTACACGCCACAACAACACTCTGAGAGAGGAGCAATCTCTGTTGCCAAAGACAGCATTGATCGAGCACTCTTGTCCTTCTCGGCTTGGGACCGACGGCTTTGCATTCCGTCACTGTTGCTTTTTTTTACCTGTCCCGACGCGAGCAAGGCGGCGGCGCGCAGGTCCCAGCCACCCCAGGTGACCCAACTTTCCCTACCCCCTCGGCGCCCGCTCTTGTCCGTCCTCGACGCCACCCTTTCTCCTCCCTCCCCCTATCCCTCCCTCCCTCCCTCTCTTCCGCCCCTCCGCCCCTCCCATCATCATCATCATTCATTCATCACCATCCCCGCACACCCCCACCGACCCCGACACGTCTTCCCGACGTATCCTTCCCGATTCACGCACATCTCCTAGACGGGCTCGTCTTGGATCTCCAAACCCCCGCGCGCGTCTCTTTCCTTTGACTCGAGTGTCGCGCGACTCCACGCGACCCTGTTGCCTCGCTGGCCTGTTACCTGTCGCCTGTTGCCTGTCGTGTCGCTTGATTGCGCGCCCGGTCGCCCGGCCGCCTTTGCACGCTCTAATCGAGTTGGAATAGTGGGTCACAGGCAAAAGCCGTGCGCTGTGCGTGCATCGTGACAGACCAGCAGCTTGGAGCAGGCCCTGTCCATCCTTCTTCCTGATTGCTAGGACGCAAGGACAGAGTCTGGCTAGAGCCTCCTGTGGCACGATGCCCGGCCTCCTCTCGGCCATCCCTGGCCTCTCAAACATCCCAAACCCCTTGAACATCTTCAACAATGACGATGCCCAGCACGCTCAGCATCAATCTCAGTCTCCATCCTCATCTCCAACTACCACCACCAGACCATCTCTTCCAACTTCGGCCTCCTCAAACTCGATGGCTGCCAACGCCCAGGCCTCAACCCCAAACGAGGGTGGCGCCTCCAAGTTTGTCTCCATGCTCACCAAGGGCCTGGACGTCTTCACCCTCAACTCCAACCCCAGCACGCCTCAGAAGGCTGTTGCAAACGTGAACGCAGAGGCAGAGGACCCCTCCCCAACTCCGATGCAGCCCACCGCTTCTCGAACCGACCCAGGAGTGACCGGCTCGTCTGCATCAAGCCCATCGCGCCTTGGCGGCAAGGCAGGCGTGGTCATCGCAGACTCTGCTGCTGAAGGAGATGGGCCACGCTCCAACCTCGATGGCAATCGCCGCCGGGGTCTCAGCTCCGCCAGCCGGGGCTCCGGTGGGGTCGTCGCTCCTTCCAGTCGACGTAATCGACGCGTCGAGGTGCGTTCCTAGCTCGTGACTCGGTCAAGCTGACTAATTAAAGACCTATGTGCTGGTCAAGCCGCCACCCACCTCGTCCAAGAACCCCTTGAACCTCCAGCTCCAGCTCGTCATGCCAGCTAAGCCGGGGCGGCCTAGAGGAGGATCAGACGCAGCCTCGAGGGCAATGGTCCCTCCTACACCTACGTCGACTACGGCCGCCTCCACTGCGCCCATAATCGATGACTCGTCGGTACCCTCCACGCCAGCCAGACAATCGTTCGAGAGTCCGGTCGAGAAGGTCGCTAGCGGTGGATCAGACGCGACGTCCTCGACTCCATCAGGGTCGGTGACATCTGACGCACCACTCTCTGAAGCTGCGTCTGGAGCTACAACTCTGCCGACGTTACCAGAGGATCAGGCCGCGACCAAATTGCGTCGGAGATCGTCGACTGGGTCGCAAACTTCAACGAGTAACGCTTCGATGATCAGCAGTGCCTCCGGCAAGCAACGCATCGTCCCACTTTACAATCTCGCAGTGCACAATGTCGTTCAGCCCACTATCGTGACGGACGCCGGAACGGACCACAAGGTGGCCAAGTTCCTCAAGCGCAACCTGGACATCAATGGCGTGGGGATCCTCGAACCTTCCGAGGTGTGGCTCCCTCTGCATACTGGTGGAGGCTCGGTCGCCGGCAACTCACCCCGCCCGTCCATCGACCCGAACGGTAACGCCAAACTCCCGCGCCCCGCGTCTATGATATCGAATATGTCGCTGCTTTCGCCCGCCGTTACGCGCGATGACGCAAAGAGATCAAGCGTAGACGCTGGCGGAAAGCCCGGCAAGCCTGGCAAGCTCGATGCCCACGGTCTCCGTGTCCAGGAAGAGGGTCCCAAGAAGTTCTTTGGCAAGATATTCCGCAAGCGGCAGAACACAGAGACACCAGAGCAGCCGAGAAGAGGAAGCGTCTCGACATCACGGACGAGCACCGTCGTCAGCATGGATGCCGCTGGAAGCCTCAAGGTTCCCGCCACCCCACCAACGGCTCCAGCAGTCCACTTCAACGGTGCGGCGGAGCTGGCGCAGGTCGGCCACCCGACCTTTGGCCTATCGCCCGCGATGATGGCGCGGAATTCGTCGGTGGCCAACCTCGACCAAAACGGCGCGATTGTCGGATTGATAGGCGAGGTGCCCAAGTCCGAGGGCCTCGAATCGGACATGATGAACATTGTCCGCTCCGGCCGCCCAGTCGGCTACACCTGGACCGTCCGGCGGTGGGCGAAGAAGAACACGGAGGGCTGGGCATCGCACATCGTCGCGGCTGCCGCGGCAGGGCTCGACATGGTCGCGAACGCGATTCCGGGCGACGGCTCTGACGAAGTCGTGTTCGAGTGGGTCAAGATGCGCTTCTCCGCGACGAACGAGAGCGCCATCGCGGCGCTGAAGCGCCACCCCGCTGCGTCAGAAGGCGCCGACCTCCTGAAGCGCGCACGACCACTGCCGACACCTTCACCAGGTCCCAGCCCAGCCGGCTCGCGCGTGAGCCTCGTATCAGGCCAGCGGTCGTACCTCGACGCTCCAGGGACGGTCAAGGGGCGCAAGGCTCCGCCATCGCCCGCGAGCAAGCGGCGCGGATCGCCGCCGGCCGCGCGCTCTTCCGATGAGGCGTCGGCCGACGTATGCATTCTGGACGCGGACGAACACGCCGTGCCGGCCGTGCACGAGCCCGACCAGCCCCCGACGCCCGAGGACGACGGGTACGACTCGGACCCCGAGGACAGCGAGACGCCCTGGGCGTGCAGCGTGTGGGTCAAGCGCACGGGGCAGCGTCAGCTGCTCGCGACGCTCACGCCCGCCCCGCACCACCCCAAGGTCATTGCGGTGCTCCGGATCCCGAGCGTGCTCAAGGGCTTGTCGCTCACCGACATTCCTGCGCCCGTCGGCAAGTCGGCCGCCCACACCGACATTGCGGCACGCGTCCGCGACGAGGTGTGCCTGTCCGAAGAGAATCTCAAGGATGTCGTCAGCGTCACGGCCATGTGGCTTGTCGCGCGCGAAGAGTTCAGCGGCTTCGGGCGCAAAGAGAAGCGGAGGGCGTAGCGATGGTGTCGGAAGAGCCACGCACAAGAGACATACATTCCGCAGGCCGCAGCTACTCTACGTGTATTAGTAACCCCTTCGTATCCAAGCACTACACTGTCACAATACACACACACTATTTGGCTCTTGTGCTCATTTTGCATGTATAGAAACATGATTCAGCATAGTATCTCGTACAAAGCTACAAATTGTGTCGGTCATGGGAGTTTGGTCGGCCAGGGTGGCGTGGCGGGCCTGTCCCGCCACGGCATGTCGCAAATGGAGCAGCAACGAGGATATAGTTCGACGGTGTAGAAGTTGATGTTGAACTGGGTGCCCCTCTCGCCCAGGATGAGCCTGCGCACGGTAGTGAGCAAGTCGTCGCACCTGGGTTTGGGTGTGGCCTTGGCCTTCTCGGCGTTGCGCGCGGGCAGCTGCTTCGAGGGCGTAAGGGGCACCTTGGGCGGTACGTCCGCCGCGCGAGGAATAGGGAGCGTGCCGTGCTTGTCGAAGGGAACCACGACGCGGATCGTGCCGACCTCGCGGTCCTCAAATACCCCGAGGAGGTCGCGGAGAGTCTCTACCATGCAGTTCCAGGTCGTGTCGTTTGCATCGGGGCCGAACGCGAGGTCGTACTCGGCCTTCCCAACGAAGAGATGCGAGCGACTGGCGCCGGGAGCGAGGATATGGTGTGCGTTGTGGATTGTCACGTTGCTAAGAGAGGGCCAGCCGGGAAACACGATGAGGCCGAGTGCTAGGCTGACGCCGCACCCGTCCGGCCGGGCGTCGACGCACACCTCCTCTGGATGGGCCAAGTCGCGTAGCGCGCGAGCGCGCAGCGTGCTTATCGCAATGTCCTCGCTGGCGCCTGAGCTGATCGAGATCGACCCAGCATCGGTGAACTTCCGCGACACGATCGGATCCAGAAAGGCCGCCCCGCGAGTGTCCGGGATCATATCGACATGGAGGCGTCGCGCATACTTTAGGACGTCCTGTCGGAGTTCCACAAGGCCTCCCTCGCCCTCCTGCCGCATCATGAGAGCCTCGAGGAGGAAGCTGGAAGTGTTGGCGTCGAATGTGACGTGACGAAATAGCGCAGCCTTGGTGACACCTTTCGCCCAGTAGTCGTCTCCTCCGAGCGTGCGTAGTGCTGCTTGTGCAATGAAGGCAGCCGCCTGGCCGCGGAGGTGTGGGGGTCGCGCCAGCACCGCAAGGCTGGCCACAAGCTCCAAAAACGAGTCCTTGCCCTTCCAATTGTCCTTCAGCTGCATCCTCCGGTGCCAATTGTGCTCCTGGTCCGGGTCGAGGCGAATAGGCGCCATGTGCATGTCTCCCATCTCGGGAGGGGTCAGGACGAGGGTCGGTGCCGAAGGATTATCGCTCTCGTCAGGCTTGGGCTCATCGCGCTCGATTGCTGGGCTTTGCGAGTCGCGCCTCATCGGGGCTGAGGAGATCCAGTTGGTCCTGCGTTTTACGGGGCCCCAAACGAGCTCTTCGGAACTGTGAAGCCTGGGCTGGGACAGGGACGCGCTGGATGACGATGGCCATCCCCCATGCTCCGAGGCCGGCGAGCCTCTCAATGGACCCGATTGAGCCGAACTTCCTGGCCGTAACCCCAAACCCAAACCTATCTGACTCTCGGCATCGCTAGGAAAGCTAGGACGATACGTCGCAGGGAGGATTTTCCGATGACGGGGGCGTGGTGTAGTCGGCGTGGGAGAGTCCATTGGCAGGGCCTCATCGAAGCGGTCAGTGGACTCGGGACGTGGTGAAGGCGGCGTTACGTCGAGTGTTAAAGACGCCAGCCCTACCCGGCCGTCGTCGACATCCTGCCCGTCATTGACACTCTGCTCATCGCCAAAGCTTTCGTCGATGACGTGATCGTAGAAGTCATCGGCGTCTTCCTCGAGTGACTCGATGTCGGATGTGTCAGAGTTGTGCACTTCAACCTCCAAGTCATCCCAATCAGCCACAGACGTGTCGATGCCGTCGATGCCCGGCCGTCGCATGCTGTCGTCGTTAGGCTCGTCCATGTGGGTATCGCTGCCGTTGTGATCAAAAAGTGTGATGGAGGTGGAGATGGGAGGACTAGACGAGTCGAGCGTGTTGTGGTCGACTTCGCGTAAGACAGCAGGATTAGACATGCATGTAGTGACGAACCCACCAGAGTCTGGAGACGGTGAGGTCTGCTGTTTGTGCGAGTCGTTCGTAGTCATGGCGGGACTGGCTAGCGGCCAGAGTGTTGTGCGAAGGTGGGGAAGGTAGCGCGCGCGCACGCAGGGAGTCCAGGCCTCGGAAGGGCCGACGGGTCGCAGAAACAGTGGCTAAGAGGGTGGATGTGAGAGTAGTCGGAGGATAGAAGGGAGTGAGATGTTTGGTAATGTCGAGGATGGCAAGCAACTGTTCAGACGTGATGGCGAGTGGAAGTAGAGTGTTGGAGGGGGGTATGGCGGAGAAGGGAGAGTGAGCGATGGAGAAAACGAGCAAGAGAGAAAGAGAGAAAGAGAGAAAGAGAGAAAGAATGAGTGAGCGAGTGAATAAAAGTGACGAGGTAGCTTTGACAGTGTGGTGGCAAAATCCATTTGCACCGCGAGGAAGGCGTCGTCCACTGATTGCCTGGCTTTTAGTTCTATTAGCTGGTTGATTGTAAATACCGCCATCATCCTACCACCTGCCCCACCTGACGCGTAATCAATTGCACAAGTAAGTGTAGGCACCATCAATGCACCGTTGTCTCACTCTCAAAGAGCCGATCATACCTTACATTGAATGGTCGCCTCCAAACAAGTGGAAGCTTCGCGAGTAGCTCGCGCTCGCAATGAATCGTCCGTCGCGGCTCACGTCGGCGCTCATGACCTTGCCCGCATCCGTCGCCAGATCGCGCACCGGCGCCCACTCGTCGGCGCTCCAGACCCGGACGTGGCCGTCGAACCCGCCGGTGACGAGGAATAGGCCGGACCGAGGCAATGGTGTTTCAGATTTGGGCTTTTCGTCGCCCTCATTCCTCGAGTCGTCTGCCCTGTCCACATCCATTCCATCGCCGTCCACGTGTCCGTTCTCCGCCCCTTCCAGCGATTCCGCGCCGAGCGCGGTGAATGGGTTCTCCTCGCTCGCGCGGAAGAAGCGTACGTCTGACACACTGCTCTTGTGTGCTGGCATAGCGTGCTGTGTGCGCAGCGCTCGCAGATCCCAGATGCGGACAGTGTTGTCACCAGACCCAGTGGCGACTTGGAATCTTTCATTAGCTGCGCTCAGAATTAGCTCCCTCACCCGTTAGGCGCAAAGTCCATGCTGAGAATCTCCTTGACATGCCCGTCGAGCACCATCGCCGTGCGTCCCGTGCGCGTGTCCCACACACGCCCGATCGAGTCAAAGCCACCCGACGCCACCAACGCACCATCGTCCTGGAACGCCAACGCCATCACCTCCTTGCTATGCCCCTCCTGCACGAGCAGCTCCTGGTGCGTAGCCACGTCCCAGAGGCGCCATGTCCCGTCGAACCCCGCCGAACCCAGATATGCGCCGGACGGATGGAACTCGACGCGACCTACGCGGTTTGTGTGGCCAGCCAACGTTGCGAGAGGCTTCTCGGCGTCCAGCGACCACAATTTAACCTCGCCTTCTGCGCCGCCAGTCGCAAAATTGGTGGCGCTTTCAGAGAGACCAAACGTCGCGTCCGGGTGCCAAGCAGCGCCAGAGATCTTCTCAGTATGCCCCCTGCGAACAGCCACTTGATTCAAGTTGGGAAGGTCCCATACTTTGCTCGTGCCCGTCCAACTCGTAGTCAGAATGAGCTTCGAGTTGGGAGAGAAGCGGATGGTGGAGAGCGGACGATCGTCACCAAACTGCGAGCCAAGGTTCTGGAATGTCTGCGAGTCAGCAACGCCCTGAGGTAGACCCACTTGAAGCTCCGTAAACACCTCCTTGCGAACATTGATGACACGGCTGAGTGGCACGCCGCTCTCGACGCGTTGGCGAGCAATGCGCTTTCGTGCTCGTGCAAGCGAGTACCGTGCAATCTTTCGACGGGCCTGCAGCAGCTCGTTGCTTCCTTCAGTGTAAAACTCGCCCTCGTCGCTATCGCTGCTCTCGCCGTCGCTGTCGAGAGCTAGCGGCCGCCCTTTCATGACCTCGTAGCGCTCCTGTACCGTCTTGAGACGGTCACGCCGGTCACCTGGTCCCTCGCCGAAGAGTGTGATCGGCTCGCCGTACGCGCGCAGCCGCTCGCGCACCTTGCCGTCGTCTGTAGGCACGGCCATAGAGCGCATGCGCTTGCGCCGCTCCAACTGCTGGTGGAGAAGCGCATTCTGCTCGCGCTCGCGCTCATCATCCGAGCCGCCGAGTGCGTAGTTGTTGTCGATGACTGAATGTTAGTTAAGCATAGGATGTGAGCGCACCGAGCTCGTCGAGGTCCATGGCGGGATGTTTTGATAGAGGTTGGGTGGCAAGTGGACAGGAAGTTGGAGGTTGTACCGAGGTCACCGCGATCGATCAAAAGTCCACGTCAGATTCAGGTACAATCACCCCTCCTACCCCTCCGTTCGTCTCGACTTTGGCCGAACTTCTGAAAAGACAGACACCACCACATACATCCCGCGCGATGCTCACACGCCGCCTCGCCGGGCCCTCGCGCGCCCTCCTGTTGCGGAGTTTGGCCACCGCGGCCGCCGCAGAGGCGCCGCCACCACCCTCAGCACACTCCGCCGCCGTCCCCGGACACCAGCCTCTCCCTCCCGACACCTTGGCAGGCAAGATGTCGGCCCTCCTCGCCGAGGCTCAAGGACGGGGCGCAAACCGTGCGCGCAACAAGTTGTACGAAGCATTCACTTCACTGTCGCCTGTGGAGCGCGCCTCACTCTCGCCCGAGAGCATGCACTCGATTCTGCGCGCAATCGTCCCCCGCCACGACGCCGGCTGGAGGGCGGTTCAGCGCGCCCCGCCGCGAAAGCGCAAGGCGATGAACGACCAGCTCGCCGACACCTGGGGACGCAAGTTGCGGTCTGTTATCTCTGAGATGGTCGAACGCGACATCGACACGCGTGCCGACTGGCAGTTTGTCCTCCAGTGTCTTTTGAAGGTCGGCGCCGTCGGCGCCGTCGAGAGCGTGTGGCAGGTGTTGCCCCCCAGGTTGCGGAAGGACCGCGAGTTTGCCGAGCTTCGCCTCGGCACAGTATCGCGGTGGGCGAGGAATGCGCGAGCTGCATTCGTCGCGCCGCAGCAGGTGGAATTGGACGCGGCGTACCGTTCGTTCTGGGACGCCTTCGCAGTCTTCGGAGATGCGAAGGTGAAGACTGTTCCAATCACACATCGCATCCTCTGTGTTGCAAGTGCTGATCTTGCTGCGCTTATGCAGCTCATCGAGGCGCGGGGGACAGACAGCGCGCGCATCACGGAGGCGATGGAGGCGCTCCATCGTATCTTCCGCGCGGTGCTGGAGCGAGCATATGGCTTCGACATCAACGCCATCCCCCTCTCAGCGGACCAGCTGGCCGAGCGCCGCAGCGAGTTCCGCCCCATGCCACCTGCCGTTCTGAATGCCGTCCTGGATTACCTCCGCTTGTCCGGCATGAACGCATACCAACTCTTCGCGGCGTTTGACGTGCTCACTTCCGCATCACGACCACCACGCGAGCGCGCCTTCGAAGAAGAAGACGAGGATGATGTGCCTACCCTCGAGTCGGAAACGGCCAAGGCCGAGAGCGACCCAGACCGGACGAACTGGTGGGGGCGGAAAGTGAACCGGGCAACGTACTTTGAAGCGGCGCACCCACCTCCCGCTGGATCCACATCGGCATCTGAACACCTTGCAACCGAGCCTGAAACGGTTTCTTCACCGCGCGACTACCAAACGGTCCGGAATGTGTCCGACTACCTCCGGCAGCCCGTGTGGCCGCGGGACGTTGTCGCCAACGCGGCGACGGTCGCCGAGAGCAAATGTTACGACGCGGACACGGTGCTGCTCCTTCTCAAGGCCGCGCGGGCGGAGGGTGAGAGAGGTCTCCTCCAGCGCATTCTGGAAGTGTGCGTGGTCGACGCCTTCACAGCCGACTCTGTCTGGCTGTCCGCGTACCTCGCCGCGCCACCGGCCGAGCGCACCGCCCTCCCGCGCCCTGTGAGGATATCGCCTGAGTGGTTCGCGACCACGCTGGCCGAGTACACGACAGCGTACGACCGGTATGCGCCGCGCACAGTCCCCCTCCTCGAACGGGTGATCGCATGGACAACGCAGAAGATCGACGTCATTGCATCCGCTGAGACACCGCACTGCGAGCACAAGGTGGTCAACGAGCGCGTCATGCTCGCCCCACTGGATATGTCGCCCAGAGAGCTGCGGTTCCAGCGTAACAGCCGTAAATTCATTGCGCCAGACTACCTCGCAGGGCTGTATCGCGACCTGGACGAGTTCGCCAACTACCTCCCGCGCGCGCAGTTCCAGACTGAGCGGCGCAAGGGCTGGAAGGCGTCGGCGAAAGAGCGCAGAGGAGGGGCCTCGCATCGGTTGGAGCATCGGTCGGAGGAAAGTCTCGACCAAGTGGACTAGAGGGCTGGAGCTAGACGCATTGCATTTTGTACTACTATGCACGGATACATCGCAAGTGGGTGCTGCTTCTGGTAGTTCAATAAATACCCGGTTTAGCCGTCGCCAAGTGGCAAGTCGCGTGAAAACAAACGCGTCCATTCCTCGCGATTCCATCTCGCATCATCACATCCCGCAACATGGACGCCGACTCGCCATTCGTCCTGCGCCCGCTGCGCGACTTTGAAAACGAAAGCCTGCAGCTCGCGGACCTCTCGCTCGCCGACGATAGCTTTGACGCGGGCCCACATCCGCTCGGCCTACCTCCACCGGCGCACGCAGCCCCCCGCGCGCCATTCCGCCCCGCAGACCCGAGTCTCACCGAGAGCACCCACGGCGAGGCGAGCAGATCGAGTAGATCGAGCGGGCGCTCGTCTCCTACTCCGGCGCCGCGTCCACGCGGCGATGTGGAATCTGAGACGGAGAAGGAGGAAGACGCTGGCGCGCGCGAGGAGCGGCTGCGCGCGTCGCTCGTCGAGCTGCGCCGCATCAATGGCGTCATGGACGGGTTTTTGAACGCGCTCGTTGCTGCGAAGGGGCATAATGAGGTGTGTCACGGCATTTGTGGTATAATAGCAGGCTGACCCCAGCGCCTTGAAGAGAAGGTGCGGCAGAGCCGCGCCCTGCTCGACGACTATGTGGGCCTCATGAGCCAGACGCACCATACCAAGCAATTGCTCTTGAATCCCAAGTGGACGGGCATGAGCGATGTGAGTTCGTGGTTGGGCATGTTTTGCGCTACGCGGACATACATTGACGCCAGGACGTTGCGGCATTTCATGCTGCTGAGGAACGGCGTCTCGCTGCCCTTCAAGCTGAAGAGGAGGCACGGCTGGCCGCGGAGCGGGCTGCCGCTGAGGCCGAGGCAGAGAAGGAGCGCGAGCGTGAGCGAGAACGGGAACGGGAACGGGCGCGTGAGGCTGCGCGCGGGCGAGGTCGTGGACGTGGCGGCTTTGGTGCCAGCTCTGGCTACGGGGCACGGCGAGCTGCCACTGGTAGCACGACTGGGGCAGGAAGAGGGACAGGTATCCCAACGCGGAGCCGGCCGACAAGCGCGGCGGGCGGGCGGGTCGCGCGGTATGACCATGTGCAGAGCAGTGGATACGGTGCCCGGCCGCGATGAAGTATGTAGGGTATTTGTTACATGCAATAATAGTATACTTTACATCTTTGAATGTTCGTTTGACTTCCTGCAGACTGCGCTGATGGCCCCATCCTGCAGTGGTACCTACTGCTGCACGCATGTGTCACGCACCTCTCTCCCCAGCTTCGAATGGCGGAATCGCCGTAAGCCATCGAGCAGCTCGCGATCCTCGTCCGTCAACTCCGGCTCGGCGTCGACGGCAATGTTGACCCCAATGCCACTACGGCGCTTTGATGGCTCGTCTGGCTCAGGATTGAGAAGTGCGAGCTTACGCTTGAGTAAGGAGGTGAAAGGATGTGCGGGGTCGGACGGAGCGGGTGCTGGAATCAGCTATCGGTCGGTGAGAACTCTGCCCGCTCGTACCCACCGTTTGCCAGCGCGAACGGGAACATGTCAGCCGTCTTGATCACGCGCCCCTTCTCGACCCCCTCGCGCCGCTCCAGTCCGCGGATGACGAATCTTCCGTCCTCGTCGACTGCTGGCTCGCACTTGGGAAACGTCATGCGGGTGAGCGCGATCAGCTCAACAGGGTTGAGCATCCGAGTTGGTGGCCGGTGTTCTGGTTGTGGCTCATGCCCATCCCCTTGGTCCTGTCCCTCCTGTCCGTGCTGCTCCTGCTGCTGCTGCTCGCTCTGGCTGTGCTCGTGGGATTGATGCTGCTCGTGCTGATGTTCCGCGTCCTGGGGCAGGAACATGTCGCCCTCCATGCCCATGTTGGTCTCGAAATCCTTGAGATCAGCGTGCTCGGCCGCATCCAGCTCGGCAAGATCGACGCCGCTCTGATCTACGCTCTGCTCCACGGAATGGTCCACGCTCTGATCGGCCGTTTGCTCCTCGTTGTTCTCAGAGGCAATGGAGGAGAAGCGCGCCGCGTACGCTGTATACAGCTCCGCCTGGGTTGGAGAGGGTCCGCCTCCTTCTCCCTGGTGCTGGTAGTTGCTAAGGAGCCTGGAGTCAGTCATTGGAAACGCGGTTCAGTCTTCAGGCAACGAGGGGTTTATCCTCGCCCCAAGGAGCACTCACCAAGTTGTACCCCGCAGAGGCTCGACCATCGCGTCTACGCCTCTGTCCCACTCGGCCTCAACGACCTCCCCGTCCTTATCCCGCAGCCCGCGCAGCACGTAATCGCCTTCGTCGCGCGCCATCTCGCAGCCAGGGAAGGTGGAGCACGCGAGCTGGATCAGCTCCTGCCCTCCGAGGAGCGGAGCGGACGTGGTGTACGGATCAAAACGCGTCTTGTACGCGTTGTACACGGCGAGCTGGGATACGGAGGCGGTGGGCGGTCCAGCACGATACGTGACTTGCAGCCTGCCATCAGCTCTGCATCCCCACCTTCCCTCTTTCATTCCTCGACGCACCAGCTGCTCGCCCGCCCCGGCTCCTCCATCGCCTCCAGGTCGCTCAATCCGCGCAGCTTGTTCCTCCGCTGGCGGAAGTACTCGCGGATCTTGTTCCACGGCCTGCCGGTCCGCTCGGCCAGCATCTCGAGCTCACGCTTGCTGGGGTTCGGATTCCGCGCGTAGAACTCGCGGAGCACCAGGAGCTGCTGCGAATTGGATAGCGGCGAGTCGGGCGCCTGCCGGTGCGGCGGGCCGAAGGGGTAGGGGTGTCGGGCGCGAGCGTACGCTGGCGGCGGAGGCGGACCGTGCCCCGGCTGCGGGGGGTAGTCGTCTTGCGCGGCGACGGCGGCCGCGACGGCCTCGACGGCCGCCTGGTTCTCGAGCTCGCGGGTGAGGTCCATCTGTGGCTCGTAGGCCATGGTGGACCTTGGATGTGGAGGTGGGAGGATGAGAAGAAAATAGGAAGAAAAACGATACATCTATTCAGGTGCGGGAGCAGACGTGTTGTTGTGAGGGGGGGGGGGAAACGAATTGCGATACGCCGAACGTGACCGGAGGACTTCATCTGCGCACCTGCACTGGGTCCTTGTCACAAACACTCCAAAACTTGCAGCGCTCGCAACATGTACAGTGACATTTAATCTGTACGAGCATACCGTCCTACTCCTCAATATACATCCGCGTGGGGCTGGAGCGGCGGCTGACGGCGCTGCTCGCGGGCCGGCTCCCTCCTGCACGGGTAACGCTCACGGGCCTGCTGCGGCTACCCGCGCGGCTCGCTGAGCGCGCCGAGCGGATAGCGTGCGCCACAGCCTCCTTGTACGTGGGTGGCTTCTCGCCCGTCTCGGCCTCCTGCCCGCTGATCAAGCGGTCGTACACGATGTTTCGCTCAAGGAGCGAGTCGTCGTGCTCTGGCTGACCGGGGGCGTGCGACCCGTGTCCGGGCAGCGGCGGCGAGATGGCGCCGGGCGAGATCGGCGTGTGCGCACCGGTGTGCGCGACTGTGTGGGCGTGCGGGGTCAGATGTCCCGGCGTGCCAGCGGGCGAGGAGCGCTCGCTCATGTGATACAGCTGAGCCGGGTGGGTCAAGGTCGAGAGCACAGAGGCACCGGCGCCGATGAGGACGTTGCCCGTGTTGATCTTCTGCTGCTCGGCACGCGCGTGGACCGCACACCCTCGTCCTAAGGGAGACGCCTCCATGTCCACCCGGTCGTATGAGGGAAGCGAGTTGTACTGCGTGTTGACGCGGCAGTCGAGCATCTTGAGTGGCGTCTCGATGATGATGTCAAACTGCTTCCGGCGGCCCTTGTTGTCGATAGCCTTGTCGTCGCCACGCTCCACGCGAATCGTGACCTTGAGCCAGTGCTGCACGCTCATGTTCGTGCTCTCGTGCTTGGTTGTGAACTTGATGCGGCTCGCACAATCTGGAACCACTAGGTCCTTCTCGAGGTGCCATGGACCCATGGGGTCCAGGAGGGAGGCGTAGACGTCGTCCTCGGGGTGGACAAGCTGACTGAACTCGCGTGGGTTGTTCAGTGCCGCCTGCCGCGCAAGCGGGGCGAGAGGCGAGTCCTTTGCCGCAGTGCTCGACTCGGACAGGATCGGGAGGAGTGGGTCACCCCGATCCTTGCGATCCTGATTCTTGGCCGCAAAGAGGATGAAGCGTCGTGGCGTCTCGTGGCGCGCCACCTTCTTGTTGGCGGCAAAGTAGTCAGTCTTCTCCTCTAGCGCAATTGTGAGCCGGAAGATCTTGCACTTGGCTAAAGGCATCAATCTGATGGCGATGGGGATTGAACCCCCGATGGGGAACGCCTTGCCGCTCAGCGCGATCTGGTAGCGCATCTGGTCTTCCCACTGCCGCTCGACTATCACGTTCTCCGTCTCCTCCATGTCGTCCTCCTGCGGCCCCGCGATCATGAGCACCTCCTTCTCCTCCACGAGGTTGGGCGTGAGCGCGCCGACACGCACTACCGTCGCCTTGAGGCGATAGATCACGCTGCCGAACTCGGCATGCACTGTTGGTGGAGCGTTGGCCGGGATGGTGAACGAGATGGGATAGTTATACACACCCTTCCGGAACTCCTTCCAGGTATGACCTGCGTGCTCATCAGCCGGCTCCTGCTTGCCAAATAGTCTGTGCCGCGTTCGCCCGCGGCTCTCAGTACGGTCGGCGCGCCCAGTAGGAGAAGATGCGCGACTCCGCGCGCCAGAACGCAGCGAGGGCAGGTTCTGCAGGCTCGCGTTGCGCGACATTTCGCTTGCTTCGAAGTTGGGTGTTCTTGGCGTGTCAACTCCACGCGTGCGGCTGCTTGCACGACTCCCAGGTCGGCTGCCCGTCTGATTCCGCGACGCGCTCCGGTGACCACTTAGACCACGCAAGGCTGCAGCCAAGCTGAAACGATGGTGATGGCGCTCGCGCCCACGCTCGTCGGGAACGGCAGGGCTCGCCAATGAGCTGCTCGAGTCGTCGTGGATTGCAATTGACCCTGGCCTGGGACGCGAACTGCGCCGGCTTAGCTCGCTTGGTTCACTGTCGACCTCGGTGCGCAAGCTGCTCTGCCGCCGGGTTGCTGGCGGCAGCGTGAGCTCTGGTGGGTTGTGCGACGCAATCCGCTCGAGATGTGGTGATGTTTGGTCGGGTGCGGAGGCGTTGTGGGCCAGAAGCGCAGGCGAATGGTGTGGGGTGTTGTGCGCCGTTAATGTCGTGTCTCTCACCGGATGATAGTCGGAGTCTTCCTCGACCCCCGATCGAGCCGAGGCGGTCCGCCGAAGCCCGTTGTCCTCCTCCTCCGCCTTTGCGGCGGCCGCGAGTGCGGCCTCCGCCGCACCTTCGTTGAACCGGACGTTCGGGACGGGCGAGCCGGTGGCATGCGCAAAGAGTCCCTCGGGAGGGGGCGCAAGGGGCGTTTCCGCCACACTTGAATCATCTTGATCGCTCGCGCGACGCGAGCCGTCCCCATTGGGCATGGGCGAACGTGTACGGCTTCCTCGGTGCAGGAGGATGGATGACGGGTGAGAAGATATAGGCGGAGTTGTGGCAGCCGGGGGGGTGTTCGTCGCAGAGTATGCAGGCGTCGGGCCACGCTCGTCGATCGTCAACTGGCCGGAAGCGTTGATAAGGGATGAGAGGTCGGCAACACTGGCGGTGCGGCTGGGAGCCGCGCTGTTGACGGGGCTTCCAGCCCGAGAAATGCCATCACGGTACCACTCCTGCCAGTCGGATGGATCGGCAGGGAGGACACTGAGTGATCTAGGCAGGGGTCGCCCTCGCGTCTCCCAGTCGTCCTCCTCGCGCACCGCAAGCGCGTCCTCGTCATCACTGTCCAGATCGTACTGCGCGAGCACGCCAGGACCGACGGATGCACTTCTCCGCGCCGTGTTTGCCTTTGCTTCCTCGGCACCCGAGAAGAACGTCGTGGTCTCGTTGATCAGTTCGTGTTCTTCGTACGTGTCCGTGCGCTTAGGTCCGATACCTGACATCAGCCCAATTTCATGGCGACTCACCTTCCGGCCATTCCGTGCGCGCGTTGCCTTCGAGGGTGATACTGATGTTGCGGATGCGGGTCGGCTTGCTCAATCGCAACGTAAGGAGGCCACGCACGACCGCCGAGGGCCCGTCGTCGCGCGCTTGTTGTGGCCGCCCTCGAAAGTCGGCTCCGGTGGAGGTACCTCGTAGATAGATGACAGGCTCCGTGAGCCGGATCTGGAGGGGTGCTGTGCTCTTGACCATCTTGCGTTACTGCGCGCGCAGAAAGCAGAGAGATGGCTCGATGCTGCAAGAGCGCTCTCGAGTGCTGGGGTGATGCAGGCGGCTGGATGGCGTCGCCGCACCCTGGCAAGATTATAAGTGGGGCCACGTGATGGCGCTCTTGTCGCGGGTATAGGGTATTGGACAAACTAGACCATCAATGGCAACGACAGGGGCGAGTGTCGCGGAGGTGGGCAATCAGTGCCGGTGCGATAACTTGAAGGCGACGTAGACGCGCGACGAGATTGAAGAATTGATGCAAAGTTGAACGCGCAACGCACTGGTTGTTGGAAAATGGGAGCGAGTCACTGCAACTGCAAACGCTTGCCCGCCTGAGCGCCTGAACGTGTGATCGGCAACCGCCTTTCCAATCCTCATCTGCCCTCGGCGGCTACTGGATCACGTGCCCTTTCTGGCCGATTACAATCCCAATTAGTCCAGGAACATAATCCCCTCTATTCTTATCACCCACTCTAGGCGAGCTAAGCGACGCTCGTCCCCGCATCATCACAGCTTCCCCGCAACTACTGTACATCACCTTGCTCGCCATCAACAAACCCCTCTTCACGCTTCTCGCCACCCCACACAGCGGCAATTTACAATGCCGCGCCGCCGCCCCATGGACGACACAGACGACCCCTCGGGGTTGTCCCAGTACGCTCTCTGGGAGACCAAGTCGTGCGTCGCCCTCCTCCAATGCTTGCTCACTCAGGCGGTATTATATCACAGCCTCGGCGGGAAGTAATCATCGCGTGCTCAAGATCGACCGTGCCGATGCCGACCTCAACGTGGTTGAAGACGCGACGGAGTACGACACTGAGCAGCTAGATCTACTCCTCAGAATGGTCGATGAGGGAAACAAGAGCCAGGGCGGGTTGACGAAGGGAAACGACTTCTTTGGCATCGTCGGCTTCGTCAAGTTCACCACGGCGTGGTACATGTGTATAGTAACACAGCGCAGCGTCGTCGGGCTGTTGGGCGGACATTACAGTAAGCTCTCAGAATTGCAGCCAGACACGTAGCTGACACCAGTCTACCACTGCGATAAGACCAAGGTGCGCCGCCTTCCTCAACGCCGTTGACCCCAGCTCATCCCCATCTCTCCCAAAGCCTCTGCCGTCTCGCATGACTCCAGGAACATCAGCATCTTTGACCAAGTTGACCTATCCAAGAACTTCTACTTCTCGTATGCTGAACAGAGTTGCTCCTGTTGACCGCTCAGCTACTCTTACGATATCACGAATGTGCTGCAGCTCAATCTCACCATACCGGACGCTAAACGACGCCTCAACACGCGCTTTATGTGGAACCATCACCTGCTTAAGCCAGTATTTGATCTCGAGGACCCCAAGAACCGCAGTCCGTGGGTGCTTCCGTTCATCCATGGATCGTTTGACCAGACGAGTGAGCCTTACTCTCAAGTAGCGAGCAGGCTGACTGCAGAAATCAATGTCTTCTCCCGAACAGTCTACCTTACGCTCATCGCGCGAAGGTCACGCTTTCACGCCGGTGTGCGCTTCTTAACTCGTGGAGCTGATGAGAATGTGAGCAGACTGGTCTGACCTAAAACTGACGTCCAGGGCGATGTGGCGAATGAAGTGGAAACTGAGCAGATGTGAGTCGGACGCACTTAGAGAACCAGCTTACAACAGTGTCTCAGAACCGCTTGCCACACCATTCGGCTACCCCGTAAACTGCGAGGATGGCGCCGACTACGGTGGATACACCAGCTTCGTGCAGCTGCGCGGAAGTATCCCCGTCATGTGGCACCAAGTATCGGAGAAGATGGTTCCCAAGCCGCCGATTGAGGGTGCGTGCCTCCAGCCGGCCTGATCTAACTACAGTAACAATCAAGGACCCCTATTATTCGCCCGCGGCGCGACACTTTGATAACTTGCTGGGGCGCTACGGTGCGCCCATCTTCATCTTGAATCTTGTGAAAAGCAAGGAGACTGTTCCCCGTGAATCAAAACTCCTCGTCGAGTATGGGGAGTGCGTCGAGTATCTCAACCAGTTTCTGCCCGAAGGAAAGAAGATGAGATACATCGCATGGGACATGGCGCTGGCTGCGAAGAGGTAAACTCATGGTTGTGTGACATAGCTGACCCTCAGCCGCCATCAAGACGTGATGGGTATCTTGGAGGACGTGTGCGAAGAGAGCATCCAGCTCACCCATTTCTTCCATGGAGGTGCAGCGAGGCACGAGGTGACGTTCGTTACCATCCAGTACTTGACTAACCCACAGGAACGACGAGCATCGCAATATGCCGCTTCTCCAATGCGGCGTTCTACGGGTCAACTGCGTCGATTGCCTCGACCGCACCAACGCTGCTCAGTTCGCCATAGCGAAGCGGGCGTTAGGACATCAGCTCTATGCCCTCGGTTTACTGGGCAGCCCCAACCTGCCTTTCGCCTGCGATGCTGTGGAGGTGTTGACGGAGGTAGGCCCCAATTGCGAAGCCAAGCTTACGGGCAGATGTATCACGACCATGGAGACTGTGCGCAGATTGGAGACGTCGCTGACTTCAGTTCTGGCTTACCAGTATACGGGGAGTGCCGTTGTCAACCGCGACACCTACCGCCCTACGAAGGCGACTCAATGGACGAGTCACTCACGAGATCTAGCCCGTGAGCCGCAGAGCCCAGAACTCGGTTTAACCTTCAGAGAACATTAGGCGATACTTCAACAACTCCATCCTTGGTAGGTTCCGATACCTGACCGCACGCCAGCTTATCCCAGACGCGGACAAACAAGCTGCCATGAATCTCTTCGTGAGCTCACTTCGTTCCGCCTGAGCTGACATCTAGCTCGGAGTAGAATCTGCTGCCGCCAACAAAGCGAGAACACCGCGTCCAAACTATCGTCACTGGTACACCGAGAAGCACCTCGAGCCACCAAGTCTTGGCTCGCTGGGAGATCAGTCTGCAGTACCCCGCTCCATGTTCAACGAGTACTACAAACCCTCCGTGCTGACTCAGTTGGACAAAATCTACGCTTTGTACGTTGATAACCCAATGAGGCTGACCCTCAGTGAGATGACTTCAACACTCAAGTTCACAAGGTTTGTGAAATACAGATACTAGACCGCTGACTTCCAGCCACCGCAACAAGAATGGCATGCAAAGCCCATTTGAGACCATCGGCGCTATAGACGCTTCCTCACCAACATCGAGAACACCGGAATTACGTCGTACGGCCCGCCGCTGGGCGATGGCTGCCTCGCCCAAGAGAGACGAGGACCCCGATGGCGAGCAGCACCAGACCGAGAATCTCCCCCCTCCTCACCCAGTTGAGACACTGGTCGCATCGCTGCTTGACCCGCCTGACATGGACCAGCGCGTGCGCGAGTACGACTGGTACATGCACTACCATACAGATGACTTGCTCTCGGCTGCCTCGACCGCCGAGCCGCAGGACTTGCAGCGATATGTGCGTGCCGCGCAAATAGCCTCGGGCATGGACATCGACGAGCCAACCCCCGGTACGCCGCCAACGATGAGCCTGATGGCGGCTGCCTCAGACGGTATGGCTGAAGAACTGTACGAGCCTTCCAAGCAAACGCTCCAGTTCTATGATACGTGGCTCAACGGATCGGCTTCGACTGTGTAATTATTGTATCTCCTGCATCGATGTATGTTCTATCAACAAATAATATGTTACACTAGTTGAGCTTGACGCGCATCATGACACTCTTGGCCTGCGTAAGCTGACCGTAACCCAGGACGGAGAGCGAGTAACCACGGCCAGTGTCCTTGACGCCAGTCCAGGGAACAGCTGGGTCGAGCGCATCCGCACGGTTGAGGTAGACGGTGCCGGCCTCCAGCTCCTCGACGAAATTGTTGAATACAGCGATGCTAGCCGCGTCGTCGGGGTTGGTCCACACGCTCGCAGTCAGTCCGTACTTCGAGTCGTTCATGAGGGCAAGTGCCTCCTCGTCGCTCTCGACCTTCATGATGGCGGCGACAGGACCGAATGTTTCCTCCGTCATGACCTCCATGCTGTGGTCGACGTTGGTAAGCACCTGCGGCCCGACAAGAGTGGTGCCCTCCTTAGCGCCGGCAAACTCGGCCTCGCCCACGAGCAACGTGGCGCCGGCCGCGACGGCATCAGCGACCTGCTTCCGAATACGCTTGGCGCTAGCGAGCGAGACGACGGGCCCGAGCGTGGTGCCCTCGGCCATGGGGTCGCCGAGCACGTAGTCCTTGCGGGTAAGCTCGGCGAACTGTGCGACGAACTCGTCGTGCACAGCCGAGTGGACGTAGATGCGCTCGACGGAGCAGCAGCTCTGGCCGCTGTTGAAGAACGCGCCGTCTACCAAGTTGGCGACTGTGTACTTGAGGTCGGCGTCTTCGCGGACATACGCAGGGTCCTTGCCGCCCAGTTCGAGGCCGACGCCCTTGAACCCCTTACCGTGTGCCGCGGCCTCCTGCACCGCGCGTCCGCCGGGCACGGAGCCGGTGAAGGAGACGAAGTTGACGCGGCCGTCCGCGCACAGGTCTAGCGTCGCCTGCTGCGAGAGGTGGATCACCTGCAGGACGTTGGTGGGGAGGCCGGCGGTGTTGAAGCACTCGAGTACACGCTCGGCAGGCACGGGCGTCTGAGGGGCGGGCTTGATGATCACGGCGTTGCCGGCCAACAGGGCGGGCAGGACCGAGTTCACGGCCGTGAGGTGCGGGAAGTTCCAGGGGGTGATGGCGCTGGGGTCAGTGTGAACCGAGGGCACGAGGAATCGTAGAAGGGAGATCGAGGGCGCTTGGAGCTCTAAGTCGAGTCGCTTATCTCGGGTCAAGACAAGGGCGGGGCGGGAGGAATTCAAAGGAGGGGACAAATCGAAGTATGGGCCCATCCGAGGTGACTCACACAACAACACCGAGCGGCTGCCTGATAATGTAGCGCTTGTTAGCCTCGTCGTCCGTCTCGGTCTGAGGAATAGGGGCGAGCGCCTCCTTGGCAATCTTGACCAAGTGGCGGGCGCGGTAGAGGGTGCCGTTGATCTCGCCCTTGCACTGTCCAACGGGCCTGCTATCAGCTGATTCCAGCGGTGGAGCTCACCGGCCCATCTGGAGAGCAATGTCCTCAGCGAGCAGGTCCGTGTTCTTCTCAAACTCGGCCATCCAGCGCTCAGCAATCGCGACGCGCTCCTCGAGAGGCACCTTGCGCCAGCCCTTCTGGGCCTTGACCGCCTGCGCGACGACGGCGTCGAGCTGGGTGCTGGAGAGGAGGGGGCGCGTGCACACCGGCTCCTGGGTGAAGGGACTGATCGTGGTCTGGATGTTAACGTCGGGCATGGCGGGGGAGTGAGGAGTGGCGAGGTGGGCGAAAGTTGAGAAAGAACGGAAGGATAGAGCGCATAATCAGTCATGTACGCGACCCCGCCGCTTGCCGCCGCTTAGCGTTTATCTGGCCTCCACCTGAGACGGCGGAGTCCGATCGACCTCCTCGTTCTCACCACGTGGCAGTATCAAGTCCACGTCATTCACTCCGACAATTTCGATGATCCCTTTCAGTTGGCAGAGGTCACCTCGACGTTCATCCACCCTACCCACAGTACAACCATGGCCAAGGACGCCGAGCTCAAGGAGGAGAAGAAGAAGAAGCGCAAGTCCGAGGCCGCTGGCCTTGACGTCGCCGACGACAAGAAGGCGAAGAAGGAGAAGCGCAAGTCGCTTGCCGCCGACTCCGAGGAGAAGGTGAGTCGCTAGTGTTTACCAGCAGGGCTGACGGGCAGGCTGAGTTCGACGTCCCCCTTGAGGCCATCGCCCCCATCGCCGTGCCCCTCGCTGGCAAGAAGCTGTCGAAGAAGCTGTTCAAGACGGTTAAGCGGGCGAGCAAGGCTCGCCAGCTCAAGCGCGGCGTGAAGGAGGTCGTCAAGAGCCTGCGGAAGGGCGAGAAGGGTCTGCTGCTCCTTGCGGCTAACATCACGCCTATTGATGTTGTGTCGCACCTCCCGGTACTCGCGGAGGAGACCAAGGGGGTGGAGTACGCTTGGGTGCTGAGCAAGTGAGTCGAGCCGTGGGTGCGAGGCGTGGACATGGCTTTCACCACGAGGGATGTAGCGAGAGGGGCGGAGTGAGGGAGGAAGGCTTCAGCCGGCGCCGACTGCGGTGACAGCGAGAATGCTGAGGATGGAGCGCGAAGGCGACGCGCTCCATGCGTCGCGGCACGGGAGGCCGGATGTTGTGTGGCGTGCTGCCCATGACCGAACACAGCTGACCCACAGGGAGGAGCTCGGCGCCGCGTCCGGCACCAAGCGCGCAACCTCGTGCGTCCTCATCTGCGCAGCCCCACAAAAGCGCAAGGACGCCAAGGCACCATCCGCCGAGGACATTGCCGAGTGGAAGGAGCCGCTGGACGAGTGTCTCGACGAGGTCAAGAAGCTCGAGGCAGTCGTGCAGGCCTAGGTCCGCGCGTAGAGGGTTGTGATGTACGATATGGCCGTGAACAGCCCGCGAGTGCCGCGGCGGTGTGAATCAGAGGGGCTAGGGGGAGTACCGTCACTGATGGGCGCTGTGCGACTGGAAGGCATGCTGGATGCCTGATTCTGCGCGTGATCAGCTCCGCCGCAGAATTCCGCCCCCTACTTCACTGAGAACCACTCGCACAACATGCCATACAACAACGATACAGAATATACACTAATACCCATGAATCTGACCGACGATCATTTCCGCCTGTCTTGCGATTTCTTCGCGCTGCGCCGCCTTCCTGACTTCCTCGAGGAGGCTCGCCTGGTCGGTGCGCTGTGCCTCCTCCTCCTCCTCGTGCGCGCGCTGCGCCTCCATAGCCTGCTGGATGCTCTGCTCCATGAACATGCGCGACTCGGCCTCTGCCGCGGCCGCTGCAGCCGCCGCAGCCTCGAGCGCAGCCTCGGCCTCGGCCTGCTCCTCGCGCTCCCGTGCAACCTTGAGCGCGAGCTCCATCTGCCGTGCCGCCTGCGCCTGTTCCTCTGCCTCGCGCGCCGCGTCGCGCACCACGGCGTCGACGGCGCGCGCGAGTGACTCTAGCTTGGCCGCGTTCAGGCACCCGAGGTTGACGCACGACTCGGGGAGCAGGTGAATGTGCCGCTTGGCGGTGAGCGCCTCGAGCTGTGCCTGTGGGAGCAGGAGCGTGCTGCTGTTAGCGATGCCTGATTTCGTGCTCACATGTACATGCCCGACGCCCGCTTGATGTGCTCCCAGTTACCGGGCGTCTTGAATTTGTTCGCGAGCAGCTCGTACAGCTTCTCACGGACACTCTTCAGTCGCATGGCCAACGCGTGCACCTCGCTCAGCCACACTTTATTGACGCGGACATCGCTCAATACGATGTGCGCGAGGCGCGCGCCCCACGCAGGAGGATGGTAGTACAGCGCACGCGCAATATTGCGAAGCTGAGAGTCGACTCGGTCGCGGTCGTTCGTATTCTGCGTGGCAACACTCATAATGGCCGGCGAGTCGGCGTAGAGCCCCATCGTTGAGTCGAAGCCCTGCACCAGCACGACGGGCAGACCCTCATGCACCATGTACCGCAAGGGCTGTGCGTCGCGGTTCGTGTCGCCGCTCGACAGACCCTGGTAGGCCATCACAGCCAGGGGAATCAAGTGCTTTTCCAGCAGCAAAGTGGTGAGCTGGCGCCACTGCTGGGCCGTGAGGTCGGCGCCGGTAGGGAGGCCTCCGCTAATGTGCAGCAGAACCGCGGAGCGCGGAGGGGCAGACTGCAAATCCTCACGGAAGCCATCCCAGTCAACCAGACCGGTCTTGTGGTCAAGGAATCGGATCATCTTGACGTCGAGCCCGCCGTCACGCAGCGCCGCGATATCCTCCTCGGCGGCCGGCGTCTGAACGAGGACGGAGCGCATGCTCGCAGTCGCAGGGAAGCGGCTGAGGAAAATCGCCGCCATCCGTAGCCCGCCGGTGACGCTCATCGTCTGGATGGCTGCGATTCGCTTGTTCTTGTACGCCACGCTGTCTTCGCCGTACCCCAAGCGTGTGCCGAGGTCAAGGAATGGAGCGTACCCCTCGATCGGAAGTGTGACATTGAAGAGGTCGGGGTCCTCTCGCAACTTCTTCTCGGCATGCTTGACTGTCGGTGGGCGGTAGAGGTTGCCCTTGTCATCACGGAACCCGTGAACCGCGACATTAAGCTTATTTGGCGCGTCGTCCGCTTCGTGTGCCTCCTCAATCTGGACAGTGCTGATGTCAGCCGTGAGTGAGCTGCTGGTAGACTCACCTCTGTGCCTGAGCCAACGGGATCGCAGACCATGTATCGCGCAGATCGGAGTAGCTGGCCTCGCCACTTCGCCCAAGACTGGCATTTGAGAGCTGCGGTCAGCTGGAGGTCTCTCGCAATCTCATGTACTTGATGTAGAACGTCCATCAGGAGGGAACTCTGCGCCTCCGGGGTGAGCTGGGCCATGTTGTTGCTGACGTCGGTAAGCTGTGCGAGTGCGTTCACCGCTTCAGGATGCCCGTTGTTTGCGGCCCGAGTGGCCTGCATGACAGTCTCCATTGCCACAGACGAAGTCGCATCCGGGTCCGTCTCGCGCGCAGAACGAATGAGTGATTCAAGCGCTTGGACACGTCTTCCCAGCTCGTAGTTGACCGGTACATCCTCGTTTGGTCTCGATGTCAGCATCGGTACACAACGTGTGACCCACCGTGGGCGCTTGCGCTGAGTGCCCGGCGGTGCCTCCATCTGGCACATGCTGGGAACACCGCGCTTGATACATCGGCCGCAAGGAATGTTCCGATCGCACTGAGGTCAGCCTCAGTCCTGGAACAACACCTCACATGCTCTGTTGTGATGAAAAGGGGAACGCGTCAGTATCTTCTCTAGTGGCTAGCTTCGACGTACGTTTCTGATGTCAGCGCTGCTTATGGATGTCACAAAGCTCAACTCACCCTGCGGTGACACTCTGTGCAGCTCAAGACGGTGCGATTGCGCCGTCGCTTGACCTTGCCGTTCTCTGTATAGTACAAACTGTCGGGGTCCCGCCGTTCGTTGTCCGACTCGTCCGTGGAATGCGCTCTATCGGAGCGGAAGTCGTGCACGACGCGACGAGATGCAGGGGGTATCTGTTGCGAGGGTTGTGATGGCGGAGCTGAGGGTGTAGGTGCAGAGCTCTCGTGCTGCTCCTCCTCCTGGACATGGCCGAACGTGTCGACGAACTCCTGGACCTGCTCGTTGGTGATCGCCTGCCCGATCAGCTCGGCGAAGTCTTGTCCTTCATCGACGACAAGCTCGCCTCCTCCCTCCTCCTCGTCTTCCATGCGGCTCAGCGCAGCCAGATCGGCGAGTGTATCGGGGTCGAGGGCTTGGAGCTGGCCATGCTCGTGATCCACCATCTCGTCGTCCTCCGGCGGGATGGCGCTCAGTGCAGCAGCTAGGTTGAGGTCCAAGCCATCGGGGAGTACATTTTCGTCACCCTCGCCTCCATCAACATGGCCGGCGGACTCATGGGGTGGGTGTTGCTCGGCGGATGGTTGGGTGGGTGGTGGGTCCTCCGCCGGGGCGGGGTGGACCTCGATCTCTGGAAGATCGGGGCTGTCGCTCATAGCGCTAAGTCCGATATATCTGGATCGTGGTCAAGATTGGTATGGTTGGATAGCTCGTAATGAGATTAGGTCGGAGTCAAACCTCCCATGCGCGTTTGAAGTGGATGCAGGCCGTGGTCGCTGTCGAAAGGTGTTTTCTCGATATTGCGGCGTGTTTGGTGCCCCTGCGAATTGGGCGGCAAATCTGGGTTGAGGCGCTGGGGAGGGGTTTTGATCCCGTTGCCACCTCCACGTGATGAGGTCATCAATGCCACGCGATGAGGTAGTCACCATCCCATCCGGCCATCCGAGATTCCACTTGCTGCGGTTGCTGCGGCTGAAGCAGCAGCCGCCCACCTTGGCCATCTCTTTTAAGTCTCCAAGTTGAGCATCCCCCTCGCCATATCCCATGCTCTCAAGACCAGTCTTTCTTCGCCTGTTGACTAGAGCCCCCTCCCGCATTCCCAGACCGTCTACCTTCCTTACCCGCTCCTTTACTCCCTCAACCATGTCCGCATTTGCGAAGCAGCCCGTTACGGACCCGGCGAGCGTGCCGAACCCCTTGGGCGAGGGCAACTACATCAAGTATGCCAACTAACTGGCATCTCTGACCACAGGACTGCGGGATGTCTCATTATCGGCGACGAGGTACTCAACGGCAAGACCAAGGACACCAACAGCAAGTGAGCACACGAGTCATATGTACTTGGTCCTTTACTGACAACAGCTTCTTCGCGCAGTTCTGTTTCGACCTCGGTATCGAGCTGTGAGCGTGGGCCTTATTCTTGCTAACAACAGGAAGCGCATCGAGGTCATCGCCGATGACGAGGCGGAGATGTGAGCGTGTTCTGCATACTGAGCTGACCTGAAGCGTGGAGGCTGCCCGGCGCATGACACAGAACTACGACTTCGTAGTCACCTCTGGTGGCATCGGCCCTACCCACGATGGTATGTCTGCTCTACGTCAAGACCTTGCTAACAGTAGACATCACTTACGAGTCACTGGGCAAGGCTTTCGACCTCCCACTCGAGCACGACCCCGAGACCATGCGCCGCATGGCTGTCATGACGACCGAGAAGCGTCTTGCGGAGCTCGCGGTGGCATCAGCGGAGGAGAAGGCCGCACGGGATCGCATGGCACTCTTTCCCATCGCGAATGGTGGACACGGTGGCGACGGGCAAGGTGGCTCCCGCTCCGAAGTTCTCTTCGTGTGTGACGACCGCTGGGTGCCAGTTGTGCGGCTGGGCGGCAAGGTAATCACGGTTGCTCGGACACAGCTGACATTCAGCTTTGTGTATTCCCTGGAATTCCCAGCCTGTTTCAGCAGCTTCTCCTTGGCTTGGTACCATATCTGCCTCTTCCGCCGGCGTCGTCCAAGCCCTTCCGCTTGTTGGTCTTCACCAAGTGAGTCGCTGTTTGGCTTCAGAGCTGACGGGTAGCTGGCCCGAGTCCAAGATTGCGCCCTTCCTTGGCGAGCTGCAAACGCGTGTGAAGAAGGAGGGCATCCGCATCGGATCCTGTAAGTCCGAAGCTATTGACGCTGTGCTTACATTAGACCCATATCTCTACAAGGGCGTACATGTGAGCCTGATTGGGCACGATGTGGAGCGCGTCAAGGAGCTCGGGGAGGAGGTGGCCAGAACTCTTGAGGGCGACATTATCTCGCAGGGCACGCTGGGGAGTGACAAGACAGCCGCGCCCGTCAAGGCGTGAACATAGTCATATGTGATTAGTGTATGCTTCATTGCGATAAACTCTGGCGGATCCCGATCGGCGGAGAGAATGGGCGACGAGTGCATGGACATGAACGGTGGAGGTCGAGCGGAGGCAAATATTGGGCCATTCGAACCCATCCTTGTTTGAGCGTGTTGACAACCTCTCAACTTCAACTCCAATACTCTTCTTGTTGACACGCCATCATCGCTACTCAGGCGGTATCATGCCGCCTCTCCTCCCCTTCTCCCTTGATGCGTTACGTTCGCACGCCATTTTTGTCCCGCCCGCCTCGACCAGCGATGACGGATGGGAACTTGTCGGCCCGCAACCATCCTATGACGGACTTCCCGCTTTGAAGAATGCCCGCCTCGTCGTCCGCGACAGAGACTTGATCGTCGCGTTTGGCAAAGAAATTCGCATGACAAGTCTTTCCAGCGACGGCTTGGAGTTGCGCGGCACAAGTGTTGGGGGCTACAAGGTACATACGGTCCGTCGTACTGGACCGGACTGACATCAGACCCTCAAGTCGCCTCACCTTACATTCACAATCCATCAGTTGGTGCTCAACCCTACGGGGCGTATGCTCGCAGTAGTCGGACACCACCAGCTCGTCGTACTTGTTCTCCCTCGCGCTGGATTATCTGGTTCTGCGGGCGGCGAAATCGTTTGCCGGTACGTGGTCCTCCCATTTCTAGCGCGCCCGCTCTGCACCGCTTACATGCAGCTCAATGCCCGTTGACCAGTTTCAGCACTCCCCATCATCGCTTACGGCCCTCACCAAGGTGCAATGGCACCCGTGGGGCGAAGGTGGCAATTCGCTCTGGGTCCTGGCCTCCAATGGCACCCTTTTGTGAGCCGTTGGGTGCGGGCATCGACTGACCGCAGCGAGTACGACATACTTCACCCGCAGGACCCAGTGCAGACATTCTCCCTCCTCCCAGCGGAAACAAGTCGCGCAAAAAGCAAGTTCTCGGCCATTGACCCGCTGTCATATCACGCGACTTCGTTTACATTTGGTTGCGGCAATGCCGACTTCGCCCCGCTCATGGTGTACGGCCTGATGGCAAATGGCGACATCTACACAATGGGTCCTGTCCTGCCGCTGAGTGCCGATGTGCCAGAGGAGTATCTTGGCGCCTTGCAAGCCTTTGTGGCGGAGCGGATGGACGAGATTGACGATATGGAGGTCAAGCAACCCGGACAAGAGGGCAGCGCAGAGTACGCGTCGCTCGTGGGTCGGCGGCAGATGCAGGAAGCCTGGGTGAGCGCTGTAGTGACTCAGTGTTCATCGGATTCGGAGGGAGAGCCATCAACGCCCTCCACGTCTCCGCGTAGGCGCGGCTATGGTCTGCCTGCCTCCCCACCACGCTCCGAGAGGTTGCCTCCGCTGCCCGGGTTCGTGCGTGTCCACCCCCCGCATCTTACCGCCGCAGGCGGCCCAGCGCCGGGCGCTCATCGTCCACTTGCGAGGCAAGGCCCCCTTCTGTTCAACCCCGCACCGCAGGAAGTCGGTAATGGCGATGATGTCGACGAGCAAAGCGCGACCGACCTCACCATCTTGCATGCCTTTGGCAACGTGCCTGAGGGTCAGGATCCAGGTCTGGGCATCAACGTTCTTGCTATTGCGTGGTCGAGCGGGCGCGTTGACCTCGGCATCGAGCCTGATGGGTCAGAACCGCGTTGGATTACGTCTCGCGACCCTGCCCCAACCAATCCTATCCTCCATGTTGTTGAGAGCGTGCTCTCCTCATTCCCAACGTCTGACCTCGACGCAATCGCTCTGAACGCGCCTGCTTTCGTTAAGGACCCTATCCAGTCTGACGTCGTGTATATCTCACACGCGTTTGGCGTCGACGCAGTCTCCGTCGCGCCCTGGGTCTCCCAGCTTCTGGCTGGTGAAGGCCATTTGTCTCCAAGCGACGTCGCGCCGCTTGTCAAGGCGAGGTTAGTTATCACGATTGCATGGCTAACTCATGCAGCCCATCGAAACCCGTCGTGGGCGTTGAAACATTCTGCGATGTCACATTGGGCTATGGCCTCCTCGCGCTCGCCTCGAGCGGCCAACTCGCCACGGTCGAGATGGACGTGCGTGTGCCCGACTGGAGGTTATCTGCGCCAAAGTCCGCGCCTGTGCCGGACAAGAACAGCGAGTCTTTGCTCAGCACGCCTTTCGAGGTGTCTCTCCCCGGCGGCGACTTCAACCCAAAAGCAGCAATCCGGAAAGCGCCCGACTCGCACAAGGCGCTGAGCGCAATCAGCCCAGAACACATTACTGCGCTGCGCGACGCGGCCGCGCAGATCAAAACCCGCTCTCGGGCGGTGGAGGCGGCGAGCGCGAAGGTCGAAGCCCGCCTCGACCTCCAGGTTAAAGAGTACGCGCGGCAGCTCGCCGTGCTCCGCCAATGCGCTGCATCCACTTCTGCCCTCCGCTCCGCGGCCATGCGGAGCACTGAGCGCGCCGAGGCGGTGCTGCAGGCCCAAGATGCGCTCGGCGACCGCCTCGACGCTGTCATAACCGCCTTGATGGCACAGCAGCGACCGCAGATAGGCGCCGTGGAGCGGAGCTGGTTCGACGAGCTATACCGCGTCCAGGCGCGCGTGAACGGCGCGCGTGGGGCACCGGGCTTCGCCGCGCGGCTCCAAGTGCTGAAGGAGCAACTGGAAGTGGTGCGCCCGCGCGTAAAGGCGGCGGACGCGCAGGCAGAGGAGTATGGCGCGCGCCAGCTGCGCCCCCTCCAAGCGGCGGTGGGGAGCAGAGGAGACGAGCTTGCGCGTCTTGTGCGCAAGATGGACGCGTTGAATGTGCGTGTCGACGGCATGGAGTAGGGCATTGTAATACAACATGTCATGCAGCAGTATACAGTTACAGTATCTGGCAGCTCGTCTCAGCGTTTACGCGAGCTTGGACGTAGGGACGCGCTCCCCCTCGAACGCGTCTGGCGGAATCTGCCCTTGCGTCTCCGTCACCGCGCCCTTGAGGACGTACAAGAAGGGCGCGGATCCCGCGGGCGGCGGCGTAGTCTGATACGCGACTGTGGTCAGTTCTTGTCCACCGGGCTGGCTGCTCACCTGGTGTCCGGCACCGCGCACACCCAAAGTCTTGCCGCACCTCCGTGCCCCCCGCTCGCTCGAGAAGGAAGCGCTCGAGCGGGACCGCCGCAAGCTTGAACTTGCGCGCGGCGGCTGTCGGGGAAGGCTTTGTACGTATAATGTACGCGCCGTCGGTTCTGGCGTGAGTCGGGGCTCAAGGAGAGGAAGCAGAGGGCTCGGCCGGAGAGTTAAAAGAGGCGCCAACATACTTTCGCTGAGGAAGACGGTCGAGCTTGCCTTGCAGCACGAGAACGAAGTCACCGCAGAGGCAGTAGTAAGATCGCAAGGCGGCACGGGAGGGTTTGGGGGCGTCGGACATCGTTGCCGGACTGCACAAGCGAAGAGATACGAAAAGAAATCGCGAGCTGAGCCAAAGTTCGAGATGCTGGGTGGCAAATTAGCTTCCGCTCGGACACCTCCAGCTGGGACTGAGTTTACATGGCAATATGGCAAAGTCTGACATAGGCAGGTACGGAGATCAAAGACTGAGATGCGCTATGATAAATAGTCCTGACACTCGTGTTCCGCGCGTGCACGCAATCGCCGAGAGTGGAGGACGAGGCGCGAGCGGATGGAAAGTGCTCGGAGGGGCCGAAGAGTGGGCGGCCACGGGGAGGTTGGTGGTGTCGACGATGATGGGGGCGGTGTGAAGCAGTGCAGCCCTGGAAGCAAGGGCGGGGGGGAGCTCGAGACAGCTGAAGGTGACTCGGGGCGCGTCTTGCGCGTAAGCATGCCCTGCTCACGTGTGGGTGAGCTCACCGCCGGCGTCGGGAGGCCCACCAGCGCTGAGTTGGGATGCTCTTGCAGTGCTCCGAGCTCAAGAGGAGGCTCCAAGGCTGATGCTGGTGATGTTGGGGGAGGGGACGGTGGCAACAGTCGCCGGCGTTTGTGTGAGGTGTCTTGTGGGCTCTGGAACAGCATCCGAGCTGCGGGAGACCTGATCGGCGCACCCGCGACTCTCCGCTTGCCGGCCAGTGGTGACGTCGGAGACGTGTTACGATCAGGCCTTGGGGTGGGAGGGGAAAACTTGAGCACCGTCGGTGCGGAGAGGCGCGGGCCGATCCTGCCGTTGCGCCTCGGTGTAGGCGTATCTGGGATATCGACGACGGCAGTGCTCTTCGACCGCCACAGGGCCTCGATGCTGTCCTTCTCTGGAGATAACGGGGGCGGAGTTGCAGGTGTGATATACCCAAGCGACTGGTGAGCCACGCGAAGGAGGGCCGGTGCGTCGAGTGCTGCTGTCAGGCCAGACATACTGTAGAGAGCCGCCTCACCGTCTGCCCAGGATCGTTCGCTTCGGTCAAAGATCTTCTGTAGACGTGGCCAGCGCAGCTCGTACAGCTTCTGTCAGCTGCCACTTCATATCACAGCTCACATCAGATCTAGGTAGGCGTTGAAACCCCGCGCCCATGACCTCGGCGCACAGAGGTGTCTCAAAGAGCACAGAGGGTGGCTTCATATTCATTGGCATGTCGTACTTCCACGACAGGCCGATGAGCCGCTGAGAGGGTGAGTGCCGATAGCGAGCCAACTTACCCGCTTCCATTTGTCATCTTTGTCGAAGGGCTTGCTAGCCCACCGCCGCAGCCGGATGTTCTCGTTGTATACCTCAAGCTGCTCTCGCGTCATTCCGTATGACGCGGTGAAGAGGAACTTAAAGTGTGGGACGAGTCTGTGCTTTGTCACGCCTTCGCGGTTGGTCAACGAGCCTATGCAAAAGGTGGTGAAGACTGAGGTATCGACTGGTGTCAATGGAAGGTAGCCTTGAAAGGCGTAAGTCACCTCGAAGCTCGCGGGCTCGGTCCATGTCCCAGCCAGCGCCAAGGACGACAAGATCAACGCTGTCGCCTACGTTCGGAATGTAATCTTTCTGGTGGATGAGAACAGTGCTGCTTACCGACTTGGTCTATTTACTCGCCTTGAGTTTTACCCAGCGGAACCGCTTGTCGATGTACACCGACTCTTCAGCCTTAAGCACAAGACCCTCTAGCGTTAGCTCAAGTGTCTGATTGGCGACTCACCGTCCCTGCTATCACAGCAGCGCTGAAATGCTCTCTGTAAGATCTGGAGTCAGCACTACTTTTTACAGGCCCACCTCTTCAGCGTGAGACGCGCCAAGGTGAACGGGGATCTCGAATCGTGAAGCAATAAAGGACTGGCGTCAGATGGCGGCTAGAGAGGTTTAGCAGACTCACGAAGCCCTCGATCGGAAACACCACGCTCTCCAATAGCCGCCTACGCTCGCAGTAAGGCGAATTAAGGAGGCTTTCCCCGTCGAGATGCAGGATGTCGAAGAATGCAAGGCAAAGGTGACGATGTCCACTGGGCAAGCTAGGCGTCCTGCGGTCAGCGCTCTCATGCACGCTGTGATCACATTTCGGAGTTTACGCCAGCGGCCTGGAGGCGCCAGAATTCTTCGATACCCGGTCCACGGCCACCCTCCCGCTGGCCCTCATTGCATGGTACCACTTCCGCCTCGAGAATGACAGAGGAGAGTGTCTGCACCCTTTGGGGGAGTCGGGCGAGGAGCAATGGATGAGCTGCATCCTGCACAGGCAAACCAAGAGCGGCAAAGATTAGGCTGTTGTCAGTCTGCAGTCTGGGCCGAAAGGCTCACGCATGGGTATGCTTCCGATCGAGCGTGCTTTTGCGCTTGGACTTGCTGAAGATTGTGATCTCCACCTTTGGATTCGCCTTGACGTGGATCTGCATTCTGCTCTTAGTGGAAAGGCGGACCCTCAGCTCACCGATAGCCGTCGTACTTTGTCTCAGCCCAGACCGTGCTGCTGCGGTTGTCGATGAAGCCTTTGAGTGCATCTCGGACGGAGCGACCCTTCGAGCACTTGGGGATCTTCCGTCAGCTCATCCCAGTACGGAGCACACCTGGACGTTGACCCCCACCACCGGGCCGGTGGCGAACAACTCTCCGGCCCTCATGGCCTCCGCCGCGGCGGCACACCACTCCATACAGCCCTTGCCGTCACGGAACAAGCGGGCCATAGCGGGATCCCACACCCACATCGCGTCATGGAGGCCGAGTTGGGCGGGTCCTGCGGACGCCGGGACCCGCAGCAAGAGCGTGGGATGACGCGCCCGCATGGGCGGGAGGGGCGAGAGGAGGGGGCGCAGGTCGCGAAGAATGACCTGGGTAAGTACAGCCATCGCACGAGGGCTTAGCCCAGCCTCGCGGTACAACCGCCGAAGAATGGTGCTGGGTGACTGAGGGGCGACGGGAGTCTGTGAGAGCTGCGAGTAGGGAGAGTATGCAGCTAGTTCGTCAAGCAGTGAGTCGACCTCCGTGATCGATATGAGGGACCTCGTTGTATCGGGTATCTAGTGTAAGAGGAGCTCCCCAGCGGATCTTTGTACGCACGCGTTCACGCACGGCGTGTGCCACGACATCGCCGAGACATCCCAGCCCGCCCACGCCTTCCCACCCAACGGCATCCCACCGGGTCAATCCCTGTATGGCGAGCAATGACTCCAGCTCGGCCGCCAACTTGGTTTCTCGCAGTCCGTACCGGCGCCGATTGCCCTCGTGTGGGAACAAGAGACGGAAGAGGCGCGCAGTCGTCTTCGGCGGCAGCGAAGGTGGAAGGCTCTTGACCCATGATGCGAAGATCCAAGTCGGAGAGAGGGGAGGGCGGCGACCATCAGAATCGTGGCGGAGCTTCGAGGTTGGCGGGTGCCCGAGGTAGTAGACGAGCTCGGCGACGCTTGGGTGAGCTCAATGAGGACAGAGACATACGTTTCGAAGGTCACGTCCATGGCGTTGGCGTGCAGCCGACAGAACAGGCCGAGGGGAACTAGAGTAGAGGAGAGAAACTATACAGGCGACATGATATAGTGTAAGACACAAAACGAAACACAGCTGGGAAGTGATGAGAGGAAGGATGATGAAAGATGTCAAGTGGAGGTCCAGTCACCGTGATGGCTCTCGCGTCAGCCATTCTCTGTTAACACACCCCGAGGTCCACCTCAACGCGTACGGATCTGATAGCGAGCAGAAAAGTTACGGTACAGATGGATTGCATCCACCGGTCTCCTTCATGCATACGCATCATCTGCTTCAGCACGATCACTATAAGGTAAGGGCATACCGGCCGGTTGACTCAACCTTTCGACACGTGATCGGAACCAAACAAAGCCGCCAAGCGAATGGTGTCGCCCGCTCAGTCGTCTCCTTGCAGTCCACCTCGACCCAGATTCAGGCCTCTTTGAAGCACCTAACTCCGTGTTGCGCCGGGCAATGCGCTCGCACATCGTGCAGCAGCGTGTGTGCCATCTCCGCAGTCATCTGCCCTTGTTTTGGTCAAGTCCACACACTTCATGCGACAGGATGCGATCGCTGAGCCTTGTCATAGGGTACACGCTGCATTAAGCCGACTAAGCAGTCCACCTCCTCTAATTCTACTTCTCAAAAGTCTGGCCGCGAGACTCGAACACTGTGCCCTCTGGTGCCTTCTCGTTGCCGGGGCCGAACCAGTCCTCGAACCCAAAGTCGGTGCCCCAAGGCGGCGAGACGAAGCGGTGCTGCTTACCGGCGGCCGCGAGCCCGTCGAGGGTCTTCATGTCCTCCTCGTCGAGCGCTATGACCTTCTTGTTGTCGTCGATGCGCGAGGGCGTAACACTCTTCGGGAGGACGACGACGCCACGGTTGACCTGGTACGAGATGAGGATGGTGGCGACGCTCACGCCGTGCTTGTCCGCGATCTTCTTGATCTCCGGGTCGTCGTGCAGCGGCGAGCCAGCGCTACCGAGAGGCGAGTACGCCTGGAGGCGGATGCCCTGCTTGTCGCAGTACGCCTTGAGCTTTTGCTGCGGGTTGTAGGGGTGGAGCTCGACCTGGTTGACGGCGGGGACGACCTTCCACGTCTTGCTCAGGCGCTCAAGGTAGAGCTCGGAGCAGTTGGAGACGCCGATCGCCTTGACCTTGCCTTTAGCGAGGACAGCCTCCATCTGGCGCCAGGTCTCAGCCTGGTCCCACGAGCGGTCGATGTTGCGGCTCCCGTCCGGCTTGGTGGGGAAGAGCTTGCTCGTCCCGTTCTCCACGGTGCGCACAGGCCAGTGGACAAGGTACAGGTCAAGGTAGTCAGTGCCGAGGTCCTTGAGAGTGATGTCGAGGCCCTCCTCAACGCGGTCGTGGTACGTGCACCACAGCTTGGAGGTGAGGAAAAGCTCCTCGCGGGGGACGCCGGATGCCTTGACACCCTTGCCGACCTCCTCCTCGTTCTGGGGTTAGCATCAGCGCACAGTCAAGGAGGGACGCGGTGAGAGCAGCTCAGCAGGTGGCCCACAACGAGCAACTAGAACTGCCGAAGGCCTGCAAACCGACCCTACTCACCTGGTAGCACAACGCGCCGTCAATGTGGCGATACCCGCTTTTGATAGCGTGCTCAACGGCCTTCTCGACCTCTCCTGGCTTAGACTGCCAGGTGCCGAGGCCCACAGCAGGGATGGTGTTGCCCGAGTTGAGCTTGAATTCTGTGGGGACCGACTTGACCATGGTGACGAGCGAGCGCAGTGAGCGGGCGGTAATGATGGGTGGTATGGAGAGGGGCGGGGATGAATAACAGATGAACTAGAAATGTGACCTGGCCGCCGCGCTGGCTTATGAAGTGCCCACCAGCCTCAATCGTCGCAGCATGTTTCGCCAGGCGCTCCGGGTACCGGCCCGAAGTCCGGCGGGCCGATGTCCGGCACGGCCCTGAGTATGACACACCGCCCGGTGTTGATGGAACATTACCTAAGCCGAGCGAATCGGCTCCCTGCGGAGATCGCGGGAATGAGTGCTACGAACTGGAATGGCTCAAGATAAAGGAGAGTGCTGCTGTGTTTCAGAGCACGGCCAGGTAAATGATATTTATTAACATGGGTTAAGGCTATGTTGGCGGAGGCAATTGCTCCACTGGCTTAACTAGTCGAGATCCATCGGCGGGCTCAGGTGGCTGGCGCTCTTCTGGCTCGTGCCATTGAGGTGCGGTTTCGTAGAGGCCCCCTTGTTGGCGCCCGTTGCGTCGGTGCGACCGGCCGCCTTGCTCCCCTCGGTCGCGGATTTATGATGACCGTTCGCGCTCCCGTTAACGGAAGGTCCAACGTCAGGATTGTCCTGATCTGGCGCCGAAGTATCTGCGTCGGCCATCTCGACGTCACCATCCGCGACCTCGATGATCTCGATTTCGCTTGCCTGAGCAGCGCCCTTATCTGCATCAGCCGAGCTCGACGCCTGTGGCTGGTCGGTCTCGGGAGCGGCCACTTGTTTCGGCTGTTTCCTTTTGCGCTGCTTCATGATCGCGTTGATGGCCTCACGATGCTTGAGCAGGATGCGTTTGTAGAGGTGGCGCTGCGGCGCTGTCATCGAGATAGGGACGATAATTTCGACCTTGGGTGGGAGCTTGAGCACATCCCCCTTCACTCGGCGCAAGATGTACGGCTTGAGCATCTCGTGAAGCTCAACGACGAGGCTCTCGTTGAGATCCTCAAACCGTTCCTCTAGCTCTTTCAGGTTCGGAAAGTTGGCCGCGTCGAGGAAGTTGAGGAGGTTGAACAGCTCCCGCAGGTTATTGTTCAGCGGGGTGCCCGTAAGTAGGACTCGGTGGATAGCGTTGAGCTTCTTGAGCTTTCTAAACAAAAGGCTAGAGTCATTTTTCACTGGCATCAACGTTGTTCAGCCCGCACCGTGCTCACCAGCCTGCCCTTCATCAACGACAAGTACCTCCCACCGCGGTATGTTGCTGAAAATGCTGAAATCTGAACCAGTGATCGTGTCATACGTCGTGAGGAGGACTTGCGCCTTCAGTCCTGCGGCCTTTCGTTCCATAGATGGGCGGTACAACTCATACTTGGCGATGACGTGTCGGGCTGTGGTCAGTTCAATCAGCACTGTCGTTACTCACAACCTGACTCGCCGTAGTACGGCACCACGCGCACATGCGGCACCCACCGCTCGAACTCGCGCACCCAGTTTGTGATGGTTGAATTGGGAACAATGACAAGTGACGGATAGATTTGCAGCTCATCAGACGCGAGGTAGCCCAAGAACGATGCAACCTGGATGGTCTTGCCAAGACCCATGTCGTCGGCGAGGATGCAGCCCTCGCGCCTAAAATGCTTGTAAAGCAGCCATTGAAACCCCTCCACCTGGAAGGGCATGAGGGTGCCCCCGACAACGCAGTCCGGCTGCTCCGCTGGCGGGTCGCCAAAGTTTTCAGCGAACCGCTCCCGCTCCGCGCACTCCTTCTGCGTCAGAATGGGGACTGTCACTAGCCGCGCATCCAGGTGTCTCCCTAGAGCTTCCTTGTAGGCCGGGTAGAGAGGCCCGTCGACGGGCGGCGGCGTGTCGCCGCACGCCTGATCGTACTGCAGATCGCGCCACTTGACGAAGCTCCACGTGACCAGAGGAGCGATCTCGTCCAGGTCGTCTCGCGTGAGCATTCGCCCGGTCAACTCTTCCCAGTCGTCGATCCACACGCCGGCACTGGTGGGCGGCTGGATGCCGTCCCTGAGAACGACATCGTCATCTAATTCGTCTTCGTCAGATCCAGAGGAGATGACTCGCTTGCGTTTTTCCTTCTTGCCCTTCGTTTTGAACTTTCTAACGTTCTTGGGCGGGGCCAGCCAAACGTCAAGGACGCGATCAACGGTGCACCAGGGCAATGGGAGGTTGGCCTGGGCGTCTGGGTCAGGCGGAGGGCCATGTCCCTCCCACTTGGCTTCGAGCACGTCCTTTTCGCGATGGTGCCGTGCAGTAGCATTGAGTTCCTCCATCACGGCGGTGATAGTCGGTGCGATAGTCTCGTCGCCTTTTGCCGCGAGTGTGTCATCGGTGACGAGGTCCAGCTGAGGGCCCTTCTCGATGAAGTTCCGAAGTTTCTGCGGTGCTACCGCTACAAGCCAGCCGTGAGGAACCCAAGTTGAGTGGCGGAAGCCCCTGGCGGTCCATTTCACGAGATACTCGCGTGGGAGACGGTCACGGTAGTTTGGAAGCTCCTCGGGCTCGAGGTCGGGTTCGATGGCATCCGCAGGGAATGGTCGCCAGGCGATAATCCTATCCACGAACCAGGGCAAGTCGCGGCAGACATGGCACTCCCAATCCGCCCCTCCATCAGGAGCGGGGTGCTGGTATGCATCCGCTAGCCTTGGCAGACTGTAACGCTGGCCAACTGGGAAAGGGCTTCGTACTGACGTAAGTAGGTGCCGTGCAGACTAGGTCAAACTCACGATGCTCGTAATGGCACGCTTGTTTGCAACGCTTACAGCGAAACAGCAAGGGCGCAGGGTCACTCTTGATCAAATTCGAAGCGGACTCAGCCTCCGTCTGTGAGGCGGAGGTGTGCCTCGGCTTCCTAGGAAAACGCGAAGATGAACGGGCCTGGCTGTCGCCATCCTCATCCACATCAATAGGATCGTCCGCTGCGCCATGGGTATTCTCAAGCGACCCATGAACCTTTCGCTCCTTGCACACAAAACACACAGGAAATGCCTCGCAGCGGGAGCACAAGAACGAGGCAACGTCGTCAACGGGCAAGGTGTGAATGCGAGAGCCGCCGCTTGCGGAGTTCAAGGCGAGCATGACCTTTTTACGCTGGCCTTGGGGGATGCAGGACTGGGCTCGTCAGCATGGTATTGCTCAAAAAGGTCACCACAAGCGGTACGAACCCAGTGGAAAGAGGAACAACAGCGTTCACACTACTCGTCAGCATAGAGCTCCAAGCCGACATACCTCAAGCCAGCCACCTAGGCTTTCCGCATACTCCTCATCATCAACCACGAACTCGTCAGTCTCCTTGCGTCTCTTGCCTTTTCCCTTCTTCTTCCGACGCGCCGCCTGGAGTAGAACGTCGGCAGGGGGGTGGGCGCACTTCTCGCAAGTCTGACGTTAACTTGCCTCATTCGTTACGCAGGCTCACATGACGATGGTACTGGAGAATCTTCCGCGTTGGCGGTTTGGTAAGCCTCGGAACTAACATCTCCGAGCTAGAGTAATCGGATTCTTGCTGGTCCCCTTCGTCCTCCTCGAAGCAAGAGTCGACATCGGAGGATGCGCCCCGTGCCCGTTTGGGAGAGTTCGCGCGAAGTTGTGACTGCGCTCGAACTGCTGGCGTTATGGTTGAGCGCGCAGCCGTTGAATGCGTCCTTTTCGAGTTGGACGCAACGGGGCTGCGAGGAGTGCGGTGCTGGCTGGTTAGCATGAGGGATAGAGTAAACGAGGGGAGGAGCATTCACCGATCTAGTCCTCATCACTTGAGGCTCCATGCGCCCCGTCTGGCGGGTAATGGGACGCCTCGCATTGATGCCGTCAGACGAGCTGCCGTCGCTCTCCCAGTTCTCCACTTCATCCTCGTCTCGTAGGTCGTCCGAATCGTCGCCATACCCGCCAAATCCCGAGTCGCTGGAGAGAGCGCGCCCGCGCTTGCGCTTCGACGGCGTGAGCTTCAACTTCCATGGGGACCCGTCGTCCTGCTCGGCGAGGACTCTTTTGCGCGACGCTTTCGTGGGGAGCGAAAGGTGCTCAGGCATGTCATACCGCTCCAGCACGTGGAGGGGTAAGAAGGGGACCTCAACAACAACTCGAGTGCGTGGCATAATGCGTGAAGGTCCAGGCTCCTCGCCGCCGCTCAACACTTGTATGGAAGGGGATGAAGGTTGTAAAGGAATGGTCGGGGTTCCAGGTGTATGGTTACGTCTGCTCCGCCGCGCTGGCCGGGTAAGGGGGAGGTCATCGTCCTCCTCCTCCTGTGCAATGCTGTGAGATCTGCTGGAAATGTGGCCAGAGTCTGAGTCGGTGTCGGTTGACTTCAGCTTTTGTTTCGCTGTCCTGCGTGTCCGCGCGGTGGATTGCGGCGTGGTCGCTTTGTGAACCTCAGAGGGGTGTGGGACACGCGACGATCGGCGGCGTCGTGGGGTTAGAGTTTCCAAGACCTCATCCTCGCTATCTACGGCCGTGATGACGGACGAAGAGCACCTGGTCGAGCGCCGTGGCGGCATGGGTGGTAGTGGTTATTGTTACAACAGTCGTGGTCGAGCCGCTCTTGAAGGGTGATCGCGAGGGTGGAGGTTGGACATTGAAGATGAACGAATCTGGTTCCGAGAGCGCGTCTGGTTTCCTAGGGTGGCGAATCATGGTGCCGCATGCCGCACCCCAAACAAGCCACCCACCCACCCATCCCCAGACGTGACGCGTTCATTCCACTCCGCTTCACTTACTCTCCATCGCTCACATCCACTCGCACACCTCTCCAACACCACCTCATCCACTCTCACACGCAATGCTCGGTCTCGCCCGCCCCACCCTTAACACCGCTGTACGTCTCTCCATGGTACTGACGCGCGTCGCTTGTCTCACCACCCCGGCGCGACGCGTCTCTCATCCTGGATCTCGGCTGACACGGCAGAAGGCCACCCTCGGCCAGCGCGGCTACGCCAAGGCAACCCTTATCGGTCGCCTCGGCGCCAAGCCTGAGGTCCGCCAGGCCGGCAACGGCAAGAGCTATGTGACGTGGGCCAACTCCGAAAACGGATGCGTCGTGCTGACTCCAGCTACAACCTCGCCGTTCCCAAGCCCCCCAAGCGCAACGAGGAGGGCGGTGAGTGCATGCTATCCAAGCTTTACTGACATGCAGAGGTTGTCCGTGACGAGCAGGGCTGTGAGTGGCCGAAATCGCGCTGAGGACTCGGATGCTGATCTTAAGACACTGTCCGCGACACCAACTGGTGAGCATCACGCGCAGCAAGTTGATAGCTGACTCCTAGGTTCACGATCTTCAACTTCCGCCCCACGGCTGCGCAGTACATGGCCAACCTGGAGCCCGGCACCCAGCTGATGGTTGAGGGTGAGTCATCTGGGTGATGCGATTTGGGCGATGGCGGTGGTGAGGACGATGCTCACAGCAGCCTCCCTCGAGACTCGCACCACACCCACTGAGGCTGGCAACGTCAAGGACCTCCTCCTGCGGTGAGTTGTCGGGCGTGCTCTCCTAACATGTGCAGTGAGATCTCGCACCAGGTTGTCTCGCGCAAGAAGAACTAGATCCATGGGGCAAAGTAGAGGGTGAATGTCGGTAGCTTATGTACCACACTACTCCGAAGGATAGGACGATCCCGCGATATGACCGGTATCACCTGAGGCTGCTGACAGAGGACGTACAAGCCCGTATTGATGGCATGCTGATGCAATGTGGCGATATGGAAATTGGGCAATCTGGCGATCTGGAGATCTAGAACGATATCTGAAACCTCATGCGACACGCTAGGCACTAATCGATGGGCGTGGCGTTCACATCTGGGGTTTCAGACGCGCCAGTCGGGTGGATCTGCCCTCCGCACCAAGACGCGCTCCGCAGATCAGCAACTGGTGCTTCGTACATGCTTCTGCTCGCCGCCTCTCGTAACTCAGTGGGTGCGCGAACAGACGCCATCCTCACCCCTATGTGAGTGGGGTGCGGCTCAGACAGCGAAGGCGAGCGCGGCGCCAAGATGGCCGAGCTGACGCCCGTCTGTGCGTCGGAAGTCGCCAGCGACTATCTCTGTCGCTTCTGCCGAGGGCGGATGGAGCGCATGACGCAAGCCCGATAGCACGCAATACACGCACGCTACTTTACATGGATGAATATTGCTACAATCACATCTACTTTTTCCTCTTGCGAGGCATTGCCGACTTGGTAGTACCGTCGCTAGACGCCAGCCCAAGCGTCTTGACGCAGTCGGGACAGTACCATGTCTCGGGAAGCGGGCCGTCGATGTTGACGCACTTGACATGGAACTGGAGTTAGCAAGGAGCGCGCGTGGACGCGGGGCTGAAGAACTTACCCATTCGTAGGGACATTGGTCATTGTCGCACCCAATCATCTCGCCGTAACTCTTTTGCTGGCAGAAGCAGTAGATCTGGTCATCGTTGTCGACGTCCATCGCCTCGGCGATAGGTTCCTCTTCCTCTCCCTCGGCATCCTCTTCCGGCGTAAGCGCCTCGCGCTTTGGTCTCCCCCGCCCGCGCCCGTTAGAAAGTGTGGATCCAGCACGCGGGAGCGGCGGAGCCATGGGACTCCCGCCCCGCGAGTTGCCGCGCGAAAGTAATCCTGTCGTTCCCGCGCTGATAGCCGCCGCTAACGGTATTGCTGGCTTGCGACTGCGCTTGTGGGAGCCGCTCCCGAGCCCGGTCGATGGCAAGAGCACGTCCGCGCTGCCCAAATCGCCGAGCTTGACGGGCTCGGTGGCATCAATGTCCATGCCGCCTACACGCCCCCACTCGGCCTTGCCGCGCTCGCGCGCCCGCGACACAATCCGTTCCAGCCGCGTTGCAAGCTGCACCTTCTCCTCCTGCAGCTGGTGAATCTTGGTCCACTCGCCCTGGATTTTTGCGATGTTCTGCGCGTCCTTAGCCGGAAGGTGGGCTGAGGGGATCGGCGCGTCCTTCGGAATGGGCAGTGGGAAGCTCGCAGGTGCCGGCGCGCTCGTTGGTGTCAAGCCCTTGATCGACTTGGTCAACCCGTAATGTCGCTGGTTGATGCGATTGAGGAGATCTAACGTTAGCAATGCCAGCATACAGAAGCGCCCACTGTTTATCCTCTCGTCCTTCTCCTGGATCTCCATAAGAAGGAACCTGACCTCGCCCGGCAAGTTGTCAAGAGCTTGAGTCAGCAACACTCCGCGAGGTACCCAGCGACAAGTGACTAGCGACATACTGGAGACAAACTCAGAGGCCACAGCCGCTGCCTCCTCATGGTTGAAGTGAGGGTGCACTTGAAGTCCCGGTGTTGTTGTCATTGTGGATGGATGGCATGAGCCAAGATTACGTTCGACGCGTCGACGAGGTTGTCACTCACATTGTTTGGGTGGCAAATGCGCCTTGCACCTGTCGGCGTGGGGCAGGAGGTGCTAATGCCACGCTGGTTGAAATTGCATTTGAAAAATGTGCCTTACTAATAGGATGAATCCGCCACACGCCTGGAAAAGGTGAAATGCCGATCGGCTGGGTGGAGACTGCCTGGCGGGGGGAAGGTGAGCGCCAATCGTAGGCGGCTCAATCGATACCCCCGCCGTCTCCGACGTCGTCTTCGACACCTACTCCGGTACTCTCACTACCGTCCCTACTCCTACGCCAAAGCGCCGCAGCCCGCCTGGCTCCGCCCACAGCGTTCTCACCATGTTCAAGCAGTCCGCGCTCCCGCGCACTCTGCGGGCCACCCGTGCGGCCGCGACTCAGTCCCGCAGCCTCGCGACCGTCGCCGACCCTCCCGTTCGCCACTACGGCGGGCTGAAGGACCAGGACCGCATCTTCCAGAACCTGCTTCGCAATGGCGACCCTGTTAGTTGCAGCGCGCAGCCCAGAGCGCGGGAGGACGAGATGGAGCCTCCCGAGCTCCGCCCACTTGCTCCATCTCGCTCCCGCCGCTGCCCCCACACAGCTAGCATTGCTGACGCGTAGTACCTCAAGGGCGCGCTCGCGCGCGGCTCCTGGCACAAGACCAAGGAGATCCTGCTCAAGGGCGACACGTACATTATCAACGAAATGAAGGCTTCGGGTCTCCGTGGCCGAGGTGGTGCTGGCTTCCCTTCGGGCCTGAAGTGGAGCTTCAGTGGGTGTTGAAGCGTTGGTGGCGAACTTACGCCAGTGAACAAGCCGGGATGGGAGAAGGACCCTCGGCCACGCTACCTTGTCGTCAACGCCGACGAGGGTGAGCCCGGAACCTGCAAGGACCGCGAGATTATGCGTGGTGACCCCCACACCCTCGTCGAGGGCTGCCTCGTTGCTGGCCGTGCCATGAACGCCAATGCCGCCTACATCTACATTCGCGGCGAGTTCATCGTTGAGGCCCACGCTATGCAGCGTGCTATCGACGAGGCGTACGCCGCTGGCCTCATCGGCAAGAACGCCTGCGGCTCCGGGTACGACTTTGATGTCTACCTCCACCGCGGCGCCGGTGCCTACATCTGTGGTGAGGAGACCGCTCTTATCGAGTCGCTCGAGGGCAAGCAGGGCAAGCCTCGTCTCAAGCCTCCTTTCCCCGCCGACGTCGGTCTTTTCGGCTGCCCCTCAACCGTCGCCAACGTCGAGACTGTTGCCGTCGCCCCCACCATTCTCCGCCGCGGTGGTGCGTGGTTCGCCGGCTTCGGACGTGAGCGCAACCAGGGCACCAAGGTGTTCTGCGTCTCGGGCCACGTTAACAACCCCTGTGTCGTTGAGGAGGAGATGTCCATTCCCCTCCAGGAGCTCCTGGAGAAGCACTGTGGTGGTGTCCGCGGTGGCTGGGACAACCTGAAGGGTGTCATCCCCGGTGGTTGCTCCGTCCCTGTCATCACCCGTCCTGTCGCCGAGAAGTGTCTTATGGACTATGACTCGCTCAAGGACAACGGTACCTCGCTCGGCACAGGTGCTGTCATCGTCATGGACAACACGACCGACATGATCCGTGCCATTGCCCGCTTCTCCAAGTTCTACAAGCACGAGTCCTGCGGCCAGTGCACCCCCTGCCGTGAGGGCACGACCTGGATGATGAACATGATGGACCGCATGGTTGAGTGAGTCTTCACCGCCTCCGGGAAGAGCCGCGCGTCTCTCGCTCCTTCCGATCCCCATACTCTCGCTAACTCCTAACAGAGGCCGAGCTCAGGAGCGCGAGATCGACATGCTGCTTGAATTGACGTGAGTACGAAAGAGGGCGTGAGAGACCGAATGAGAGGTAGTGAAAGCCCGGCGCGGATTTGAGAGCCTCCTCCAGTTGTCGAAGGCTCTTGCGTTACTTTACCACATCACTCCGTCACTCTTGCTAACAGTCCAGCAAGCAGGTTGAGGGCCACACCATCTGCGCTCTTGGTGACGCCGCCGCTTGGCCAATCCAGGGTCTCATGCGTAACTTCCGCCCAGAGGTTGAGCAGCGCCTGGCCGATTTCCACGCCAAGAACGGCCAGACTCTGTTCGGTGGCAAGCTGAAGTCGGACGTCGACTACTCGCGCGCCGTCCCTGACAACCTCGGTGGTGAGGTCCCTCAGGTCTCTGCCCCGGCAGCATAGGTTAAAACGCAGTAGACATGCATGTATTGAGCTAGGTATGAAGGAGTTGCACAGGGAGAGGATGAGCTCTGGCCATCAGGATCTGATGACGAGTTGTTCTCAATGAATCGAGGTGGAGGTTGTCCAGGATGTTGCTGTAACACTCTCCATGTCCTCCCCACCACCAAGCAACATCCTCGAGGATCCCATCGGGGAGCTCGAGGCTGCCATCCGCGCCCACGCTTTCGGCATTGACCCCCTCTCCCACGTGCTCGTTGGCCAGTCCTACCCACGCACGAATGCCGAGCGTATAGCTGTGGCCTCAGAAGCCCGCTCCAACAAGCAGACGCCAGAAAGCGTGCGCGCGCGAGCCAAGGTCGTGCTCCTTGAGAACGAGGGGGAGGCTGAAATTGTGCTTGACCAGCGGGGATACACTGTAAGTGCTGTGGGACACGTTCCGGGGGCACAACACCATGCGCCCCGCACGCCGCGGTTTAGCTGCTGAGTGGGCGCTGACGTCTTTCTCAGATCGAGAGCACAACTGCCACCACCGATCTCACAGCACGCACTTTCGAGTCTTTCGACGCGCTCCTCATCGCCCTCTCTCCGGCGTATGTACGCGCCATGAATGCCGCCGTTGCCGCGCGGTTCGCCGAGGGCGTTCCAGAACGGCGATATCACAGCCATGAGGATGAGGACGAGGAGGAGCCAAAGTGGATAGACTAGACTGTTGTGCGCGTGCATCGGATAGCGCGCCAACATTAGCATGCATGGCGCGCGCTGCAGGCTCAAGCGCGCAGTATGAGGCCCATGCGCGAAGCTGCTTCGATCGGAGGGGAGGGCGGCGACTGCCGTCACGCGTGCCGACCTCGGGAGCCGGCGACGCAGGGACCTAGCATACCTCGGAAGTCAGACATGTTGGAACGATCCAACCCGCCATGGCCACAAACGCTCAAGCTGTGGCCAACGGCGCTCAAGATGTGCGGCCCAGTATGTGTCCTGCTCCGCTCCGCTCACCCAGTGTCAATGCATGAGCGCTACAGCCTGATGCGTCAGAATGCGGGACACCCGCATGTGATCCTGCACGTCGTGGTGTACCCCTCGGCCTCGATGCCCTCCACCGACGCGCTGGAGCGGCGCGTGGCCGAGCTGCAAGCCGCGCTTCCCATGCTGTCAGCGCGTGTGGTCGGCGCACACAGCACTAAGCCCGCATACGTTCCAGGCGTTGCGTGGCCTGCTCCCGCCATTGTTCACGAGGGGGTCCCGGCATCGTGCTCCGTCGCGGCATACAAGACCGCGATGGATGAGTTTACCACCAAGAGCGTAGCTAGCGCGTCCACAGGCCCCGAAGCACCGATGTGGCGCATCAGGATGTTCCCCCCCGGGTCAAATGGGGAGGGATACCTCACGCTAGCGCTCAACCACCTGCTCATCGATGGGCGCGGCTCCACGCTCCTCCTCGCCGCGCTCACCGCGGACCTAGGCTCTCCCAGCCCACTCCAGCCCGAACCCTGGACCGCGCCCACGACCTTTGACGCCACGATCCCGACCACGCCCTCTCTCCGCTTCCTGCTGCCCATTGTCTTCCGCGAGCTCCTGCTCCCCAAACTGCCGCGCTTCGTGCAGGAACCTTTCCTCGCCTCTGACCCATGGCCTGGCGTACGCCCCGGCGATCCCCTCACGTGCGCATGGGACATCCACATGCTCTCCCTCGACCCCTCGCTCATTTCGAGGGTCAAGAAGGCGGGCGCGGCGCGGGGCGTGAGCACGCTGCACCCGCTTCTGAAGATGGCATACTGCGCCGCAATGTGGCGCGTCTTCAACGCCAGCGCTCCCCTGCACATCGCGGTTGAGACGGCGCGGTCCGAGCGCAAAGCTGCGCTGGGCCACGCAGCCATCACGCACAACTACGTGAGCGCGACGATGTGGGACGCCACGCTCGCCGGCGACGACATGGTCTGGGCGCGGACGAAGGAGCTCGCGCAAGCCGTAGGCCCTGCTGGCGTCTTGCCGGGGCGCATGACTCTCGGCCTGCTCCGCCATATACCCGACCCGGAGGTGGATGAGAGCGCGGCAGGCTTCGACCCCAAGCGTCCTACGGGATGGGAGAAATACTTCGTCGAGCGCGCGCAGTCGGGACGGCCGTTCCGCGATTCCATGGCCATGAGCAATCTCGGACGCATCGAGCTTCCGCCCGGCGCGAGCGACGCTTGGTGGGGCCAGACGGCGACGCCGTTTGGCAGCGCCATCATGGTCAACGTTGTTGGGCACGAGGGCGGCGTGCGCATCAGCAGCGCGTTCAGGCTCGTTGTAACAACCACCGAGAGCGTTGGGGGCGTCCACGCAACTGTGAGGCGGGTGCTTGAACGCATGGGCAGCTCAAGCGAGGGCGAGGATATCACGCTGGAGGACATCACTGCCAGTGGGGATAACAAGGGCTAGACATAGAACGAATAATACATAGTTGCAAGATCACAGGTGTACTTCTACAACGAGTTGAAGTCGCCGAGGTTGAGAGGCAACGAGGCGAAGAGCGCCGTCCTGCTGTTAGCCGTTACTCAGGTCATGATGCCTCACCAGTATGCCTCGTCAAAGCCTGCCATGTTAGGGTCGACAGGGTAGGCCGCAGCGCTGTTAAGGAACTGCGTGAGGTCGTCGAGTACAGGTACATCGATTGGCTGTATTTCGGGCACCGGCACCGGCACGGGCGACACCTGCCGGTTCGTGTCGAGAGACTCGGCGCTTGTGATGCGCATTGTGCCGAGCAGGCGCTCGAGGAAGCGCGCGACAAACGCGGAGGGCGCGTCCGGCACACCATCCGCGACCTGGAGGCATACTTCATAGATGGTCTTGAGGCAGCCGAGAGCGATGCGGCGTTGCGGGTTGGTCACCTTCCAGAAGAGCTCTTGGACGCTTGCACAGATTGACGCAAGCTTGGCACTCGCAATGTCCTGCTGGAAGTGCCACATGCCCTCGTCGCACACGATCTTGAGCTGCTCGACGTACGCGACAGCGCGGTCGAGGCACTCGGCGGTGACGTGCTCGACCTCGGTGGGGCCGAGGAAGCGGAGCATGGCGAAGCGAATCCCAAACAGCATCTGGCGCTGGTAGAGGTGCAGGAAGACCTTCTGCTTCTCAGTGAGATGGCGGTTCAGCCCATCCGAACGCAGACACCATTTGGTGTGTACGCGCAGGCCGGACTCGAAGAGGCGCTCAATCTGGGCGAGCGCCTGCTCGCGGCTCATGTTCGCGCAGTTGTTGCGCCAGTGGCGGACGCCGTCAACGATAAATAAGGTCTCGAGGGAACAGGAGAGGCGCAGGTCGTTGATGATGTCCAGGTGCTGGTGCTCGTAAATCCACTGCTCAATGTCACCGACTTCGTGCGCACGAATAGCGTTAGGCAGGTTGTATGTCCCGGCATAGGTGCGGTCGAAGGCGGCGAGGCAGAACCATGTCCGCTCCGTGTCCAGCTGCTCTCTGTAGCGCGTGGGGTCCGTGGGCCGAGGAGCAGGGGGCTTGCTCCACCGCTCGTGCCAGCCAAGCTGATATGCGAGGCGGACTGCGATGCCGATACGCACCCAGCCGCTCTGGTCCGTCGGTTCTTTCCAGTACACGAGAACCAGAAGGGCTTGGATGACGCCTGTGCTGCACACGCCTTGTTCTATTGCGTTACTCAGCAGCTTCTGGGCGTGCGAAAGCAGGCGCGGATATAGTGGCTTGTGGAAGTATTTCGCCGCGGCGGCGAGGACGGCGGTGAACGCAATCGAGGAACGCTCACGCAGATACCCGCACGTGTGGAGGACGGGGTCGAGAAGGGCGATCATGGGGTTCAGGTACTGGTGGAACATGTCAACGAGGCGCACAGCCTCCATGTCGTTCAGGTAGCCCATCATGACTGTTTATTTTAGCTAGGCCGACGGGTGACTCACGAGGATCGTCGAGCATGCTGCGGCTCGCGCGCCCTTCCTTCGCGTTGGCGGATACGAAGGGGAGCTCAGACCAGCCCTCGCCCATCGCGCGCTTGCTGCTCTCTTGCTCTTCGGTCTCGCGCGGCTCACGCTCCCGCTTGCGGTCGCCTCCGTCCAGAGAAAGAGAGCGAGCGTGGGCATCTGGGTGGCCGTCATGCGAATGCGAGTAAGAACGCGGAGCCTGCCGCGAGTCATGTCCATGATGTGGGGGGTACTGCTGCTGCGTCTCTACATTGTGCGGGCTGCCATCCGCCGTCATGGGGGATATGTGTGAGGCAGGGCGCACGCGGACGTGCGACGAGTGCGAGCTCTGCGGCGACGGGTCAGCAGGGCTGGGATACGTGCTAGACGTCGTCGCTGCTCCTCCGGTGGGAAGGAGGGCGTTGACGACCATGCCGCTCGCCCACTGGGGCGGAGGCTGCGGCTGGCGTGGGGGCGGCATGTACGAGCCCGAGCCGGAGGGGTCTATTCGCACCGGGCTGGGGCCATCCGGTCGCATATTTGGCGGGTGGGCGTGAGACTCGAATTCGGGGCGCTCGTGAATGGCCGGTGGGCGCTGGCCATCGGCGGGTGGGGCGGGGAGGATCTTGGGGTTGGTTGTGTGCACCCGTCGCCGACGCTTGCTGTAAGCGCACGGCAGATCAAGACGCTGGCAGCGCTGACAACGCTGGGTGATGTCGTTGTCGTTGACACATTTGAGCTGGAGTCAGCAATGCGGCAGGCACGCGCGAGAGAGAGTGGGGGTGCCCACCTTAACTCCTCGGCAGAGGATGCAGCTGATGTCAGCTCGAGCATTCCGAGACTAGTGCAGGGTCGTCGCAGATACTCACGCGGGCTTGCGCGACTCCATGGTGGATGGTGCTGAAGAGTCGCGCCGGGCGACGAGTAAGGAAAGCAGATGTAGAGGGTCGGGCAGATCGGTGTCATGGAGCGCTTTGGCTTTCAATCGACTCTTCGGATAATCCTTGTCATTCTCGCCGGAAAAATAGCACGCGAGAGAGCCATAACTGCTCAGAGTGTGGCAGGAGGCTTTCACTGCGCCTTGCGACCTGACGACAGCTTGTGGCCATGCTCATCAGCCCAAAAAGGCTGCGCGTTTTTACTTGCGCATCTTGCATTCCCGAGTCCTCGGACAGTGCAATTACGGGGCTAAGGGTGAGGAGGTACAAAGTGACGCCTCAAGTTAGGTCGTGGGTCACGGGCCATACCTCTCGTCACCTGGTCTCATCCAGATCCTGCCGGAGTTGTCTGTGCATCGATCTGGCATTATCGTTATGGTGGCAGTCACTCTGGCGCGGTCCGCTCCGTCATCTACTCTACATTTCCACTTGGAGACACGCGGTGCAAAGCTTTCCCACAGCCGCCTGGCTCACCCCTTCAAGGTCGGCGGTTCGGGTGCCAGCTGTTCAGCTTGTTCTGGCAAGAAGGGGTCGCATTGTTCAGCAAAAGACTGTGGTGGTGGCGCTGTGGCATGCCCACCCCCACCTCCATTTCAATGTCACCTTATTAACGCCCCATGTCGTTCTGTTTCATTGGTGATCTTTCGGGAAAAGGGATGCGATAACACACATGCATACCGCACTCTGAGACAGCAGCATGCAAACGGACGTTCTCAGGAACGCAATGCTGTCTCAACCGTTATCAGATGGCCGGAGACGTGGTCTCGGCGACCGGAGCCAATCAGAGAGGGATGCCGTTGGGCGGTATGTTCGATCGTTCGTACATGTTGCTGACTGCTTCCCGAGCATGGCCGAGCAACACCTGTACATGTATTTCGAGCTAGCAACAGGGAAGTAGTAGCCACGGAATTAGGACCGTGTCGGCAGGTCCAAGAGCATTCCTCAACAAAATGCCACTGAGCCTAACTAATCAATATATCTGGCTTTTAGTGTTGGCGCTTCATGGTGCGCAACAACCCCGCGTATCTTCATCCTCATCTTCCCCTTTCTTCGGTTAGCACAACCTTTATCTATTTTGACAAGCTTATAAGTCAAACAGCACTCCAGGAGGGCAAGGGCGCGGAAATTCATCATCACTCAATTGCATCGGCCTCTTCTGATCTCGCACGCCTTCCTACATCCACTAGACCCTCTCGAGATAGTCGATCTCCGCCTTCTCGCCAAGCTGGGGCGACTCCGGCACCACGTCATCGGTAACGGGCGGCGGGATGCCGTGGGGCGGCCACGCCTTCTTCTGCCGCCACTGGCAGTAGCGCGATGGCCCGCCGAAGAGCTTGGCCATACTCTCGATGGGCGTGCCGCGCGTCTCGGGGATGAAGACGAAAGTGAAGACCAGCGTCAGGAAGCAGCAGATGCCGTAGAACACGAACACCCAGCCGCCAACAGCCGCCTGCATGTGTGGCGCGGACATGGTGGCGGCGAACGACGACAGCCACTGGGTTGCGGCTCCAAAGGCGCCAGTGATGGACCGCATCGAGATGGGGAACATCTGTCGTTGAGCTGAGTTCTCTCCTCTCTTAGTCGTGATGATGACTCACCTCAGCTGAGACAATCCAAGCAAGCGAATTTCCGCCCCAGGACCTGCAGAATTAGTGTTGTGGTAGGGGGTGCGGCAGATGTTTGTGCAAAATGAGGATCTCACTCTGCGGCTAATCATTGGTACTCACCAGATGAACGAGTACAGCATGATGCAGGCCACAGCACCCGTGCCCTGACGCTGCTCGGAACCCGTGAGCATGCCTTTCTTGGACGCCGGATCGACCGCAATGACATAGGCGCCGATGTAGACGAGGGTGATCGCGCATCCGCCGGCAGAGAGGAGCCAGGGTACACGTCGGCCCGAGCGGTCAACGATCCACAAGCAGAACGTGATGGCACCGACAGCCTATTATCAGCTGGCTGGAGGATAAAATCACGTACCTTTACAAGCCCATAGAAACCGGTGTACAAGTTGACGTCCTCGGAAGCGATCCCGACTGATGTGAACAGAGTGGGCGAGTAGTCTGGTATTAGCCACCGCCGGAATGCGACCCACAGTTCAGGACCACAGCGCCGCTAAAGTTCATGAGGATGAACATCCAGAACAAGCAGATGAACAGTCGTCAGCGCAGTCGCACAGGAAAACCTACGCGGTGCCGGACGTGCGGAACCCTAAGCTCCTTTGTGAATGCGCGGAGATACGGGCCCATCCCAGTCTTCCCGCCGGCGAACTTGCGCTCCTCCTCAATCACGACGCGCAACATCGCCACCTCCTGCTGGAGGTACTCGTGGTCCTCGGGCAGCTGGCGGACGTAGCTGAGCACCGCCATCGCCTCCTCCTCGCGGCCCTTGCGCAGCAGCCACCCCGGCGACTCCTTTAGGATGACGGATCCGACGGCGAGCATGCCGCCGGGGATGAGCTGGACGGCCATCGCGACGCGCCACGACGTGTTGCTGGTAACATCCATGTGACTCGTGATGCCAAAGTTGATCCAGAACCCAACGAGCGAGCCGATCTGGTACGCGATTTCGAAGAAGCCCGTGAGCTGGCCGCGGATGGCGGGCGGCGAGAACTCGCCGATGAACGTAGGGATTGTGGCCGTAAGCACACCAACGGCAAATCCAGTGATGGCGCGACCAGCGTAGATCAGACCCAGGTTGTGCGTCGTCACGGTCATGAGAATGGCGCCGAGGTTGAAGAGAACCGCGCTGACTTGCATCGGGCGCTTGCGGCCAAACGCCTCCATACAGGGCCACGCGAAGACGGCGCCGAACCACGCGCTGCCCGTGAATGTCGAGGTCAGATTGGTCGTCATGGCCGTCTGCTCCGCCTTGGTCATCTTATCGATGCCCATCGCTTCCCTGAACGAGGGGCGGGCGATCGTGGTGCCAATGAATGCACCTGGCGTCAGCCGGCGAGGAGGAAACACAGTAACTACGCACCATCATATCCGAAGGTGAGCGCGCCACATCCGCAGATAATCGCGAGCATGTACACGCGCCAGTTGTACACCTCCTTCGGCGTGGGCCGGTCCTCGATCTTCTTGAATCCGCCCATGGTTGTGGTGTCTCCGCGGGGTCGATGGAGAGAGCGCGGGGCCTAGTGTGGGGAAATGATCAACCGCGATTGTACTTTAACCTCCTCTTCATGTTGGGGGCTCCGGCCTGCCAGCCGACTCGGCACCTCACGGCTGGATTACTAGACGGTTAGCGACGGGCCTGGAGCACACCGCCGGGGGAGCGGCGTCGATGTCAGTGAGAGTGTGCGAGTTGGCGAGGCAGTCGATGAATAGGATGCGGAGCTGGGCAAGAAGGCCCGGGCAAGTCTCCGCTTCAGTCGCAACGATCGTCCCGGACAGTATGGAAGAGGAGGGACGCGATGGACAGCTGACCGTCGTTCGGCGCTATCGCCGGCCCGTGGCGGTAACCCGCGGCACTGGGACTCGGTGTGGCATTGTACCGAGCTTTCAATTATCCTCAAACTGTCTTCCACGGAGGAGGCCGAAGAACGGCAGTTGTGGGTACCGATGTCTCAACCATGTCGAACGGGCGAGCGAGGTGTGATCAGACTGTATAGTGAGAGGTCAGATCAGAGTATAAAGATGAGTAGAGAATATACGAAGATGCCGAGATGCTAATGGGAGTCGTACTCTTGATCTATGTGCCGCGCATGTGGGCGCCGGATTTGGAACTTTAAAAGCCACCTGATCTCGCGAGGCTTCGGGGTATGTCCGGTGAAGATGCCCACCTGCAACGGTGTTGCATTTGCCCCATCCGACCAACGCCGTTTCTGGGAAGACCGACATTATGCGGGCCTCATAACGGCTGCTCCAGCTCGCCACAGTTGAGAAGCTTGAGTTTTCGATCAATGAGAGAGATCGACAGAGCCTGTTACTCGGCCGGAACGGGACTCCTTGGCTCGCGGAGGGGCCTGATTCCACCATCAGCGTCAGCGAGATTGGCTTCCATGTACAGCAGCTACTTCGTCGCTCCTTGCAGAATTTCCAAGGGCGCTGAAAGCATGAGAAGCCTGCGCGGTGCATATGAGAGCGTCGGATCTGGGCGCACAGGCTGGCCGACGGGCTAGGTGGAGCGGCCGCCAGCAACTTACTGGACCGTTGAGTAATTCCCTATCCCGCAGAAGCTTGACGTCAATCAGTCGGTCATGCTTGTGCTCGGAGCACCTTCGCATGCCTTGCGCCCTGGGCCCTGGGTATGCTGAAAGCCTGGGCATGTGACCGTATCTGCTGCTGTCCAGCTGCTTGACCGCGTCCAGTCGTTCGGCCTGTTCTTGTACATTTTCGCGCGGCCGAACCGATACAGTGTAGAAGCCTTACGTCGCCTGATCGCCTGATGAATAGTAGTCTAATAACTCTGTCACATGCGAGTCATCACAGCCTCGTCGCGTCCGATAGTAGTGACGAAGTGCGGGGCGACGTATCCCGCCTCCCACACCGTGGACCTCGGCGGCCGAGGCAGTCGGCGCCGGAATCGAAGAATGAGGATTCCAGGGCGTGGTGGAGGTCGTCCACCACCTGGCCAAGTGGCGAGGGTGGCAAGGTGACGAAGTTGGCCGACGTGGGCCGCGCCGTCATGTCAACAACGGTTGAGGCGGAGTACGTGGGCGCGCTCGAGATACGAGTGTTCCGAAGCATGACAGAGGTACGAGCACCGATCCATTCCGCTTCGTTTCTGTATCTCTTCATTACTCAGACTGGTTGGGAGCGTTCACCATCCGAGCAGCATGCGCTCTGTACTCCTTCTCGCTGCACTCGCACTCGTCCACGCCCAGCGGATAGCGCGGCACGATGATCATGGCGGTCATGAAGATGAGCCAGACCCCCACTCGCATGCGATCTCCGCTGTATGGGCGGCCACAGAACTTGAGACGCCAGCTCTCGTCTCCTCCGGCCTCCCCACCCCTTCATCCGCGGTCTCCACGGGCCATGGTCACGGACACGGTCACGGTGCACCCCCAGCGCACAACCACAACTCCCACGCGCCCGTCAAGGAGTTCCTCGACGACGCCGCGCTGCACGAGTGGCACGACTTCCCCCCAACGTACATGGACGCCGACTTCCGGCTGACGCCCGACAAAGTGATCTTCGGCGAGGTGTTCCCCGCAGACTGGGACGCAGCTACAGTCGCGAGCCACCCGGGGCTCATGTTCGCGCACGTCGCATGCATGGTCATCGCGTACTTTGTGCTTCTGCCCATCGGTGCGTGCTCCGACGTCTCCCACTTACATCAGGCCTCGCCCTCCGTGCAGCGGGGCACCCCGCGCACTTCATCGTGAGCGGGGCGTCGTTGGCTGTCGCTGCGCTCGGGTGGTTCGCGGGCGTCGCGTACAAGGCTGCGATGCCTGATCTGTGAGTGCACAGCATACAGCGGGAAGCGCTGCCGGAGCCGTGCCGAGCGATGGGAAAGCTGACGCCAGCTATCCCGGTGCCAAGCACGGGGGGATCGGGAATATCCTGCTCCTCACCCAAATTACGTTGACTGTCGTCGACTCGCTCGCGCTTATCAAGCGCTGCGTGGCGTTCTCGCGCTCCGGCAGCCGTCGAGGTTGGAAGCTATTCCTCCACGATGCCCTCCGCATCTCGGATGGCGGACCCACCGTTGCGAACAGGTACGAGATGGTCGGAGTGCATGACGAAGAGGACGACGGCGACGTCACCCGCTGGCGTGCAATATTCGTGGTCGGCGACGAGGACGATTCGCGGCCCCCTTCGCCCCCTTCTTTGCCGTCGCGCCAGAGCACAGGCTCCGAGGGCACGCTGCACGAGTCGCCGACGTCGTCACGCCAGTCGCACCATATGTTTGAGCTGGACGGCGGGCGGTTGCGCAAGATGGGCACGATGCCCTCCCGCGGCGCCTTTGACCAGGAGCACACTCCCGCGTGGACGATCGCCCCCGACAGCGCACCGGAGCAGGTGTCGCGGCGCGCGAGCGCCACGCGTGCTGTTCAAATCGTGCTCACCTGGATCCGGCGAACGCAGGTTGTGCTCGCATACGTCGCGGTGTGCACCGGCATCCCTGTGTACGTCGGCATGTGTCGCGCCGGCTTCATCAACACGTGCGCGGCGCATATAATCAAGGGTTCCATCTTCTTTGGGTACGGTGTGCTCACATTTGCCCGTTACCTCGGCGCATACGCCGACCTTGGTTGGGCGTGGAACCGCAAGCCGGCCGGCTCTCGCGCTGTCTCTGCTGAGATGGTCGAGTGCGCCGTGATCTTTACTTACGGCGCGACCAACACGTGGATGGAGCGCTTTGGGTCCAAGGCCGGCGACCCGTACACTGTCAAGCAGGTGCAGCACATCAGCATTGCAGTAATGTTTGCGTTTGGCGGCCTTGCGGGTTGTCTCCTCGAGAGCGTTAGGGTGCGCAAGCTCCTCGGCTCGGTGATCAGTACGAACAGCGACAACGGGCGCGTGCAAGAGCCGCCGACGTACGCGTTCTCCTTCAACCCGTTCCCGGCTCTCGTGATCGCCATCACGGGCCTCGCGATGGCCGCGCACCACCAGGACTACGTGTTCCAGGTGCAGATTCACTCGCTGTGGGGCATTCTACTCGCTGGCGGCTCGCTCTTCCGCTTCCTCACGTACTGCTACCTGTGGCTGCGGCCACCGACCGACTCGATGCTCCCGTCGCGCCCCCCCACAGAGGTGCTCACCAGCTTTGGCTGGGCGGCCGGCGGCATCGTCTTCATGCTCAGCGACGAGGAGGTAGCGTTCGCCGCGATGCGCTCGGGCTTCGACGACGTCATGGCGTTCCTCAACTTCACGGTCGCGCTTACGTGCCTCGTCTTTTGCTGGATTGTTGTTGTCATGGCTGTCAAGGGCTTTTCGCTGGTGCGGATGAAGCGCGGCGTCGAGCTTGCTGTGGGCGACGAGGAGGCGACGGCGGCATAGTTGTGAGACCAATGTTGCCACATGTAGACTAGGCTGAACGTGCGATATAATTAGCGCAAATGCAAGTGTAAGCAATGTTACCGAGGCCGAGTGGACGGAACGGCACCGCGCCAATCTGGCTTTGTAGTCTCCCGCGGAACCGGTAGTCTCGAGGGCCACAGGGTAGAGCCGTCGTGCATCGAGAGCCGGTCGGTCAGTGTATGTGGCCAAGATGAGTACGATGGTAAGTCTGCGTCGAGCGCTGTTCGAGGAATAGAAGAGATGGCGCTCGGGGCGGTGCTGAACATCGGAATGGAGCAACGTGCACAGCCCTGGACCAGGAGGACTCCGTTGCATGGCGGAATTGCGCTGTTCCCATCGCTGCGCAGCAACCAGGATGCACGCGTTTCGGCTTGGAGGAGCAGGAACGCGGTCCTCTGAGAAATATGCGAGTCGAGGAGTAGGATGTTGAAAGCGGGAGTGCGGGACAGACGTGGAAGTGGGAAACTGGGCATGTCGACGGAAGCAAGGCACGCTCTGTCTGCCTGCAGCCAGGGAAGGTGTAGCCAGGCTCTCCTGGGTGGACCATCTCGCGACACGCACCTCCGTCTCCCTCCTCGGTCGTCTTCTCTTCTCTCCTCTAGATCTCTCTTCCGTCGTCGTTCAACGCGTCCAGGTTACACTCGCATTCAATCATCTACATTCTTTCTCATCGCCCTCGCAACCACTCTTGTCCCTCGTACATCGTCATCCAGCACTCTCATCGCACCACAATGGCCTCGGCTCCCATCAGGCAGCCACGCGGGCCCCCCTCATCCGCCGGCTCCTATACCGCATCAGCAGCCGCCACCGCCTCCCAGTCTTCTAGCGGTCCCGGAGGCCATGCATCCCCCGGACCTCCCATGGCTGACGCAGAGAGCCTCCTCCGCCGCAACAAGACGGTGGCGACGGCTGCACGCGCCGCGCAGGCAGCAGCTCGCTCCGCAGACACTGTCGGTCCTTCCGCAACGTCATCCGCAAATGACGCCGCCGCCTACCGTCGCAGCCTGGGCCCTACTACCATCGAGGCGTACCAGCGCCAACTGCGCTCTGGCTCTTTCTCCGGCATGGCGCCCAGCCCGCAGCTTGCCGCTGTCAGTAACTCGGGAGACAGCGGCCTTGTGAGGCGTACCAGCGGCCGGGGCGACTTTGCGTCGCGCGGCGGCCAGACCACCGAGGAGACATTGATCGAGGCCGAAGCGGAGCGCCTCGACGAAGTTCCTTCAACCGAGCCCGGCAATTGGTACAAGGGGTTATCTCGGCAGAGCTCACTGCCCTCCCGCAGACGTGAGTTCTTGTCGAAGGAGGCGATGTGAAGGCCCGAGCTGACATGTGACATGCACACCCCTCACCGGATCGATCTCGTGTTGTCTGGCATCGCTACCCATTCCGCCCACTGCCGCTCCGCTGCCACGGATGCTCGTCTCACTTCTCATGATGTCTTCTGCGCACGTCCGCTGTCCTCGACGCATCCACGGTCCAATGTGGTTCGGTTCTGTCGACGCCCGACTACGCCCCCTCGTCCTTCCCCGTATTCGGTCCTCCACGACCACACACTCCTTCTTTCTCAACACATACACACACTTCCACGCCCCCATCACTAATGACAACAGTCAACGGCGTCAATCCAGGCCTGTTCACACCAGCGGAGTCCCGAGAGCAGGCCCCACAAAGCAGCAATGCCAGCTCGATGCCTCCCCCACCGCCTCGGCCACCCCGCCGCGTGTACCAGCCTCCCGCGGATCAAAACTCCTCACCTCCCCCAACTGCGGCATCGACGCAATCTAATCACTCGCGATCTTCATCCTCGCACGCCCCGTCCCATTCCCTTGGATCCCTCAGCATGCTGGCTACCAATTATGAACCCTCGTCAACCTCACCGGTGCCTTCGACGCCTGGCAGCGCTGGACATGGCAGCTACAACGAGGCGGTCGCTGCCCTCCCCGCTGGCGTGTCGCGCACCCAGTCTCTCCGAGCGCACATGCACCACAACCCCCAGACCATGGGAGACTTGAGCAGCGCGCTCGGTCGCAGTGCCTCGATGCGCACCCCCGGCGAATTGTCCTACTCGCGCCACCATCAGTCTCCCCCTCCCCCTCCCCCGCCTTTCAGCCTGGCGACTCCGCCTCGCAACAAGGGTCACCTCCCCCACTACGCCCCTAGCGATGATGGCGACGTCCCGGGCGCTGACCTTCAGCGCCACCATTCCCTTGGCCGCTCCCAGGCGCTCCTGTCGCTGGACCAGCGTGAAGACCTTCGTCGCCGTCTCGCTGCGTCGCCTGGCGCTGCCTCAGTAACGTCGGCCGGCACACCAGGGGAGGGCACCGGTCACTCGCGCCACATATCGGAGATCGACCAAAGCGGTTTGGGGCGCAATCTGTGGACGCCGAGTGCGCCTGCGCCCGGCGATGACGGATGGTCATCGAGCACGAATGCAGCACAGCAGTTGCAGGACGCTCTCGACGCCCTATCTATCCGCGACGGCGGCCAGATGCACCGCCCAGCGCCGGCGATGGGTGAGGAGCCCTCGTGGGTGACCAACTTGGTTGGTATGCCCGGCCAGCCCTCGCCCACGTCGCAAGTGCGCCCTCTAGGCTGGGACGATCGCAACTCGCCGTACGGCGGCCTCGGCCAATGGGGCAGCGGACCGTCCCTGCAGCCTCCTCCACTTCTCTACCAGCAGCAGCAACAGCTATACGCTCAGACTCAGGCGCAGCTCAAGCTGCAGGCTGCAGGGCTGGGCGGTGGCATGCCTCTTCACGGCTTGCCGCCCCCCATGCACCTCCAACAGGGCTACATGGGCGGAAACTACCTCGGCACGCCGTTCAACACCGGGTACGGCACGCCGCCTATGCCCATGCCAAGCGTCGGCGGCCTTCCAGGTGGCCCGGGCATGCCCGGCGGATCGCCGATGAGCGCACACGATGTCGACGTAATGGAGCTGGCGCGCAGCAAGGGCCTCAACCCTGCTACGTTTGACTGCCGCCCTCCCTATGCCCGCTTCTTTGTCATCAAGTCGTACACCGAGGACGACGTGCAAAAGTCGCTCAAGCACGAGGTGTGGTCGAGTACGGTGCTGGGCAACAAGCGTCTCGACAATGCGTGGCGTGAGAGCCATGACAAGGGACCGTAAGTGTGTGCCGCGACGCGACTGATATCAGTATCTACCTCTTCTTCTCCGTCAACTCGAGTCGTAACTTCTGCGGTGTGGCCGAGATGATTTCAGGGTGGGTCACGGAAACGATGGCATGTCAGCTGACAACAGTGTCGACGAGACCAAGACGTCGGATATCTGGGCGACCGACAAGTGGAAGGGCCTCATGAACGTCCGCTGGCGGTTCGTTCGCGACGTGCCGACCAGTGCTCTGAGGCATCTGCGCCTCACCAATACCCCGGACCGCAAGCCGATCACGACGTCGCGAGACACCCAGGTGAGCTTTGCGTGATAGGCGCAGCTAACGACAGGAATTGCCTTACGATATCGGCTGCGAGGTTCTTCAGATTTTCCTGGACCACCAGCACAAGTCGAAGACGAGCCTTCTCCAGGACTTTGCGTACTACGAGCGCCTGTCGGCCACGCGTTCGACAGGCAGCGCCACGCCGACACCTCAAGGCCCCGGGGGCCCTGGCGGTCATGGGGGTCTTGGTGGACCCGGCGGTCCCGGCGGCGGTCCTGGGGCTCATCACGGACACGGCGGGATGCATGGCGGCCCTGGTGGCTACGGCAGCCCGCACATGAGATAGAGGGTTGTTAATAATTTTCGTGCACTCGGTGACTCGCAGGCTCCAGCATGCGTAGCCTGCCTGACTGCTCTATATATCTGAGGTTGGAACATCACGAATGTACGTCTGTCATGCTGAGTGGGGAGTCAAGTTGATGGCTGGGGTGTTTAGCAGATTAATGACCACCTGGCAACCCCAGGTCCTGTACAGCAGTCAGAAGCCTCGCATCCGGAGATCTGAGCTCCTCTTATCAGCAGTGAGTCACAGGTCACAGCAGCCGTAACACGCTTTCGCGTGGCGCGTGGCGCCCGCCATCGTCTCTCGACGCGAAACGAGCGGAGTCGAATTGGCTTGGCCGCGCCGTGCGGATTCGCGGGGCCCATTTCCAACGGGCGGGACTCGGGCAACCGATTTCCAAGCTTATCGTGCCCACTTGGTCCATCTTGTTGATTTTCCCCACGTCTCTTCTACTTGTGCATCACTCCGACTCGACAGACGATAGCAAGCATGGGCCTCAGCCAGACCCAGAAGGACTTGATTGCGGGGTCCGTGGGCGGGATGACCCAGGTTATTGTGGGCCAGGTGAGTTTGTTTACGGGGATGCATGGTAGGGGGGGGGGAGCGGTGGAAGTGGGGTCGAGATAGAGGGAGAGAGGGGGGAGAGAGGGCAGTGGGATGTGAGGTGGTGGGCAGGTGGTGGACGGGAGAGCGGCTCCTCGCACTCGTGCTGCGGAGATGGCGGCGAGCTTGGGCGAACAACATGAGGGGAGGGACGAGGCGGAGAAAGGGAACGACAGCGGTGGAGCGGCCGCGAGGAAGATGAATGCGACGAGCTAACACCAGCCCTTTGACATTGTCAAAGTCCGCGTCCAGACCGCTGCCCCTGGGACATTCAGCTCGCCGCTCGACTGTGCGACCAAGCTGCTGAAGAACGAAGGGCCATTGGGGTTCTACAAAGTACGTCGAGGTGGCCGTGCATCGCGCGTGTGACAGCTCTGCATACTGACCGCAGGGCACGCTCACCCCGCTCCTCGGTATTGGCGCGTGTGTGTCGATCCAGTTCGGCGCGCTCGAGTGGGCCAAGCGCTTCTTCGCGGGCCGGAACGGCGGCAAAGAGCTGTCCCTCTCCGAGCTGTACGCGTCCGGCGCGATCGCCGGCGCGGCGAACACCATCGTGGCAGGGCCGGTCGAACACATCCGTATCCGCTTGCAGACGCAGCCGTCCACCCCGCGCCTGTACAACGGGCCCCTGGACTGCGCGCGCAAGCTGTACGCGCAGAACGGCATCGCGGGCGTCTTCAAAGGCCAGGGCGCGACGATCGTCCGTGACGGCCTCGGCTACGGGTATGTCCCCCTTCTTCCGTCCTCTACCCCCGCCTCCGGCTCCGGCTCCGGCTCCGTCTCCGTCTCCGCCGCCTTCAGCCTCGCTCACCCCAGCTTCTACTTCCTCGCATACGAGGCGCTCGTGCAGCGCCACATCCGCAAGAACGGGGGCTCGCGCGAAGACATCGCGCCCCTCTGGTCGCTGAGCTACGGCGCGCTCGCGGGCTACGCCCTCTGGGCGTCCATCTACCCCATCGACGTCGTCAAGTCCAAGCTGCAGACCGACAGCCTGGACCCCGCGAAGCGCGTGTACGCGTCCATGGCGGACTGCTTCCGCAAGACGTGGCGCGCACAGGGGTGGCGCGGCTTCACGGGTGGCCTGGAGCCCACGCTCATCCGTTCGCCGTTCGCGAACGGCGCCACGTTCGTCGCGTTCGAGCTCGCGATGCGCGTCATGGGCAACGGGAAGCACGAGCACCCCATGCTGCCGGACCCGACGGCGTAGCAGGCCGAGGCGTATGGACGATATGCATAGAGTGTACGATAGAGGGGTGCGGTCGCCGCTGCCGCTACTGATCGGTGATCGCCGCATGCCGCTTTCCTGCTGTTCAAGCAACTCTCTGCGTCCCAACCTGTGCGCAACAGCTCACAGCCGCTGCGTCGTGTACTTATTCCGACAACTCTGGGACTAGTTCTCCCTGTCATACTCGTCTACCATCTGCCCTATGGCTCAGTTGGTTAGCGCGTGGAGCTGTTACGATCATCCGAACACTCCGAGGTCCACGGTTCGAGTCCGTGTGGGGCAGTTGTTTTGTTCCGCTCCTTTCTTGGCTCGACCTTCCTCGTCCCTCCCAGCCTTCCGACGGTCTCTGGCTCAGGCACGATCTCCCAACACGTGTCTGATCGACGCTCCACCCATTCACCGCGACGGCGTCCTTTTCGTCATCACACCACACCTCGCACTCTGCGCCACGTCACTCACGCGTGCCGATGTCGACACCATCAAAAGGGAGGCTGGGGAACTGAATCCCCGTATGACGAGAGTGGGATTCGAACCCACGTCCGAAGACTGCGGAGGTGTACACCTTAACACAGCGCCTTAGACCGCTCGGCCATCTCGCCGATGGGAGGAGGCAGTGGGGCGGGCGGTCGCGCGCGGCGGCGGCGCGCTGAGACGACCGCTGCACCGTTGGAGCGCGGGAAGTGGTGGGATGGAGGGGTGGGGAAGGTCGGGTGCCCAATTGGAGAAAGGCGGTGGGTGGAGAGTGGTGTGTGGTGTCCTGAATCTTTCGGGGACGGGGGTGAGAAGGTGAGGCTCGGGCCATTGTTAGCTGTCCGGATCATTTTCGCCGGCTTTGTGATCAACGCGAGGGGGCTGACTCGACTCAGGCTGATGTGAGCATGGGCAATGTCGGCATCGACTGATATCTGGCACGGGTGACACTCCAATATGACACCCGCCGAGGTCAGCACGCATCACACAAGCCCCCCAACCCCATCCCGTCACCAGGTATAACATGTATATTGTCCCAAGCATGACATGTAACAATACGGCGAAACAACGAAGCAGGAGCGCGCGAAGTCTATGCGCGAGCGATCAGGCGCCAGCTAGCTCAGCTTAGAGCTTGCCCTGATCGATCATCTGCTTGTAGTACAGAACCATCTCGCGCACGCCGTCGCGCACCATCCAGCGCGGCTGCCAGTCAAGCGTCTCCTTGGCGCGCGTCGTGTCGGCGCGGCGGCGCTGCGGGTCGTCGGTAGGGATGTCATTGTAGATGATGCCGACACGCTTTGGGTTGGGCACGCCCTCGGCCTTCTGCACCTCCTCGACAATGTCACGGACGGCCTCGGCAAACTCCATGATGGTGAACTCGTGCGACGAGCCAATGTTGACGGGGCGCGTCTCCTCGCCGTTCATCAGCAGGATGAGACCGTCGACAAGGTCATGGATGTACTGGAACGAGCGGGTCTGCTGGCCGTCGCCGTAGACGGTCATGTCCTCGCCCTTGAGGGCCTGGATGATAAAGTTGGACACGACACGGCCGTCGTAGGGGTTCATGCGAGGGCCAAAGGTGTTGAAGATACGGGCGACACGGACGTCGACGCCGTCCTGGCGCATGTAGCCGTAGGTGAGGGTTTCGGCGACACGCTTGCCCTCGTCGTAGCACGCACGGGGGCCGATGCAGTTGACGTGGCCCCAGTAGTCCTCGCGCTGGGGGTGCTCCTCCGGGTCACCGTAGACCTCCGAGGTCGAGGTGATGAGGAAGCGGGCCTTGGTGCGCTTGGCGAGACCGAGCATGTTGAGGGTGCCCATGAACGATGTCTTGATGGTCTTGACGGCGTTGTACTGGTAGTGGGGAGGCGAGGCGGGGCACGCGAGGTGGTAGATCTGGTCGACCTCGATCATGAAGGGCTCGACAACGTCGTGGCGGACCATCTCAAAGTTGGGGTGGCCGACCCAGTGCGAAACGGTGGTGCGCGAACCGGTGAAGAAGTTGTCGAGGACGGTGACCTCGTGTCCGAGGAGCATGAGGCGGTCGACAAGGTGCGAGCCAACAAAGCCGGCGCCACCGGTGACGAGGATGCGCTTACGCTGGGCATCGGGAAGGAGACGGACGGGGGGGAACTTGGCAAAGGTGGTGTACTGGATCTTGTTCGAGTCCTTGTCGTAAACCGACTCTGTGCCGTAGTCCTTCGAGGCCGAGCCGACGTTGGTGGTCTCGGCGCCAGCCTTGATGAAGGCGGGGGCCTGGGGTTAGCATGTACGGGAGGAAGGGTTCAAAAACGCGACATTGGGGGATGGGGCACACTTCGAGGTCGCAAGCGGGAAGGGCCGCAGCAACGCGAGGCAGCGTGTGCGTATTATTGATTGAGATTGGGACAAAGACGGCGCCACGCTCTGCGAGGCGCGAGGCGCCACAGGTAGTCCTCCTCCTCGCTCTTCGCCCCGGTTTGCTCCCCCCCCCCCCCCCCCCCTCCCGACCCTCGAGGGCGAACCGGCATGGCACGGGCGGTCCGTGGGACGCGGTCGGTGACAAACCGAGCACTGTCCGGAGGGGAAAAAGTTCTTGGCGCGCGCGCAGCTGGCGGGCGCGTGGGGGTGCCGAAGGAAGGACTGGGCAACTCACGAGGTAGAGGGAGCGGAGGGTCTTGGTGTCGATGCGCGAGTCGAAGCCGTTGCGGTCGTAGCCGACCTCGTGGATGGTGGCGTCGGCGGCGGCGGCGATCTCGTCGGCCTGTGGTTAGCTGGGAGTGTGCTGGGGGCAGGGGATGTACAAGGGGGCGTGGAGAGTGGAAGAGGGGGGTTGCAGAGGGGAGGTCGGAGGTCAGAAGCGTTGACGGTTAGTCAGACGAGCCTGGATGTCGGATGCCGGGGGAGGGGTGGTATGTGGAGAGAGAACTCACAGTCTTGGGGGACATTTTTGGAGTCTAGTGATCTAAAGAGAGGGAATGATGATGAAGAAGAGGATGAGGATAGTGACAAGAAGACAAGAGGGAGGAAAGAGCAGAGCGAGTAGAGCGAGTGAGATGGAAAATGGTCGGCGTGGAGGTTGGAACTGGGGG